TGGAAATGTATAGATATTGTACTGTTCGTAGATCTAGTCCCATATGTACAAATTCGTGCTGGTTTTGACTTTTTTTTTTTTTTTTTTTCTGTTTCGCCGTAAAGGCCGCACCCCGACTTTTTGATATTTTCTCTTCCAAAAAAACTGTGGCCTTTACGCCAGCAAATACGGTAAACAAGGAATTTGCACTTCCTTTTCTATTCTTGACTGTTAATACATTTTTCTATCTATTTTTGCTAAATGTTTATCTTTAGTGACAATTTATGACACCGAAATAGCAGCAAAATACAATCAATTCTCGATATCGCCAATATATCAACAAATACCTGTATGTTATGTTCAGGCCCGATTTCAAATGCTTATTGCACTCTGGGAAAGTTTGGTGACGAAGTCGCTTCTGGTCTCTTTTGCGTGGCAAACATAAAAACCTGTAAATTTTTGCGGGTCACAAGACTGAACTGGGGACCAAGTTTTTGTCGTTTGATTTTATTTGGTCGAGTTGATTAGCGAAACAGGGTGAACGCCAGTTTTTTTTAAATGATTTTAAATGATTTTCAAGCTTGTTATCAACTGGAAATTACAGAATTGATTTATTACAATCATTTACAGTAAAGTAAGATTTTAGAAATTAGAGCATCATACTTGAAATTAATTGTTTCAACAGCAGTAGGGGCGCTGGTCCGAGAATAAGGATCGTCTCTGTAAACGTGGACAGACGCGTCCTGAAAATAAGAATAGTCGGCATCTTCGCAGATGATTCTTATTTCCGATCCGCGTGTTGGCGATGCAAAAAACGAATTCCGCGATGATGGTGCTTGATGCATTTCACATTCACTTTGTACAGAGACTTTCATGTTATGAACGATAAATCCTCGGGAAGATGGACAATCCATAAAAGTAGAAGAACTGGGGACATTTTTTACTACATGGAATCATTTTTCGCTTAGCCAGCGTGAGGATTGGGAACCCTATAACCAGAGTGCCAAAGAAAAAAAACATCCATGAAAACGCACACGTTCCTTTTTTTTTTTTAAGGACGCAATTTGTTCGAGTTTACAAGGATATCCTCATTCTCAGACCAGCGCCCCTACTGTTGACTTCACTCTTTAGCGCAATTGCGGTGAAGTCATAATGCCCATTTTGTGACTGTTAGGCTTCAACAAAAAGATTTTTGTTTCTGATCCACGCGTTGGCGATGCGAAAAACAGATTTCACGATGATGCTGCTTGATGCATTTAACATTCACTTTGTACAGAGACTTTCACGTTATGAACGATAAATCCTTGGGAAGACGGACAACTCATAACAGTTGACAGTGAACTAGGGTTATTTTCTCACACAGAATCTGTTTTTCGCATTGCCAGGGGGCTGTCCGGGAAGCCGAAACCTGCAGAGCACCGATGAAAAAAAACGTTCGCGCAAATGCAAATGCAAACGATCCCTATTTTTGAGGACGCATTTCGTCTGCGTTTACAAATACAAGAACGATCCCCACTCTCGGACCAGCGCTCCTACTGTTGAATGTTGACTTTACTCTTTACCGCAATTGCGGTGAAGTCATATCAGTTTGGGAAATGTATGATTTCTTCAACGTTGCAGAAATCGTACATTTCCCGAACTGATATCGCCCATTTTGTGGCTTTTCGGCTTTAACAACAAATTAGAATGCCAAAATATTGCTTAACTTCTAGAACTTAGATTTAGAAGACACATTCATGAACTAATGACAAACATGTAATGTAATATCTACATCATGATTTTCATATCATCCCTTACTCATTCTCATGTCAGTCAACAAACTAACCGTCCACAAACTCACACAGCTCAGTCACAGAGCAAATGCATTCATTCAACACACACGCGAATGGAGCAGACAATCACAAATTTGCGTTGTCACACACACGCCAAATACATTGCACCGGTTCTGCCATAGGAATAACACACAAGAAACAGTCCATTCAAACTGTCTGCCTCAGGTGGCCGTAATAATTAATCCAACTCATAAACGGCCGAATGTGGCATTCAAATCAGTCAAAAATAAGTGAAATATAACTTACGGTCTAGGGGATCTCCGTCAAAAGTTCCAGCAAGAAGGCTGAGATCTGAAATAACAGAAAATTTGAAATTAGTTTGATTTCGAGATACACCTTTTACACGGAAGAAGGGTCATCGTTCGTAAATACTCACCCGCCATGATGAATAAAGCACGAGGTTATATTTGATTGGTTGAAAGCTGCTAGTCTCTGATAAAGTACCAATAAAATGTCTAATATCGCAACTTTCGATTTCGATGATTTTAGAAGAAAAAAATATGGTTGAGGAAAGTAGCCAAAATAAATGAATTTTAAAAAGAACAGTATCAAAAACATTATTCATTACTTTTACACTTTTAGATATATTATCTTGTGAATCATCATCATCGATTGTTCTTCCATTTTCAAAATTCACGTTATTCCCAATAACATTCTTTTCTCCACCCTTTTCCCTTTTTGTACCCCTGTGGGCCCTTTGTGGTCTTGTGGATATATCTGTCTCCAAATTACACATGCTCATCATCACTAAGTATTTATTGGAGGGGATCAGGAGCATCTTCTTTTTTGTTATATTCTAAGACAAAATAAGGTTTCAGTTCATTCCCAACTTGAGATCGAGAAACCAAAAGTCCAAATGTGACCCCGTCCCCTCCCCATTTTTTTTGCATGCTTTTTAGAACATTTGAAGAAGAAGACAATATACTGTAGTTCCACTCACTACACGTTTTACCAAAAGAAAACTTTTGGGCTTGAAATCTGAGACGTTCTGCTCTTTCAAAAAATATTCCCCTTTTTTCAATTAAAAACCAAGAAATGAGATCATGCAGTGGCTCCGTAAAATATCCCCCAAACCCCATTTTGTTTAACACAAATTTAGAACTATCATCATCATGCATACACAAAGTGAAGTATGATAAAGGCCAGACAATTATGGTTCCTCAGAAAGTTTGATGAGGGCACAGGGTATCATATACATGTAGTATGTCAAAGTCAAAAAAACTTATTTCATGGTTCATCCGAAAGGCTGTTTCATATGGTATTTATCATGTTTTTTATTATCATTATCATGATTTTTTTATTATCATTATTGATATTTTTATTATCATTATGATAAGTATTATCGTCATCATTAATCAACCGATCGATTAATTAATTTAATCAATTAATTATTTTTTTAAATCACCATTCACATATTCATTTATATATTTATTTATTCATTTATTGACTTATTTGTTTACTTTCTTCGTTTATTACTATTCATCTATTCCTTTATTTATTTATTCAACTGTTCATTTATTATTTCATTTTTTCATCTATTTGGCACTTTCAGTACATGACAAAATATGATTATGAGTTCCCACGAAAAAGATGCACCTTATATTAGTTAGTGTATACAGACCGAGGTGATAAATATGGTATATGTCTATGCAATTCAATGCTCCTATCTTATCTATAGATACATTTTCTGTAAGTAAATATTTTATGAATGAAATATGTTTTTTTTTTTTTTTTTTTACTAATATGATAGATGACGCTCATGGCCACTGGCGTATTAATGGGGGCAGTTTTCCCCCACATAAAATTCAAATATGTTTTATTTCTAAAATTCTAATTCGATACCACTAACCAGTGATTTACAAATATAATGTTATGATAAACAAATTTTCCTCTTTTGTCCATTATGCCAGAGGCAGAACTCCCATGCAGTAGAGGGAGGGGCATTGTGCAGTGGCGGATTTGGGAGGGGGCTCAGGGGGCCCGGCCCCCTCCCTTGGCCAAAAAACAGTTAACCTAGTATTAAATTTTAAAAAAATAAGACGGACCCCCTCCCCTGGCGCAAGAGGGGTGGGGGTGGTGTGTGTTGATTTTTAAAAATAGTGCTCACTACCCCCCCCCCTCCCGTTGAGCAAAAAAAAAAAAATTAAATTAGTGCTCCTTCACCCCCCCCCCCCCCCCCCCCCTCCCCCGCTTATTCGTGGGCTGGCTGATTCGGCGTTAAATATTTACTCACGAATTTGAAAGAAGAAATACAAATTAGTCCTCCTCATCTCTGTTGAGTGTCCCTTTTTAGGTTCAAGAAGTGCCATTTTCACCTCTGATAATTGCCCGGCTTTTACTTTGACACGAGCGCCTTTTCTTTTCTAATACTTCCTTTTCCCTTTTGATAAGTGTCTACTTTTCTTTTCTGCATAACATGCACCCCTAATTCAAGGCGACTTAGAGCCCATTTTCTTTAATTTTAGGCTCGCATAATGTTACTTATAACAGAACTTTTCAGTCTTTCTTCATTCGATTGTGATTAATACTCAGGCAGGTTTTTTTTTGTGTGTGTGTCTTCTTTTTAAAATGTAATTTTTCGCACTGGCACCTCAAAAATCTTAATATCTTTACACGCTCGCTTCGCTCGCTCAAAAATTAATATACAGACCATCACTGAACTGCAAAGTATGTTGCTTTATTAGATAGTAATATATTGTACCACGTAAAGAAAAAACACATATATTTATGTCATCCCTGGTAGTGTAATTACAGTGATGTAGGGGTATATACCAGTATCTAAAAATGGTGTATGTTTTTTTTATGATTCCCTTTGTAGGTGCTCCTTTTTTATGGTGCCCACCTCCTATTTTGGAAGACGCTCCACCGCCCCTTCATTATGCTACTTGGTGGTGATGCGGATTTTGTTAATTCTGACCCACGCCCCCCCCCCCCCCCAAGTCTTTTGCTTATTACGCCACTGCTCATGGCATTTCTAAAGTAGAAGAAGTAATTCCAACCCCCTTTTTTATTCAATTTATTTTTCGCTTATCGGTGACGTGTTGTTGTTGTTGTTGTTGTTGGGTTTATTGGCGCTATATCCATGAATTCCCCTCCTCACGGCCCCTCCCACCCCTTCCCCGCCTGCTAGGCCTTGATCAAAGACTACGCATGAAATGGCTTCAAATCGATCAGCTGTACAGTCGACCATAGCAACATTATGCGAACGCGCTGTCGTCTGGATCTGGATCGCAGACAGATCAAAACTTTGGAGCGAAGATTAAATACTTTGAAAGACGAGATGTTTTCTTAAATTTGCAATTAGAATCCGGCTGAGGAGAGGAAGTCATAGAAAATGAATAGCGCTTCTTCTAGATCTAAAGTGAAGAAGCCGTGCAGAAATAAGAAGGTTAGATTTGAAGAGTATGATTTGAAAGTTTACCGATAGGCCGATCGACTATTAATATACTCCTGCTAATATTTACTGAGTTGACTTTTTTTGATGAGTTGAGAGTGAGATACAGTATTACTATTAGTGGTTTAGGAATTTTAGCTCACATACGGTAGCATTGAAAAGGGGACATTATATATGCTGGTCCAAACATTATTGACAATAATATTGATTTACCATCTACGATTCTCTGACTGAATTGACGATGTGCATATAGGGTTATAATATAACTTATATCTGTGTCTGTCTGTTATTATATTTATATTCATATTGAGTCCTTGTTTTCATTTGAAAGTTTGAAAGTGAATGAATGCATGTAGCCTTGTATATGATTATATAGTTATAATTTTAATTTGGCTACCGTACATTATTTGTACTTAATTTCCATATTTTGCTGAGCATTAATTTATTCTGTAAATGAGATGATATTTACCTTGATTTACCTTGATGTTGGGCTTCAAGTATAATTACTTATATGCCCCTCTGCAGCAAGATTAATGTCTGTATGTACTGGGGATCAGGCGCGTATGCGGGGTTGTGTATGATTTTTTGGAAACCCCCCCCCCCCCCTTTTGAGTTTTTTTTTTTTTTTTTTAATTAAAAAATTATGCCAATGGCTGACTTAAAAAAGGTGACCTTATCCCCCCCCCCCCCCCATGGACCAAAATTTCAAAATTTCAAATTTCGAGACAAAAAAAAATTGTCCTCTTGCCCCCCCCCCCCCCCCCCCCCCCCTGCATGCTTATTCAGCGACTGGCTAAGTCGTTGCGATTTTTTTTGGACTACGAAAAAAAAAAAAAAAGTGTACTTACCCCCCCCCCCCCCCCCCCCCCCCTCTCCCCGCTGGCTGAGTCGTTATGAAATTTTGGGCCCGATTTGAAAACCCCCCCTTTAAAAAAATCCTGGGTACGCCACTGCTGGGGATTGTGTGATGATGATTATAATAATGATAAACACTGCAGCGATAGTATAATACTAATCATCATCAATAATATCGATAATAGTAATACTACTACTACTACTACTATACTTCTATAATACTACTTCTAATAATAATATTAATAATCATCATCATCATGAATTATGATGATGATGATAATGGTGATAATTATATTACTATTATACTACTAATAAACTGATAATGTTGCCTTGGAATGCTCAATTTGGGTTCCAAACATGGGTTTATGCCAAAGAAGAATCTGACACCTACAATGGGACAAATTTGTTCTGCAATTTCCCAGTCTTGATTCTTTTATGAAACACCATTTATTAAAGTGGTTGATTAATGGTCATGCTTGTGTTACATCTCAGTAATTTCATACCTAAGTATAATGTTGTAGATACACCAAAAAATGTTATTCAGGGATAGTCTGCTCAGGACATGCATGTCGGGCTTCACAGAATCCCTTTGAGGAGAGCCTCAACAGTTAAAAGATGTTAAAAACTCCTCCAACCAGACATAATCATCTGTTTATGTTTTAAGGTGCTCTTACCACAATCATCTAACAAAATCTTGATTTCAAACTCAATTCTTTTTTTTATTGTATGTCATGTTGTCGAATCCAGCCCAGTCACAATGCCAACCCCTCCTATCACAGCGGCTTCTTCTGTCACTGCTCCTCCTGCCGATCCTTTCATCGTCTCTTCGTGAAGGACATCGATGTGGTGAGTAAAGTCTGTGCCACCGCCAGGAATAAATCGAGCTTGCAGCTGAGCAACGAAGCCTTCTTGGACAGGTTCAAGGAGACGCAGCTCAATGCCAAACCAAAGTGGATCAAACTGGGTGATCGTGTGACAGCTAGAGGCACACATACAGGTGGGTGCAGGCATTTCCTTAGGACAATTAATATAATAATAATAATGTAATATTTAGCTTTTATATAGCGCTTAATACAAATATCTCTAAGCGCTTTACAAATATACTATTACCCCCGGTCATTGGATTCAGTGCTTGTGTGAGATGGTGATTTGCTCAACACCCTACTTGCCAGCCCCGCCCCCCCCCCCCCCCCCATATCTAGATATAACTCTGTACAACCAACTAAACCTGGATAACACTGATTTATGTGTCTTGAGTTATATTATTTATGTACCATTATATGCATTTATTTCAGGTATATAATTTCTTATGATATATGTAACATTATTGCCTTGATTCCTGGCATTCTATATACAGAGCAGTGAGGAGAGAGTTTCCAGATAAGTTGATAATTCTCCTTATCAGCTTGTGTTTACGCCCGGGTCAGCAACTTCATAATTCCCCAAACAGTAGGCCCTATGTCCTTGTGCAGCTGTAACATAAACAGTGACCGTGTGGTTTCCCCCATTCACCCCTCTGTTAGGAAAAAGGGTAAAAACAAGCATCTGTACTGTAAGATACTCATTAGATTAAACTCAGAACACTGTCCCTAAACGGTTGATATAGAGAGCTGCTTTAGCTGAATGTAACAAGGAATTGCTGGAATCAAAGTAGGTACTTTTAATCACTTTGTTGAATTGTAATCATGTATTTTATGTGTGTTTGGTGACATATATGTTGGATGCCGCTATACAGTTATGTGATGTTAGTGAAGATTTGATGTACTGAGCTAATGGTGGTAAAGTTGACTGTTATATTGGGATGAATCACTTTCGAAGTATAGTTGTATAGGTTTATGTCATTGGGTTATATATCATGAGGCTGCATGAGGCGATATTGATAAAGGTTGAGCGTCTCTCATGAATATGTATTGTAGAAGTCATTTGAGTTTATTGATATATCTTGTGTATTTTTATTTTGTATTCTTGTATGATTTGTCAATCCATCCGAATCATTATGATGGTACATGCTCTTGTTTGGGTTATGTTCATAGGTGATGAATCTACTAGTTTAACGCCTACTTTGTAAGCTTCGAAAACAGGACCCTGACTGTTGCAGTTCCATATTCAAGGTGATTAGTCATTTTTCTTTGGTTGTATGTAGAATTTGGTTACATATCACACATTTTTGTTTGACTCTCTCCATAAGATATTTGTTATATATTATGTTGGCGGTAGCGGTGGTATCTTAAATGTAAGAAATGTATCGTACAGGTCACATTTATTCTCATATCAAGATGACCAGTAATAGTATACATTTGTATTCTTATCCAGTTTGTTGTTTGTGTAAATAAATAGGCATGCATTGCTGGTACTTTGACTTGTATAAAACCCCCTCATAGTTTGATTGCGAATACAAATAGCATGATAGTCGATACCTGTAGGATATACTGTATGTTAACGATTGCTAGAGTCTGCTTTGTTTATGACTGTTGTTTCTTTTATGCTCATGACTTTGTTTTATTTTTGTTTAGGACCATACAGATGCAGAGTAGGCTACCTCAATGCTGTGTTGGTTTTCTTTGATCGTACTATATTTATCATTGTTTTGTACTCATATACTTTTGAGTCTTGTGCTAGTTTCGGAATAGTTAATAAAAGAACTTTTTGTTCAGTTGAACGGTAAAAGCAAAAGATTCCAGACTCTCCCTTTATTACCGCCTTCTCGTAGAACCTTGTAATCAATTAGTTAATTTCAGTCGTTATAATTATATTTCAAACACGTCCTGTACACAAATAGGAGGTCACATAATTTTGGTGCCGAAACCCGGGAAGGCTTAAGTACAAGGAGAACTTGGATCCTAGCTTACCTTAACATATTAAGCGAAAATAGTAGAAAACAATAGCAACTAATACTGACATTAGTATTTCAACAAATCAAAGAAAACCAACACAGCATCATCGAGGTGTGCAGCGTGAGATGGAGACCCCTGTACCCGGTGACGTCAAGACTCCGGTCAGCGGGCAACATCGCCCTGCTGGAGCAGATGGAGCGACCCCCCTTGGAACGCCCCCACCATGGAGCCTCGGTAGGCCTATGGCGACACCCCTTCAAATCGCTGGTATGGACCCGATGCCTGAACATACTCAGCAACCCTGGAACTATAATCCGAGATGCGTAACATCGCATCAAATAAAGACTGTTGGGACCTTTTCAGGTAGAGGGGGTGTAAAGGTGGAGGATTGGGTACGGGATATGAGATATGTGATAGATTCTAAGGGACCAATGCCACTTCGTGCTGAGTTTAATGAGATTGTTAGGCACACTGGAGGCAGGGCACGAGATCTGTTATTAAATCTAGAGTTAGGGGAACCATCCAGCTGCACCCCAGAGGCCGCGTTCGGCGAGCTACTCGAAGAGTATGGGGAGAGAGAGTGGACAGCATCTCCAATGGCGGCATTCTACGCTAGGATGCAACATCCCAACGAGTCACCATCGGATTATGCCATCGCCCTGGAGGCCAAACTTAGAATGGCCAAGGAGAAGGGTGCTGGTTCAGCAAAAGTGGAGGCTAAAGCTAGAGATGAAATGCTGACTATCCAATTTATGTATGGGCTCCGCGACCAAGACGTGAAAAGTCGTCTGGCCCCGATGAGGCCCAGAGATATGTCTTTTCGAGAACTCAGGCGGGAACTGAAGGTTATAGATGAGGAACAGAAGCAGCGGAAAGGGGCCAACTCCTACAGAATGGACGTGAGGCCTACTCCTGTCACTCATAATAATCAGTTGGACGAAATAACCAAAACTCTGAAGGAAATGCATGCATTTCAAGAACAAACATCTAGTCTTCTACACCAAGTCCTCGATGATCAACAACGGTCAAGAGCAAGATTAGACAGACTTGAGAGCCTAGTCATGGGGCCACCTCCTCCAATAGGTAATGATGTCTGCTACACATGCCACCAACCAGGACATTTTTCCCGTGCGTGTCCACAACGTCAACCAAGAAGGCGCCAACAGGGCCCCCAGCCAGGCCTCCAACAAGACCCAACACCTCAGCGACCCACACCACAACAACAAGGATCGCAAGAGTCATCAACCCGTCCTTTAAACGCCTAAAACCTACAGACAGTGGGCAGTCTGTGGGTATGGCAAACATTCAAAGCCCAGAGAGCCATATCAATTACCCAAAGAGACATGAGACAGTGAAGCGACCAACATATGGTGAGCTTATTGGACCAGTGACAAGCACAACTGTAGTGGTAAGCAAACAACCCTGTATCGCCATCTTAGATACAGGTTCACAGGTTACTACCATCAGTTCTGACTATGTTAAGCGACACCCAACACTTCGTTATCAGGAGTTGCTACCGTGTGATGTCAGAATTGAAGGTGCTGGTGGTCATATTGTACCGCATGTGGGGGTGATCCTACTCGACGTCGAAGCTCAAGGACTGTCTGTAAGCTCCATTCCAGCTCTGGTGGTCCCCAAGATCCAGAAAGATGGAGAGGTCGCCTGCTTGATTGGAACCAATGTGATTCGACCCTTTCGGGATAAAGCTCATAGCCAGCATGGAAGGCAGTTCATGGCGAAGGTGAAGTCACAATCTATGCCGTGGTTTCTTGCCTATCAGGCAATGAATTATGATGGTCTTGACCTAGCAGATGAAGTTGGAAGCATTGGTATTGTCCGGTACGATGGAAAGAAGCCACAGGTAATTCACCCAGGGCAGTACACGGATGTCCAAGCAAAGGCACCAAGGTCGACCCATAACCGCGTAATCTCTGCAATAGTCTGTAAACATTTCCCCGGGAATTCCTTACAAGTAGACTCCGCCCTGAGTGAGGTTCGCAATGGTTGTTTAACTGTAAGAGTCACCAACGTAGGTGGTGTGGACATGTGCCTACGAAGAAACGATGCTGTGGCCATGCTCGAGGTGGCAACGTTGATAGCAGAATGTGGCCCTCCCGAGGAAAAGACGTCGCATAGTGATGGTAGTAGAATGGTGGTAGATCACCTCCAAGACGTCAAAGTACCAACTGGCCAATTATCACAAGCGGATGAGGAGGCTCTGGTCGATCTGCTGAAAGACAATGCAGATGTGTTCTCGTCTGGACCAGACGATTTTGGTCACACAGATGCATTAGTACACGAGATACCCCTCGTCGACAGTACCCCATTCCGGATGCCTTACCGGCGGATTCCACCTGGCGATTTTAAGGAGGTGAAAGATCACATCAAAGATCTGGAATCTGCCGGTATCATAACTCCAAGCAAGTCCCCATTTGCGTCGCCGATAGTAGTCGTCCGCAAGAAGGATAAGAGTATCAGAATGTGTGTAGATTTTCGGAAGTTAAACTCAAGGACAGTTCGGGATGCATATCCTATCCCAAGAATTGACGAGTCATTAGATGCACTTGGGAAAGCCAGGTACTTCTCAAGCTTGGATCTCATGTCAGGTTACCTACAAGTAGGAATGGCCCAGCATGACCGTCAAAAGACAGCATTTACAACCCCCATGGGTCTGTATGAGTACACCCGGATGCCATTCGGACTCATGAATGCTCCCGCGACGTTCCAGAGGCTAATGAACACCATCCTAGGCGATTTGAACCTCACTGAACTCCTAATATATCTAGACGACATCATTGTTTTCAGTTCCACAATAGAACAACATCTCACCAGACTAGAACGAGTCTTTACAAGACTTAGACATTACGGACTAAAACTCAAACCTAGCAAATGCCATCTACTTCAACAGCAGGTCCAATATCTGGGACATGTAGTTTCCAAGGATGGCGTTGCAACTGACCCGGAGAAGGTGGAAGCTGTTAAGGCCTGGCCCGTACCAAAGTCAAGACGAGATGTGCGTAGCTTCCTTGGCTTCACTGGCTACTACAGACGTTTCATTGAGAAGTATGCATCGATTGCCCGACCCTTGTTCCACCTGATTGGAGGTAGTAAGCAGAAGTCCAAGAAAAGAAAGCCCCCTGAACCTTTCTTGTGGACTACAGAGTGCCAACAAGCCTTGGAATGCTTGAAAGGGAAACTCACCTCTTCCCCAATCCTGCGCTTTCCAGACTTCAACAAGGGTTTCATCTTGCAGACAGATGCCTCTTTAGATGGATTGGGGGCTGTGTTGGCTCAGGAACAGGATGGTAAAGAGCATGTGATTGCATATGCCAGTCGAAGCCTCCGTCCAGGAGAGAGGCGGTACCCAGCACACAAGCTAGAGTTTAAGGCATTGCATTGGGCAGCTACGCAGAAGTTCAAGGATTACGTATATGGCCAGAAGGTTACTGCCGTCACCGACAGCAACCCTCTCACGTATGTTTTGCGATCAGCAAAACTGGATGCCCATGGGCAACGATGGGTTAATGACCTGGCACAGTGTGAACTGGAGATAGTATACCGCCCAGGGAAGGCCAATGACAATGCTGATGGTTTGTCTCGCATAACTCGGGAGAATGTCAGACAGATCTTGGACAAAACATCTTCAACACAACCTCATGTCAGTGCAGATGAGCACTCTTCGTACGTTGTGCGAGTGGAGGCCATGCGGCCCATGGTAGACTCCACCAACAGAAGCAGCCGAGACTCGACGCACATCCCTAATGATCCTGCAATTTCCCTGCCATCTGAAATTTCTCTCAAGGACATACACGAAGCTCAACAGAAGGAGGAGGTAATCTGCAAGGTTCAGCAATGGATACTGAAAGGGCATAAACCGACCCGTCGTCAGTGTGACATGCAGCCCAAGCAAGTTAGAAAGCTCCTAAGGAAGTGGGGCCAGCTGACAATAGTCCGAGATGTTGTCATGTTTCAGCCTGCAGAGAGTGGTGTTCCCCTAGTACCTGTCCTTCCTCGCTGCTATAGGAGAAGAGTACTTCAAGGTGTTCACGATGAAATGGGTCACTTTGGGTATGAAAGAACATTGGACCTAGCAAGGAGCCGTTTCTACTGGTCTGGAATGCCTTTGGACATCAAACGTCACATACATCGCTGCAAGCGCTGTACGTTGAGGAAGACAGCAGAACCTAAGGCGCGAGCACCTCTTGTCAGTATTCGTACATCTCGTCCTCTTGAGCTGGTATGCTTAGATTTCCTGAGTCTTGAGACATCCATGGGGGGCATTGAGAACATCTTGGTGATTACAGATCACTTTACTCGACATGCCCAGGCCTTCCCGACCCGTGACCAAACAGCATCCACAGTGGCCCAGACGCTTTGGAAGCGCTACATCGTCCACTATGGAATCCCCGAGCGTATCCATAGTGATCAGGGGAAATGCTTTGAATCTGCAGTCATTCAAGAGTTGTGCAAGCTCCTTGGAATGGCCAAGAGTAGGACTTCACCCTATCATCCACAAGGGAACGGCATGACTGAGCGATTTAACAGTACCCTTCTCAACATGCTAGGTACTCTCCAACCATCACTTAAGGGTAACTGGAAGGACCATGTTGAGACTCTCACTCATGCCTATAACTGTACCAAACACTCATCCACAGGATTCTCTCCGTTTTATTTGATGTTTGTGAGAGCGCCTCGTATCCCAGCAGATCTCATCTTAGGCAGAGATGGTCCCACTGATGACAATGTTGAAGAGGTGGAGTATGTGGCCAGGCTTCGTGTTGCTCTACAGGAAGCATATCAACGGGCCAATCACAATGCAGAAGAGGCTAGAAGGAAACAGAAGGGCAAGCATGACAAACGGGCAAGAGAGGTTCTCTTTTCAAAGGGAGACATGGTTCTGGTAGCCAACAAATCATTGCGTGGTCGCCGTAAGATCGCTGACAAATGGGAAGAATCTCCTTACACAGTAGTTAGCAAGCTCCATGGGTCTCCTGTCTATGTAGTGAAACACAACAAAACTGGCCGAGAACGAACCCTCCATCAAGATTTACTTACGCCATGTACCTTCCCAACTTCAGAGTCGGATGGACCTGTCTCAAATGAAGATAACGGCGGGGAAGCAGATGATGACTCTACCTCCATCTCTAGCGATGAATCGCTAATATCTTTGTAGTTGTCTCAGATATATTCCATTGTTGAGGACAACAAATATCTTTAGCCGGTGGCGAGTGTGAGATGGTGATTTGCTCAACACCCTACTTGCCAGCCCCGCCCCCCCCCCCCCCCCATATCTAGATATAACTCTGTACAACCAACTAAACCTGGATAACACTGATTTATGTGTCTTGAGTTATATTATTTATGTACCATTATATGCATTTATTTCAGGTATATAATTTCTTATGATATATGTAACATTATTGCCTTGATTCCTGGCATTCTATATACAGAGCAGTGAGGAGAGAGTTTCCAGATAAGTTGATAATTCTCCTTATCAGCTTGTGTTTACGCCCGGGTCAGCAACTTCATAATCCCCCAAACAGTAGGCCCTATGTCCTTGTGCAGCTGTAACATAAACAGTGACCGTGTGGTTTCCCCCATTCACCCCTCTGTTAGGAAAAAGGGTAAAAACAAGCATCTGTACTGTAAGATACTCATTAGATTAAACTCAGAACACTGTCCCTAAACGGTTGATATAGAGAGCTGCTTTAGCTGAATGTAACAAGGAATTGCTGGAATCAAAGTAGGTACTTTTAATCACTTTGTTGAATTGTAATCATGTATTTTATGTGTGTTTGGTGACATATATGTTGGATGCCGCTATACAGTTATGTGATGTTAGTGAAGATTTGATGTACTGAGCTAATGGTGGTAAAGTTGACTGTTATATTGGGATGAATCACTTTCGAAGTATAGTTGTATAGGTTTATGTCATTGGGTTATATATCATGAGGCTGCATGAGGCGATATTGATAAAGGTTGAGCGTCTCTCATGAATATGTATTGTAGAAGTCATTTGAGTTTATTGATATATCTTGTGTATTTTTATTTTGTATTCTTGTATGATTTGTCAATCCATCCGAATCATTATGATGGTACATGCTCTTGTTTGGGTTATGTTCATAGGTGATGAATCTACTAGTTTAACGCCTACTTTGTAAGCTTCGAAAACAGGACCCTGACTGTTGCAGTTCCATATTCAAGGTGATTAGTCATTTTTCTTTGGTTGTATGTAGAATTTGGTTACATATCACACATTTTTGTTTGACTCTCTCCATAAGATATTTGTTATATATTATGTTGGCGGTAGCGGTGGTATCTTAAATGTAAGAAATGTATCGTACAGGTCACATTTATTCTCATATCAAGATGACCAGTAATAGTATACATTTGTATTCTTATCCAGTTTGTTGTTTGTGTAAATAAATAGGCATGCATTGCTGGTACTTTGACTTGTATAAAACCCCCTCATAGTTTGATTGCGAATACAAATAGCATGATAGTCGATACCTGTAGGATATACTGTATGTTAACGATTGCTAGAGTCTGCTTTGTTTATGACTGTTGTTTCTTTTATGCTCATGACTTTGTTTTATTTTTGTTTAGGACCATACAGATGCAGAGTAGGCTACCTCAATGCTGTGTTGGTTTTCTTTGATCGTACTATATTTATCATTGTTTTGTACTCATATACTTTTGAGTCTTGTGCTAGTTTCGGAATAGTTAATAAAAGAACTTTTTGTTCAGTTGAACGGTAAAAGCAAAAGATTCCAGACTCTCCCTTTATTACCGCCTTCTCGTAGAACCTTGTAATCAATTAGTTAATTTCAGTCGTTATAATTATATTTCAAACACGTCCTGTACACAAATAGGAGGTCACACTTGCCCGCACACACAATTCATTAATTAAAAAATTCAAAAATGTAGACGTAATATATTTTCTCCACCAACCTGTGAACCAACATCTTTTCAAAAGTTCTGTTTATCATTCAACATTTTAGAATAATCCCCAATATTTGTTTCATATGTATATTTCCAATCAATAAGTATTCACATTATTATGATGTACAATATTATGACAATAACATTTTGTAACAGTTTTATTATCATAGTAATACAAAATTTATATTTTCAAATCATAAAATATGAAATATTGAAGTTCATCCTGTCCGGAGTGAAATACTGTATTGTATTGTAAGATTTGAAGTTTTGCAGTAACTTATAAGGATATTTCTACATAGAGTATCATCTAATCATTACAAAAGTTGAAAAAAGATGTTGAATATCTTTTTTTTTTATAGAAAAAAGATTACAAATGCAATTTCAAATGTTCTTTTTGTCCTACTAATATTCTTATTCTTAGGTATCGTCAAGTACATTGGTCCTCTCGAGGATAAGGTTATATCGCCCCCTACCTACGTAGGCATTCAGCTCGATGAGCCTGTGGGCTTGCATTGCGGCATCGTCAATGGCAAGCGCTACTTCGAGACGCCCAAGGGGCGGGGCCTGATGGTGAAGTACGAAGAGGTTTCTAAGAGGAAACCGGCAGAAAAGTGTCCACCCATACAGGGGAATCCCATGTTTCCCAGCTATGAACCAGGCAAATACACACGCCTCTGGGCAGATAGGTGAGATATATAAACTAACAGTTTTTTTGCACAGTGGGAAACTTTGTTTAAAGCCCCACTGTCCTACTTGTAGCTACTTGCTCCCTCTATATAGAAAACTTCCCCAATCGGTGCCTGTTGGTCCCCCATGATCCTCTATTTCTTATGTTATTTGAGAGCTGAGTTGATGAGATAGCCACCTGTCAGTGACCTCGCTGTGTGGTCTAATCCTTCCTAGCCACACTAGTGTTGATAAGCTTTAAGGAAAACTCATATGATTCTATATCATGTTCTTATGTGAAGTGATGCCCTAGTATTTTGTTTTTCAGTGTATTACATTTCATTTTACGATATAAATACAAGGAGAAAACTTGGAAAGCTATTATCATGCAAATGTTTTATAGCGTACCAAGTCTGAATAAAGGTCTATTGCCCCTCATATTGTCTGTTTGGAGTCAGAATGGCATTAACTCATATACTTTAACATGTAGTTAATACCCTTCTGGCAATCATTTGCACTTGTTTGTAAGAAGTGAGTTACAAAACGCCTTTTAACCCCTTTTTATAGGGGTATGTTTCATAATAGACTAGAGGAAGTTATGTTTGAAGGTACTTGTGGTTATTTATCCTTTTGATTTTTTTGAAGAAATGTGTTGTTTTCTTTTTTATTCTTTGCAGCGATGTTGGGTCACCGGTTAATCAGACGGAACAGTGGAAAGAACGAGGAAGGGCTAAATCTGCACCACCACCTGAACAAACTGCATCAGAAGAACAAGCTTCTGCAAAAGCTCAACAGGTGAGTGTCTGTATCTGTGAATATGGAGAGAGAGAAAGGTTGGGGAGGTGAGAAAGAGATAGAGAGAGCTTGAAGTGAGAGAGAGAGAGGGGTGAGAGAGAGCTTAAAATGAGGGAGAGGGGAGGGGAGGAGGAGTGAACTTGAACTAGAGGATGAGAGAGCGTTAAGGGGGAGAGAGAGAGAGGGAAAGAGAAAGATGGATAAGATTGGAAGAGATATAAAGAGTGAGTGACACAGAAAACAAATAAAAAAGAGAGAAAATCGATTGGATTGAAGGAGGCAGACGATGAAGGAAAGGGGGGAAAATGAGGAAAAAGAAAAAAAGAAAAGGGGTATATCGAGGAGGTGGTAAAGTAGGAACGATACGAACTTTAAATAACTGTCTCTTTCTGTATCATAGTTTGCATAGTATAGAGCATAATCAGATACCTAGAGTAGAGTATAAAGCCTATTATAATTATCATTTAGTTCATGTTGTTGGTTTGGAGTCTCAAATGTTTTAACTCATATCATTTTATATGTTTGAGTTTGCACTTATTTGACTCTTAGCGGATAATGATAGTAAATAGTATAGCAAGTTGTATACATGTATGTTATAGTATAGTCTGGATATATAGTAAATGTAGTATACTTTGAATATATAGTATAGTATATAGCTTTGTCTTTGACCTATCTTTCCCTATGCCGTCATTCCATGATGTAGTCATGGTCTAGAGCCAAATGGAGAATTAGCTTGATGTTCAAATTGGTAAGCTTAGATTCTACTAACCATAATATTTCACTTTTTTTACCAGGTGTAAAAATGCAAGTGTTTTCAATAACTAATATTTACACCCCACTGACAAGCAAATTAATGGTTTGAATCTAATGATCAGATTAAAAATGTTCACACCCTTCCTTTCCAAATTGTTCCCATTCCATGTTTGATGAACAGTCCGTAAAATTGAAACAATGGTGTAACTATCTACTTAAGGGGGGAAGTCCACCTTGATAATTAACTGGTATTAATAAAAGCAGAAAAACAATAGAAACAAATTAGTGAAAGTTTTAATAATATCTGACGAAAAATAAGGTGGTTCTTATTTTTTGAAGTTGTCATCTGTGAAACACAAGGGCAACCATGTGACATATCTTGTGATGTCATCTCCAATTTGCTCTGTACAGAAAATGTCTTAACTTTCATTTTCTTAGTTATTGATGACGGAAATGATTTGCTTTGTACTGGGGTTGTATAAAGACATATTTGCAACAATTATTATTATATGTATAATTTAGGGAACATAAAAAAAATTGAAATTTTTAAGTACAGAGCGAATGCAAGTTAGGTAACAGGGCTGCCAATTAAAAAAAAACAGATTTTTCTCAAACTTTCACTGACCCGTTCCTCTCATTTTTTCTGTGTGTATTAAAACCATCAGGGTGGACTTCCCATAGTAGTCTGTTTGCATGGGGAATTTTAGGACCTACAGGTCTTATGTATTTCATGAGCTCTAGCCTACCATCATATGGAATTCTCATCATATATAGCAAATTTTCCTTATCCTCAAGATATAGGCCATTTGGAGTATTTTCTGTTGGGACCACGGATTCGTTCACTGCTTCAAACCTTTGCACACACATACACATCAATTGGTAATTCAACCCAAATCTAGTGTCAGCCAATAATGATGCAATACACTTGGACACTGATAACTACATGTATGTGCCTTTAAAATATTTAAATTTCATATTCCATCCATCTGTTAACCTGTTGTTCTGACCAAGTACTCACATTAATTATCCATGTGTGATTATCACCTACAAACACCAACCTTCACTATCGTACCATGATCACTACCTCTGCCCCATGCATATACCCCCCCCCCCCCCTATACCACCACTTCCACCCTCCCCACCTCAACCCTGGCTCCTACTCCATTTGAACTTTAATACATTTCCTTCACTTGATAATTTAACATGCCCATATTTATCGTCTTCATTAGTCATTGCACTAATCAGACAGGGTAAATCTGGTGAAAGGAGTGAACTTCGGATGTTGAGGGTTAAGTGCCCCAAGAAGAGTTCCAAGGGGCAACATAATTGACCTTGAATAAAGTGAAAATACCTTGGTATATATATATATATATATATATATATATATATATATATATATATATATATATATATATATATATATGAACTAATATTGGTGGTTATTAAATTGAAGCAATTCTTTTATTCATGTATATTTATTTTTAAAGAAAATCAAAAGTAGGTGAAATATACTGAATACTGCAGAACTTTAATGTCACACTAGATTCAAGCATGGAAACAAGCATTTTATGTTGCTCAAATTTGCATTAGTTTGGGAAATGGGATATCAACCCTATGCACCTTCTCCATCCCCAAATATGAATTTATTTATATATATATATATATATATATATATATATATATATATATATATATATATATATATATATATATGTAAAAGACCAATGAGGGAGAAATCTGCTTGTTGTTCAGACATTCAGGTAAATTGCAAATCTCTTAGCTGTGTATAGGCCTATCATGCTTGCACTTTCTAGGTTGCGCTACTGCATATTGTAGAATAGACCTGGGACCCGTTTCACAAAGCCTTTTTTCAATGAAAAATGACAAAAATCAGTGAAAAATCTGTCGATAACGAATCAGAAGCAAGGATTTCAGTAGCTTATAACAAAAACTGTCATTTGTCACTGATGACAAGTTTTGTGAAACGCCCCCTGTATTGAAATACGTTATATTTTTCATCATCTTTCTCTCTGTAGGATGACAAAGGCACCCAGAGGAACCGGCCAGACCAGCTCCCTCCCAAGGTCCTCCAGAAGATCTCTAACTGGAAGAAGGGGCTCGGAGGCAGCGAGAAAGACGCAGAGCAGCTGGCTCAGACCCTCAAGAAGCTGCACTTGGCGCAAGAGAAGGGGCGCAGAGAGCTAGAGGAGGAGAGAGAGAAAGAAGAGAGAGAACAAGCAAGGTTGGAAAGAGAGAAAGAGAGGGAGAGGAGGAGGTTGGAAGCAGCAGGCGAGTGAAATTGAGATCGAGATATTAATTTGCCAATGCTATAGATCAAGAAGATTGCAAACTAAATGGGGCTTGGGGGGAAATGATAGAGAGGTGAAGCAGCTGGCCCAGACCCTCAAGAAGTTGTACTTGGCACGAGAGAAGGGGCATAGAGAGAGAGAGAGAGAGAGCTGAAGGAGGAGAGAGAGAGATAGAGAAGAGAGAGAGAGAGAGAGAGAGGGAGAGAGGGAGAATAGAGTGGGAATGCAAAGTTGGAAAGAGATAAAGAGGGAGAATAGAGTGGGAATGCAAAGTTGGAAAGAGAGGGAGAGGAGATTGGAAGCCGCAGAAGAGTGGAGTAATGTCATATCTGTTTTTTGAAAAAGGCAGAAGCCATACAGTTCTATGAGAGAGTCTAGGCTATTACTTATGAGAGGCGATTAATTAAGAACTACGGATTCTATCATAAATGATATCATTTATGATAGAATCCTTACAACCAACCAAGAAATACTGTCTTCTATTTTCAGTAGACATATCAGGAAAGGTATGCTGAATTGGTACATTCCACACAATTGTAATATTTATGAGCCATATAATAGGTACTGGTGCCTTCGAACTGGCCTTTATGTAGTGCTCGTAAATGCATGTTTATAGGCTTTTGAATTTGCTTTTGGTTGCAATAGCAACGTAAGAAATAGGAAAAAAGAAACAGACATTGGGAATGTGATAAGGAAAGGAGAGAGGGAGAGAGAGAGAGAGAGAGAGAGAGAAAGTAAAAGCGGGAGGGGGAGATAGATGGGAAGAAGTTTGTAAGAGAAAGAGATAGGTAGTGACATTAAATAAGGAATGGAAATAAATGAAAGGAGAACATGCTAAAGAAAGATTTTCCTGCCATGGGCAAAATCATATTTCTATAATATTGCCAAGCTGAACTTTGCCATACTTTTCTACAAGCCATGTTAAATATGTATATATTGCCAATTTGAAAATCTATGCGTTGCCAGGAGGCCAACTTCCAATTTATTTATGTTTTGTTACGCAAAATTTATTCAGGGTTTCCTTCAGTATTAATTCCTTTTTGTACGTGTGCAGGGTTAGACATGGCCTTGTTGGCTCTGGTACTTAGACTCTTGATTTTCTTGTAATTATAATGATTGTACTGGTAGTTGCTTGTATGCTTTTTTGCCTGTAACTTCCATGGAAATGAAGTCTTGTGTAAAAGAAATGATGTAACTTTTAAAGGTTCTGTGAAACACACGCTGAAAATGAAGTTTTGTGTAAAAGAAATGATGTAACTTTAAAGGTACTGTGAAACACACATTAAAAATGAAGTTTCAAGGAAAGATTATGTAACATTAAAGGTACTGTGAAACGCACATTGAAAATAAACTAAAAAAGATATTGGAGGTGTGCAACAGTATGGCTGGGATCAAATTATTCTTCCTACCAAATGATATTGAAAGCTATTTGTACCATTATCAAACTATCACCTTAGGAACATAATTGAAAATGAAAGTTTTAATAGTTTTTCTTGAATAAAATTTGATAATTTTTTAACAAATTTCATAGACACCCCCCCCCCCCTCCCCTTAAATTCTACACGTTCATGTATCTCAAGTTGCCATTCCAGTTGTGCCAGATTTGTGTTAATATACCTCTAAATATGTTGCAATTCTTTTGCAATTACGTGAAGTAATTTGTGCACTTAATAATGCTATGCCACTATAATTTGTAACTGAAATATATTTTATATGTACATTTATCTTGTGAATAAAGGTTTTACGATTTCAAAAACTGTACCCCACATGTTTGATTTCCTGCATTTCATTTCTTTCTTTTTCTTTGTCTACATTCACAAATATTGATTACAGACTAATTACAGACATACGGGTACAATAAATGAAAGAAGTTTAACAATGATAAGTGTTCTTTAGATATATTTATCTTTTATATTCTCTATATCTATACAAAGTAAAAGGTTGCATGAAAGTACAAATATATATTAACTTTACTATCTTTACATTGAATATGGGTCTCATGAGACCTAGACACACATCTTTTACATGGATTTTCGTTTTTAAACACACATGATCACATACAAAAACTTAATAACATAATTTATAATTGCAAAACATTCCTTGAGCTTCGCCTTACATTTTCTACATTTTAATCACCTACTTCGATTAACTAATCAGTAAAACACTACTTCATAAGCATGCACTGGTCACATGTGATTCCTATTCTATAATAACTGCAGTACCGTACACGATTTGAGATATATGAAGTGTACAAGATACCAATGGTTTACATGATCACAATCTAGAAAAATTAAATTAATTCTACACGCACTTCAATGATAATTATGATTTAGCTGAAATACTTGTATAAATCTTTAAGTTCTTACATTTAATTTCATCAAGTACTACTTCAGTGAAAATATGCCCCCTTTTCAAAGTATGCTTCCAAATTAGATGTACTGCAAAGGTTCAGAAAGAGTGAGAGAAAATGAATACAGGTCCTGAGGAGTGTTTCAAAAAGATCTTAAGTCGAACTTAACTCTAAGCTGAACTTAAATATTATGGAGAGCCATTTGCAGCCTTAAAATAAAATATATTCAAATAAAAAATTCAAGAATTTTAGACTTGTCATAAATTACACATCAAGAACATGAAATCTCCTCGATAATAGAAAAAAAAGAATTGACATTTTATGCCTTTTACAATAACTTTTACAAAATATTTTCAAAAATGCTAACGGCTTTCCATAATTTTTAAGTCCAACTTGGAGATAAGCTCAACTTTAAATCTTTTTGAAACACTCCCCAGGACTCGAAGAGCTCATAATCCTGGCAAAATGTATTTTTGTCCTCTGTATGAGGATGAAGAGACAGATTCCCTGAATTCTCTTGACTGCCTTGTCCAATGGCATCTTGTAGCTAAACTTGAGGTCTGGTAGTAAAATTGCATTTCATAAGTCACTGGCTCAAAATAATCTGGTCCATTTATATAAACAAGAAAATGAAATGTGCTGGACATCACATTTTTTTCTGAAAATCGGAACACATGTCGACACTCCTAAGACTGTGTGCTATGTATGCTATGAATAATGAATGTGTTCAGGACCATTGGCTCAATTTTGTAATATTTGCTCATTAATCCGCTATCACACACTTGCTCCCCAAATCATTTTGCATTTATATATTTGTTGTAAGTTTTATTTAATAATGTGAATTTTTTTTTATATAAAAACCCAAACCATACATTTTCAGAATTATTGCAAATCATATAATCTCTCTTCCCCTTTTAACCAATCAATTACATGCGTGCAATACATGGGTTTACTCCTACATCAAATATTGAATATAGAAGCCTTATAGGATATTGCATAATATGAAATGAAAGAAATTAAAGGTGATCAATTTCGTACACTAACCAAATTCTGAACTTCAACCCTGGGACAAACCCCACACTTAATTCCCACCCCAACAGTAAACACATCCTAACATTTGCAACCCTTCATCCCAATCCTATATAGTACAACTCACTCCCAGATTCTTATCAAATGATTGGTCATGCGCAGTCACATGTGATTCATTTACCAAGACTATTGCACAAAAAAGTGTAAGTTACTGGCTCGAAATGAGTACTTCAGTGAAAAATTTCCCCTTTTCAAAGTATGCTTCCAAAGTATACTGCAAAGGTTCAGAAAGAGTGAGAGAAAATGATTACCGGTACAGGACTCGAAGAGTAATTTTCTCTCACTCTTTCTGAACGACAAAGCGTGCAATAGTTTCCAGTACTATTGCACGCTTTTTTAGCGGATGTACATGATGCACGGTAGTGCACGTAGAGGTGAGAGCGCTTAAATACTGTGTGTGCATGGGCCTATTCTTGTGCAGCACTATGCGTACATGGGTATAGAGGTAAGTGCGCTTACTATATCTATCTCTGCGCACTAAATTCAGCCTTATTAAACTTGAGATTTATTTGTCAACCATACTATACTGTCACAAAACAATCTTGAATGAATTCTTTTTACATCAAATAAAAAGGATGTAGGAGTTTCGTTGTATAAAACAAATGATGCATGTTTTTATTTGTTCATTATCAATCCAGCCTTCTTGATGCTGTGTGTATCTATCGCACTCAGCCTAACAGCTTTGTGCAATAGATACACATGGCCTCAACTTCAGTGTGGATAGATCGTATAATGAACTCGTGCGCATGCATCATTTGTATATCATATTAGCACTTTGTAGGCACCTTGAGCATAGGTATGTTACAAATGAAGCTATCATCATGACTATTGCTATATCTTTGAGGAAATATGGCCCGGAGGAAATACTGGAACATCGCTCAGCGCCCACTGCCTGCCTCTCTATCCTTCACCCATTAAAGGAAGAGTCGTACACTCTAAACGCTTGTCTGACTGGTCATTGTGTTTGCATCGGGTCAGGGAGCAAGCCTCATGAAGTACCTTCGGCATCGCACCATTTGACTTTCGACGGAGAAGATGGAGTCGGTCACGACCATATGTCCTCTTTCACTCTGCTGTAAATACTGACCGATTTTAGCTTTAACCAGAGGAAAGCCATAACGTCTTCATTGAAGATAATACAGTGGGCTGGCGTCCTCTCAGCATCCCTGAATCCTGACATAGCAATCAATCCTGTACCATAGAATCTGAAAAATTAAGTAAAATGGAAATAGATGAATGGTAACATTTTGACATGAAGAAATTATTGTTTGTATATGTTGTATTATACCTTACATGTATATGTTGTTTGTTATTCAGTTATATTATATTTGGAAAAATGCAGAAATAAAATCAAATAAAAAGATAATAAAATATTACTAAAGGAAGCTGTTTTCGAGAGTATACATCTACAAGTGGAGGTGTTGTGGTATAGTGGTTCATTCACTTGACTATGAATACAATGGTCGAGGGTTCGAATCCCAGCCCAGCACTACAACATTTGGCAAATCATCTGCATTTGCCACGCTACACCTACGTGTACATGGGTATTTGATATGCTAGAGCACTTTATGTTGCTGCTTGGCTATCACCAGTGTAATAAGGTTGGAGCATCAGGAGTGTCACGCCATGACAGACGTGTGTGCTATAAAAGAAGACACCACTATTATTATAAACTATTCTAAACCCTTGATAATGTGGAAAATGAGAACTCTGGTGTACCAGAGTTACAGTGGAACATAACAGAGCTCCAAAGTAGAATGGAGGTATATCATTTGAAACTTCTCAGATCAACATGTTTCTTAACCAAACAGCATATACCAGGTTCATGAACCTCTGTAGGTTAATGGCAAGGGTTACGTGGAAGACAACTGGGGAGGGGGGGGGGGGGTGGGAGGGTAGTTGTGGCAAGATAATCAATCAAGGTCTCGGGTGTCTCTCGGTCTCTCGTCCAACTCAAGTAATGCCACGATCATGAGCCTCAAAGGGAAGATGAAAAGGGTTGTGAGGTGTAATTCTGGGGGTTTGGGGTGGGAGGGGGGGGGATCTAAAAACTATAGGAGACGGCACTCTCACCTTTGTTTGCATCTTCTCAGATCAAGTCCCGTCTCTTCACCCAACAAGGACATACCACGATCATGTACCTCCGAGGAAAGGCGGAAGGGTTGCGACTCCTGTGGTTGTTCGGAGGATGGTCTGACGATCTGCAGGTCCAGGTCCTCTAAAGCGTGTACGCTCTCCTGCTGGACCAGGTCCAGGACCATAGGCTTGTCGAGATGGACCTCCAAAGAGACCTTGGTAGCAGGCACATTGGGATCACCCTGTAAATGCATAAGGGCATAGATATATTAAAAATATGATCATCCATGTTCTTAATAAAAAGAATAAAACAAATTATTTATCTATCTATCTATCTATCAAAGAAAGTTCACCAGTAGATAATCCTAAATCCCCCTGAGAAAGATATGACACTATTCACTCACCGTGATTTTCATTCCCATCATGCGGTTGCCCACGTACGTCACGTAGATGAGCTCGATCCCATGCCCTCCGTATGTTCCTTTGAAGATCCCTGGTTTGACTGGCATGTTGTCTACAGTCTTGGGGGGTTCCAGACTCTTGAAGGTGCAGATGGAACTGTGATGTAAAAAAATAAAAAAATAAAGAGAATGGAAGGGATGTAAGTAACATAAATGTATTTATCTAAACTGCAGGAGAGTTTGATGCTTCAAAGTGTGTATATATATATACACAAAGCCCGTTAATAATTGTTTAATGATATGTTTAATACCGCAAACAACATAATCAAATGATATCACATGTAACTTTCACAGAATAACTGGCCAACAAATGGGCGAGTATGTAGATATTTTGGGAGTTTTGAGCCAGCTTTGTGACTCCTACTCATTGTTCACGGTGTGTTTAGAACACAACTGGTCCCGTTATGCACTTTACAGATCTAGGCTTTACATGAATTTGTGACTAGCATAAACTGTATGGCCTGTATTCTGAAGTCGTGTCTAACTTAGCCATGTCTAAAGTTAAACAACTGTTTAGTTAGACACGACTTTAAACGCGAGGTCGCGTCTAAGTCCTCTCTAACTAAATTTCGTATTCTGAAGTCGTGTCTAAGTCTCGTCTAACTAAACAACTGTTTAAGTCCTGTCTAAGTCGTGTTTAACTAAACAACTGTTTAAGTTCTGCGCAAGTCGTGTTTAACTTTCAGTCACGACTTCTGCGCATGCCCAGTAGGCATTAATTCTGACGATAGACCCAATGCGCATGCGCGCGCCCACCGGATAAATAAATTAACACACACAGTTAGCTATGCGTCTGCTGGAAGCATGGTGATGTGATCGTGACGTAATGACTAGACTGCATGCATGTACTGTGACGTACGTACGTACTATACACGTACACTGGATTGGCGGACAGTACAAACACACTAATAATATCACTTATCAGTGCCTCAGTGCTTGGAAGAACCAGAAAAGAAACTTCTCCAACAGAATGGTTAGTTTATTATAGATTATGGAATTTCCAAGATGTCACCATTAGATAAGAATAGTTAATATTATCGAGAAAAAAAATCAGGCTACACAAGAAAAAATGCACGAGGATGCACGTACCATCGTTCTCCCCCGCAAGTTCGGGGTCAGCAAGTAGAGTGTATAGTAGACTTTGAAAAGAAGCAGAATCGCGCCCTTAAAGTTGATATTCTAAGACAATCCCAAATATTGAGATAATTACATCAATAGAAAGCTTTTAACCCCCAGAATAACACTAAATGGTGTCCAACTGACAAAAACAAGTTTAGAATGGTGAATTTATGCGAGTAAACTCTACCCAATATCTAAGTCTGAAACCCGGAAGTACATGTAGAGTCGGGCCTCTATCCGTGACGTCACAAACGGGACTCATGGGCTCAGTGAGAGTGAATGGCAGTGATATCCCTATGTAAATGCTATCCTGTCAGAGCTTAGATTTGTTGTTGTTAATGAGTATATTTGATGGATTTTCTGTTTTCATTTGAATGAAGAATAACGAAGCAATACTTTCCAGTCGCTGATTTCTTTTTATATCCTCATATTCACCTATTTGGTAGAGATTTAAGACGAGTTTACTGCTTGGGAAACAAGGTTAAATCATGCACGTATGAATAAGGCGGATGCATTATCTTGTCATCAGATAAGGTACAGGAGCAGTTTTGTAAAACGAATAGGCCTAGAATTATGATAGTACTTATCATAGATATGTGTGACTGCCTCAAAAAAGGATACAGTACCAGTTAAACATTTTATGTTGTAAAATATCAAACTTGAACGAGATCATGCAAGCGCGCTTCCTCTATAATATTTTGACAACGTCTAGTGATCGAACAATATTCATCCCCGAGTGATGCGGCTCTTGCACGAACGTTCGTGAAGCGAGCAGAATCGGGAGGTAAGACCAGGCCGCTGCTCTAGGCGCGGCTTGCTTGTGATGGAAGGTACGTTGGCATGTATATGTCATAATTGTTAAAAGGGGAATTGATATTAATACTATGAAATATTAGGAGAAGGTAAAGAATTGTACATAGAATCATGATTTATTAGACTTTTCAGCCTTTGAAACAAAAATAACCATTAGATCGCATCTCTCTGCACATGCTTTCTATGGAACATCCGGGTACGTGCATATACTCTTTCCCGGACGTGATGTCATATATAGTAGATCAGCGCCGTGACTGATTTTCTATGCAAAGAGAGGCGGATATTTTCGACATTTCAATTAAGGATTTCGAGTAGCCAGAATTTTTTTGTGATATACTATGTAAGTGAAAAACTTATGAATAACATATGCTTGCCGTAGGTACCAAATTAAGGTACATTTATTTGCTTAGAATATCAGCTTTAAACAGGACTTAAACAACCCCTTGCAGTTGTCTAAAGTTAAACAGGACTTAGACAGGACTGTTTAACTTTATTTAAACACGAATTCAGAATACGAAAAAAGTTAGACACGACTTTGTGACTAAAGTTAGACGGGACTTAGACAGGACTTAGACAAGTGTTAAGTTAAACAGGAGTTAGACACGACTTCAGAATACGGGCCTATATGTTTTGTACTGGGGGTGTTTCATAAAGCTGTTCGTAAAGTTATGCATGACTTTACGAATGACTTATATATGAAAAGCCAAATGGGATGCTCAATCATTTTTAACTGCATCAACTAAAGTTGAACTGTGCAGATGTAGATTAACATTCTTGTTATAACAAACATTTTTTAATGCAAAGTATATATTTTGCCATAATTGATTTTGGGTTATTGAAAATATAGTCACACTTTGTTAAAACATCAGGAAAAACTTTGAGCATCCTATCTGGCACTTTATATTTAAGTCGTTCGTAAAGTCATGCGTAACTTTACGAGCAGCTTTGTAAAACGCTCTCCTGTACTGCACTTACTCAAATTCTTCGAGCTTCATATACTTCATCTTAAGATGATCCACATGGAACTCATCAATGGTGAGATCATCTAGTTCCTCCATGATCAAATCATGGAACATTGATGCCCCATGTTTCTTTGGTTCATAACAATTTAATGTGAATTCAGGATCTGATTCTGAAGATTTCTAGGAATCAGATTAAAAAAGAACATATATGTTATGTGTCATTACATATACATAAAATGTAGGCATGCATTATCATCCAAGATGGCGGCCCGCATGTTTTGCCTCTTCTCTTAGACCAATATTATTAATTTAAAAGTCATGAAAAGGCACTAAATAACAACAAACATGGTCTACAACAACTCCACATGACAAAATAATCCCAGCTATGAATTTTTCTGAAGCATTTGATAGCCAAAAACTTTAAAAATTTCGGGGAAAAAAAAGAAAAAAATCTGCCGATTTTTTTACTGATCATTTTTATTGATCGGCAATCGAAAATTATTATCCGATCACCCCTGATCGGCTCAAGATCGGCCCCCGATCCGATCATCTGTTACAGGCTCAATCTGAAGGGTTAATTAAATACACACAAAAAAGTACAGTTCATATACAGTAGATACATGTTTCTGCATCATTGTTCCAACAGTAGACTATACACACCAGAGGTGGATTGTATTGAACAAGGAGAAGTTAATCCATTACCTACACCCTGTACTTGACTTCACATGTTCCTGTATTAAGCATATGAGAGTAAAAGAATGCCCTAGTTGACTGGTTAAGAAAAACAAAGAGCTAATTACCCGCGAGATTCCTAGTTTATGTGGTCCACCCTTCCCCTTCAGGCACTCTAAATGAGCCAGGCCATCCTGCGGGTCAAGTCTGACCTGGAACAAGTCCTTGACCCTGATGGGCAGGTAGACCCTGGGGTCAACGGGTGTGTAGTACTGGACAGCTTTGATCATTCCTTCGGTCATCTTAAAAAATGAAGATAAAAAAAGGATTGGAAAGATTGAAGTCAGGAATGTCATCATCAAGTGGTTTGAACTAATGCCGTACCATTCCACTTATTTCTAATAGAAACCTATGTAATATATTTCATGGATTTTAACTCTCAGTAGGTAACCATGACAACCTAATCTTTAAAAAGAAATCAAATTCCTGTAGTGATATTCTTTACAACTTAAGACATCCCACTTTAATTACCCACCTTTCTAAGCCTAACTTCAAAATTTTCCAGAGTTATCAAATGTCCTATGTTAATGCCAATCCCATCCTAGCACAAAGGATCAATCACAAAATGGCCATTTTTTTCCTTGGATAGAGTTGTCAGACTTGACTCTCCAAGCATGACTTCCATTATGGCAATCTAGCATTTCAAGGAATTGATTTCTGCTAGGTGCCCAATTACCTCAACTGGGTCTCAAGTGGCAAATGTAGATTTAATGTCTTGCCAAAGGAGATTAGTGCTGTGGCAGGACTTGAACCGCAAACCATGTGATCTACAGTCCGATGACGTATTCATTAGACCACAACATGTACACATTTGATTTTGTATACAACATTGCTTGAATTCTCTAACCAATTTGTTTGTCAATTTTGGAATCATTTTATTTATATCTTACCTGGATTTTGACCAAACCTCCATATGGACCCCTCTGAGCCTGCCATACACCAAGTAAATGCCCATAGGGATATAGAACTATGGATAAGATCAGAGAGAAAAATTAACAGCACAGACATCCAATCAATAACAATACAATGTTAATCACCCATCATCTTCTCAAACATTCAACAGCAAGAATATTTAAATGATATTCCTCCATCCTGCCATTTAACCCAAATCCGTCTGCTTTATTCAAAATAAGATCAGAAGAGCTTTTTTGTGTTGAAATTCCTTTGCATTTGTTTTTAATGATAGATTCATCTTTATTCAATATTGCTTACGACTTTGCAAAAACATATCAAAACATATATATAAATATACATACATAAATACATTTTTTTTTAATAGATCCAGATCATATATAAAGGCTTGTTTGCATGTACATGTATGAAACGTACTGAAACATACTGAACTTCTTATGACACACAAATAAATGAGTACATGTAGGACCATTGTACTCTTGTCATCCTGTATGATTTAGGTTTCCATGGTTACCTACTGAAATTAAAATGATCTACGGTGAAATAAATGAATGGGCTCACACAATAAGGAATACAGTTCTTCACATGCTGACCTTCAATAGAGAACATATCAATTGATGTGTGGGGACAAAAATGGATCATTTAACAACAGATTTGCGATTGTCTATACATTCAGGAACAGCTACCTACCTTTTGTATAAAGCTGTCGGTATGACTCCACTTCCGGTTCCTGTAGTTCTGCATCAACACCAAATTCTGATTAAAAGGAAATTAAAAAAAAATATTATATCTTCTGACTTCAGGTTGAAATGGATAATAATATGAAGGTAAACTGAAATTCTCAATTAAAATTATCAAGCCACTAAGCCACAAACTGAGTCTTTACTGACTTCAGAATGTTTCATGTTGCAAATGTCTCAGCATCAAAACTAAATATCAATATCAATCTCTAAAGAAAATTTTCTTGCCCTAATACAGCCATCATGGCTAATTTGAGAATGTCTTATGTGACAAATGTTTCAGGGTTTAAGTCAAGTTAATTCAATGTGTTTTGTTCTTTTCTAAACAAATTGTGTTAAGATTAATGATCTGAGTATACCAACACTCTCTTCTATTCCCTAAAGCATCACCAGCAAACAATTGATGGAACCCTCCAGATTTACTACGGGATCTACACTCACTCTATGCCATGGGTTAGAGATGGATTGTTTAGTCTAGAGTCTGTATACAATTATGCATGAAATACAGGTTCAAACTTTTTTAATTTGAGGAGTCAACAGTAACACCTACATTTATTGACCCTGTGTCAAAGATCAGACCTGCCAACCTCTGGAGTTCAAAAACTTTATTCTTTAATCCCAAAAGTTACATTTTACTGAAAAAAATTGTATTAAAAAAAAAGTAAGGATCAATGACTCTTACAGTTCCTACATTCAGGAAGAATTTTTATGGATCGTTGGGTGAATACGCATGATTTCGTCATGACTGGTGTATTCGATGAACTTAATGAACATCCCCAAATTGCCGACGTGAGATACTTGTAGGATACTTTACAGGAGAGAATGGGCATTTTGCCATTGAAAATGGCACACACATTTTTTTAAAATTAAATCATATTTTATTGAGGAAAGTCGTAACGTCGTACATGTATTTACTTCTAAAAATCGTACAAGTTGGCAGCTATGCAAGATGCCTGTCAATGTCAAGCCCCATTTTATAATAACTTGAAATTATAAAGAGCAGTTTTGTTACATAAAACTTAAAAAGATACTTGGTTTGTAGCCAAACAGAATCAATCCTTATCAAATTACTTTGTACCTTCTTTGCATTTTAATAGCCAGACGGCCTCGACCAGAGAAGCTTCGTGAAATTCCTTGCATGTTTGGGCCACAATGGCCAAGTCTTTACCAGGCAGCCTGCAGAATATACTGGTAATCACCTCCAGAGGAAGTTCATCTATGTTCATCCTGAGAGAGGGGGAAGAGCTACCGTTCCGAGCCCTTCTTTGTGATCTCCGACTCCTGATTGAAAATGTTAAAAAGAGTTGACTGTTTGACAAATTGATCTGAGTTAGGTATTTGAAATGGGCTACAGACAACTTAAAGGCTTTAAATGCACATAGATAGTTAGAGGTCTATTAATTCCAAAATTGCTAAGTTCTAATGATTTTTAAATATCAAGCTAAGGTTAAATGGCCCATAAACTGCAGCTGCATACTAAATATTGCTTATTTGCTAATGATTGCCATGCACTACTGCACTTTCGTACAGGAAGTGCTTCATTTCATCACACGCACTAGCGTCCACACATGTGTGAAGTCTTGGGAATGAGGAAACCAACGGATGTGACAAAATGAGGCCACAGTTCCAGTAGCCTGAAAGCTAAGTTTAGTCTTTTGTTATAGACAGTTGTTCCACAGAGACTACATTTGGCTCTACTTACAGCCTCTATATAGACACAGAAGTGCGATTCACAGGTTAGTGAGGGGAGATTATGCAAAGCAGTTTGGGAATGATTGCCAATCTTATCGCCCACAGTAGCTTCAAGGAAGGAATAGCTGGGAAAAAAAATCCTATTTTTATGTTTTACAATTATTTTCATTTCAAATGAAAATTAGATTTCATCCGATTCCGAAGAAAATCACTAGATAATTCCCTGTTGGCGTTGTGCGTGCAGCAATTAGGGTTACCATCTTGTATGGCCATGGGGAAGGTTGGCAAATGTCAGTTTCATCACAAAAATCCCCATACCTGACAGTTATTTTGACATTTTGGTGAAATAAGCCACTAACAATCAAGTGTGTACAAGCCTGAACAAGCTTTTTTTTTAAGGAGGGGAGGGGGGGGGGGGGGCAACTTTGAACCAGAGTGAGACAATGAGCGGTGGGAGGGGTACAGAGCTTTTGCATTTTTGGACTTGAAATTGTTCAATCTGGTGCACAGGGGCGAATCCAGCCGGCGGCAAGGGGGGGGGGGGTGGGCCCAATGCGAGAGAAAAAAATTCAAGTAGTGCGTTCCGTGCATGTGCGGAGAGGGGGACTTTGTAAATTGGCATGGGGTCCAGGGAGCTGAGCCCTCAGAAGCTCAGGGGTTTTAGCAGGCCAGGGGGGGGGGGCGGGCGGAGCATCATTCAAAGTGGAAAGAGCCCCAACAAAAAAAGTGCACTTTCCGGCGAAAAGGGGCACTTTCAAAGGGAAACATCAAAGCGAAAATATACAATTTTTTAGACATTGGTATATACCCCTACCATTGTGATTACATTATCAGGGATGATTTCAATGTTTGTTTCTTTCTTTATATGGTCCAAGATACTGTTTAAGAATCATACATGTACCATGCCGTTGGGTGTGATGGTATGAATATCTATTAGTGAGCAAGTGAGGCGAGCAAGTGAGGCAATCAAGCAAAGAATTTTAAATTTTGTGAGGTCGAGGGCAAAAAATTACATCTTATAAAGAAAAAAACACATTTCTAATGGGGTTTTAAGCACAATCTTACCATGAAAAACTGAAAAGATCTTTAATAAAAAACATAATTATATCAATTTTAATTACCATCGAACGCAGCGAGCCAGATTAGAGAGAAATTAAAGAAAAAGTTGCTCTTAATTGCTTTAAATTATTATTAGAAGCACTTTTTATGGGGAAAGGAAAAGGGGGCACATTTTCAAAGGGAAAAGGTCACTTGAAGGAAGATGACGTTATCCATTGACAGTAACAGTTTAAAATATGACTGCAAGAATTTTAACAAAGAGCTCAATTTCGATGAAGAAAATAATGAACATATATGAATAATGAACATTACGAACTCTTAGCTTCTGCTCAGTTTTTCCTTCATAATCATTTTGCCTTGCACGTAGACTAGAAGGGATGAGATTTAGATGACGTTGTGGGCGAGAGTTTAAAATACGACTGCAAGATTTTTTTTTTTTGTGGTGATGGTTATTTTACCCGACTGCTAAGAAAGCATAAATGCTTGTAAGTAAGCAACCAGATGGTCGACGGCTTAAGGTCCTCTCCGAGGGACCTGGTAATGAGGAATAATGCCTTACCATAGGGCACTAGCGCATCGACTTGGTTTCGAACCCAGGTCATCGGATTACAAGACCACTGCTCTACCAACTGAGCTATCGCGCCTCCTCAATATCAGAGCTACCAAGTATCACACATTTCGAGGGTCTGAAAATGCTCTTACGCATGACGCGCACGCTAGATTTTGAAAAAACGTTGTACCTTATACGTGTGTTATACCCTCGCACGCGCGCTTGCGCGCCGAATCATGAAAATGTCACGCATTGCCGATCTTTGAACTTGGCGTCTCTGCAACATGGATGTCGATTTTGACCCATAATTTCCAGAAAAGGAACCATTAAACGGATTATACAGTCAAGTTGGTAAGTGGAATCGATGTAGTTTAGCCAAGGCCTAATTTTCAATGACAAATGCATCGGATATGAATCCGCTAAAATGTAGTATTTTGGGCAAGAGTTTTGCCCATAATTAAATGGCCAAAACCCTTGAACAGGAGCACCTATGGAGGGATTCTGTCTCTAAAGAGAGGAGCCGATCCGGCCAAACCAGAGGCTAACAAACAAAAGAGACAGAAATTTTTGGTCTACCCGAGAGAGGGTCGATAGAGTCAATAAAATCTTACAATCTTACAATAATAATAATAACAAAAACGTTACTTGTAAAGCGCTTTCGACCAAAGTCTCTAAGCACTATAACAAGCAAAATAGACTGATAAACAATTACAACAAAACAAAACAAGTGCAAATAAACCTACAATTTGCAAAACATGTATAAGACACAATATGTGAACAAACTTAGTTAATCATCGCAAGCAATTTATAAATTTGAATAAAATTAATGTGTCTTACAAACAATCTCATTCAATCAATCCTACGTAGAACTCTAGGCGCATACAAAGGGATTGAGCAGTGATCATTATTTCTGTCTACAGTTCCAGCAGCTAGCAGCTTTCCTGCAGCAGTAATCCGATTGCATATTGCATAGAGTGAGAGATCAGAAATGCTGCGCCTGGACCCTGGTATGATCAGCACTGTCGCTTGTCCCAAGTGCACTGTCGCTTGTCCCAAGTGCACGGAGCTCGGAGCGGCTCGGCCTTGGCGCGGCGCTCAGCTCAGCAGCAGCGAGCTAGGTAAGGCCTAAGCTAGGCCGCCTGCAGCATGCGCAGCTTGATAGGCCGAAGCTACCCGCCCGCGAAGGCGGAATCACTCACGGAATCACTCTGCAATGTCAGACATGGCACGACACTCGAGCTGAATTTCGAACGTTCTGCATGTAAGAGTTTGAAAACATTATTTCGATCAAGGCTTCAAACCAAGTAAATTACCGGCACCACCTTCTCTGTAAAAATTTACGTGGATACGTACCTCGAAGATATGGAAAATCGTTAAAAAAAAAATCTCTCAAACTCTCTCGCCTGGTTCTCTCCGCTCGATCCCAAGCCTATAGCCTGAGTTGAACGATCTTTGTGTATTGCGCAATCGTAAGATTTCGCTGAGTGTGCGTATACAAACCGTACGTACCCACGTACGTATTATATTGGACTCGTACAAATTACGCAACGGGTTAGCGAAATTTAAAGGTGTGAATGTTGAAGTGAATTAAAGGAAAAATTGGAGTCCAAATAAGTTTGTCAATACCAGCTGGCAGGCGCGTACGCATTTTTTATGTGTATGTTTTAGCGGAATCCCCCTTTTGGTTTTTTAAAAGAAATAAAATAATAATAATAATAATTAAACAAACAAAAACTGTGGTAGATCTAATGGGTGACCCAAAAGCTGACCTTACCCCCCCCCCAACGAAACGAATATCGATCGGCCAAATTTTCCAATTTTGGGGGACCCCCAAAAAAAATTAAAAAATAGATCTATGCCCTCTATCTATGATTTTTCATCATTATAGACCTACGTACAATGTAGATTGCAGTGCTTCCAATCATTCATGGTTATTTCCTCATCAAAATATATACCAAAAGTGATATCTAAATGGAAATCTTGCGATTTTGACACTTTGTTTTCATAAAGTTTAAATTGTTTCTACATACAATCAAACCCACTTTAGTGACCACAAAAGGCACAAAGACCACATTTTTTGTTTCCCTTGAAAATGCATGGTTTCTCATTGAAACATGTACTAAAGGAACCTGTACTTAAAGACCATCAGCCTATATAAAGACCAATTTTTCTTGTCTTCCGTAGGTGGTCTTTATGAGGTTTCACTGTATATTATAATTCACCCCGGTTGAAAAACGCTGCCATACTAGAAACTGAGAGTGAGTCATCATTTTGAGCAAATTTCACTCCGGCTTGCATGGGAAGTGACGCTAGTGATCACAATGTCACTCCCAAAACGGAGTGACAAAACACTGACACAAGAAAAGAGTTAATTTTCACTCGATTTTCACTCCCATTGGATACATAATATAGGCCTATAAAGGATGTCAACATTTTAGGGGGCAGATTGACCGGGAGGGGGATATACGAGGAACATTAAAGTGAAACATATATTACAGAAGAGATAGGATATAGTATACTATATCCTATCTCTTCTGTAATATACATCATGACGCAGATCGGATCAACCCACAGCATTTTTCGATTAATCGTTTAGTGCACCAATGACCCATATCTCTTACAACACCTTATGATAAAGAAGGAAAAAAAAAAATCACAATTTGATTTGATGTTATAAGTATCACACCTGTAACAGTGATTCTTAGTTTTGATTGTTCGTAAATATTCCTGTTACAGTAGCTATAATCTCGTCATTTTTCCAATATTCATATCCGTAAGTAACAATTACAAGTATGCAAAACATCAGTATCGATGATTCAATGGGAGAAAAGACTGCCTCGACTATCAGTCTGTGTAAAGTAATTAATATCAAATATAGGATCAGTTTAATAGGAATAAAGATGAAATAAGCATTAATTTCCATCATTAATGATGCTCTACTATATAAAAACAACAAAACAAAACAAATAACCTCCAAAAACTGCTTTAATATAGATACTAGCGTATAAGTTTCATTGATCCTATAAAGCTCTATTTATAATCTTGTTGATTGTATAGTACGATGGTAATGAATCTTCTCACTTAAGTCGTAGACCATTCACGTGACAAAAAAAGTTGAGAAATGATGGTAATTTCAAGCTCTATTTGCTTACCTGATGATGAGGATGAAGAGGACAATAATAATGATAATAGAGAATGCCCTCTTATCACTTGCGAATCTCATTTTTCATATATGACTATGAGTCTTACTTCATGAAATAAAATGCATGTTGAACACACGTGATTGATTCACATGATTAGTATAATAGAGCATTTTCGAGTAAGCTACACCTCACGTTGATGTTTTTCATTCATATCTTCCCCTCATACCCCCCCCCCCCCCCCCCCCCCTCCCACCAAGTCTATGGGCCGACCGACCGGCTAGAAGTGCACCTACATGGGAAGCTACGAACATATTGAACAAACAAAAACAAAAGTATGAATAATACTATAAAAAACAGAGGAGAAAGGGGAAGAAAAAAAACAAGCAGCCTATATACTATAGTTTACAGTAGGCTAACCACAGAGATATTCGACCAAAATTATAAGAAAAATGTTATTGTACTGGTTTGTATAAAAACAGATACAAGACACCTATAGTTATTTTTTAGATTGTTAAGTTATAGCTGCCATAATTATGTTACTTTTTTTAATTATTATCATTTCAACTGCGATATCGAAGTTAAATAAAAATGCAGCGAATTTGAGTCGACCATTCATTTTTCATGAACGGTTCAATAATTGAATGACTGGGATCACAGACAGGGAACCGCAAAGGAGGTACAATCATGGCTAAATTTATTGAAATATGCATACTCGGATGTTCGCCCCCCCCCCCCCCCCCCCCCCGGCATCAGTACCGTACTTGCCTATAGATCTGACCTATTCCCCGGAGGCCAGACCAGTAGTAGTAAAATTGCGGTTCAAGGCCGGGGTTCAAGGGTTTTGGGTGAAAAATATCCATTCAATATTGTTTAAATATTGCCTTGAGAGGTTAAGGTGGCAATACTTTCAACCTAATTTCGCAAAAAAGCAGAAGAGTATATGCCCGAATGTTCAATGTTGAAGTGCATTCGCGATATATCCAGGCCGGATCGATATGATAATTTACCAAATATATCAATTAGTAGGCGGTTTCCCGGCAAAATTTGTATCATCACTTAGTAGCCAGTGTTCTTTCACATGATTGGTAATAAGAGCTTCGTTCCATTTCGTTTTTTGAGAGGGGGGCGTTTACAAAACTGGTCTATACCTGGGAATGTAATCGGACTTATATATTAATTGGCCAATAATTATGAAGCCAACTTTGATATTATAGGCCTATATGTGTTTGGCTGCAAACGTATGCTTAACAAGAAAAGAAAAGCAAAAACGGGCTATTTGTTAACATAACAAGGAAGGAATCATGTATGATCATGCTGCAATCCTTACGATGATCCGAGTGTGAATTAGCAACATAAATACACCCGACCGGTAAATATCACACGATTTGATAATCATACACAAAAATATATACTGCCATGAGAGGCTCTGGTTAAAACTATGGGCCCAATTAAGTGCTATTTTTGCTGATATGAGCTAGGGTTCAGCCCCGAAGCAAAATATTAGTAGGCCTATTGCAGTCACCGAGGGTCCCATATATTTTAATCCAGAGACTCGAATAAAGACAGTATTGTTGCAGTTGTTGTTTAATTTACGCAAGTCCGTCAGTTTATGACCATTTATTGACGAATTATACAAAATTGGTTTTAACTCATTGAAATTTACGTTTAACTAGACATATAATACTTGTTTGGAACAAGTATAGGTGGGCTGGTCAACTAACATTTGAGACAAAATAGAGCAAAAATAAGCGACATACTGCTTACAAATTCTTAAAAGACAATATCATGTAGATTCATAACGTGAACTAAATTCACCTTCTATAGGCATAACACGCAAATTATGAAGTTTTTGACATGAGGCCTTTAATCAAAATTTCACTATGATGACGTCATCAAAATGAAAAATGGTTATTAATGCGCTTGTAGAGAATTGTCTTAGCTACAACATATCGAAATTTTGAAGAAAATTGATCAATATTTACAGAGATACAATCAATTTTACATAAATATGCTGATGTAATAATATGCAAATTCGTATTTTGAGTTCCAAGGCCATTGTGATGATGTCACGATACACTTAATGGCCAAATGAGACATGGAATCATATTTCCGACTCATACTCTATCTTAATATGAAAACAAATTGAGGATCCCGGTGCATTCCAAAGAGCTATAACGGATTTTGTATAGGCATGTTTTTGCCCATATATGCTATGTATTAAAAGACCTCGCGCGCACTGACATTTACCTTGAATTTACGCTCATCTTGTTAATAATGGTCATAAAGAGATAAACATGGAATCAAATTCCTTGGAAAAATATGAGAAATATCATGAAAGAAAAAAAAATGGCGATTCTCTGTTTTTTAATGGTGTTACGCGCGAAAACGCGCACGCATGCTCGTACGCGCGATTTTTTATAAAATGCTTAAAATGACCTGAAACGTATGCAAAATAAATTTGAGACGATTTTGAGCATTTTAAAATTTTGCGCGCGCATTGACGCGCGGACGTACGCGCACGCGCGCGTTTTTTGACCTGAAATTGACCGGACAGATATTGACCTTGATCATGACAAATATGAATGAGAAATGCCTTTTGGTTATGAAGATATGATCATGATTTGATTTTCAGAAAATTTCACAAAATTGCGCCTAGGTGACGTCATTAGTCAAGGTCAAGGTTGAAAACTTTACTGTGTTTTGTCCATATGCCTATACATATGTGTGCTAAATTTCAAGGCATTTGATTGAGCCATTTTTAAGTTATCTTGTTAACAAAAAAGTGGTTAGAAATAAAATAAATAAATAATAATAAAGGCAATTTTAACAAAATTATAAGGTGGTCTGTATAGATACAGCCCACCTGATAAACATTTAGATAATATGCGTGTATGCGTGTGTATATATATATAACGTTTATTTCTTCTTCTTCTTTAAAAACCAAGACAAAAGAGGGGGGGGGGAAATAATGATATCAAGTTAGATTTAGTTACCGATCCCTGTCCTTTTTTTTGCGCTATCGATGCTCCTGACAAACCTCTCATACTCGGACAGGGGGGCGCTCTTTGTAATGTGCATGAACTTCAATCATATATTCATTGTTCATTGATTGGTTAAATAATCTTGCTGTAACTTCAAAGAATGTACACTTACTCGTAGTGTACTGCCATTCCATTCGAAATTCAAGCTAGGCCTACTTGTAATACTTTACGCACTGCGACGTTAGTATTGGCCTAGATCTACTGTGTTTATTTTTGCTAGCCGTAAAAAGTACTTTCTGCCGTAAAAAAGTACTTTCTGCCGCAACAAAAAAAGTAGGGGACCTACTTTCAGCCGTAAAAAAAAAAGTACTTTTAGCCAAAAAAATATTATTTTTGCAAAATAGTGTGTTTATTTTTTATCATGTGACACACTTTTTAACCAATCAATGAACAAGAATATAATTATTAATGACGTATGCACAAATAATGATTCATGTTGGTGATCATTATAATAGTCAAAATTGACTGATTGCCATAAAACACGAACCAACAACAACAACAACATGTGATCGTATCTGATATAACGTAAGCGCTTCACGTGCGCGAGTTGGAATCAGCCAATGAAATTCACGTTTTACGAGTGCGCTCGAGGAATCATGGGAAGTTCTCATTTGCATACTGTAATACCCATAGTGCACCAACAAGAAACGCCATGATGTCGTGCGATTGCTCGAAGTGAAGGTAACTAAATTTGAAATTCTGCTTGATTTCGAATCGGAGGAAACGTAATATTTTACAGTGTAGAGAAGGTCGTGTCATGTTTCTACCTATGATTGCATATCAAGCTAAAAGGCGAGTTTTAAACTGTTGAAATGGTGGTTAGAAGATCAGTCGAAAAGCTCGGACCGCGAGTCGATCGACGTTGTCTGTGCAGAGCTATTACACGCAAGTGCATTGTGTGTGTGTTTTCTATATTGTGAAATGTAGTGTACTGTGTGTCGGTCTCGGTCACTCGCGCTAGTGTGCTTCGAAATATATGCGCGTTGTCCAGCCGTGTGTGTGTATGTGGTGTGTGTCTTATGTGTCAGGGCCGGTGTGTATACAGGGGTACAAAGATTGTAGCGCCGATACGTTGCCTTGATTGAGTATGTGGCTTGTGGATGGATAGGGTAAGTACGTTTTTGTGTGAATTTGGCAGGTCGTAGCTAGCTCGCGCGGCGCGGCGGCTCGGTGCGGTCTTCGCTTTTCAGCTAGCTAGCTAGTGCTGTCTCGTCGGGTTGTCTAGCGCCGCTCAATCGGCCCGTGTTATAAAAGTCAATTTTAGTTCGGGCTCCTCTTTGATATGAGAAACAAAAAGTTTGTTTATAATTTCAGATTCCTTTAACCCTAGATATATTTATGATCTATATTTCGCCACTGGTCATTTATAGGTCTACAGAATAAAGCTGATCTCATTTTGAATTCATCATTCCCCGCGCTCTTTAATTGAACTCTTGTAATAGTCTATATTCAACATCTATATTGACCAATGAATGATCATGGTGTGCATGCATGCAGTGTGTTGGCGCTGGTGCTTGACGTACGTTATGAGCGAAGAGGGGCATGTAATTATCTCGTGCGGGTTAGTGAATTTGTTTTGATCTTGGTTGATTCATGGAGTAACTCCATGGTTGAGGGCAGACTGGTTGAGGGGAGTATTAATTGTGCTTTCATTATGCATTTGTTCCTTTCATCCTTCACACTTCTATTTGTATACTTATTCAGCATTCTATAATCAGTAGTAGACAGGCGCGTACGCAGGGGGGGGGGGGGTCGAACCCACTCAATTTGTTTTGTGTTTTGGAGGAAATAACCCCCCCCCCCTTTTTTTATTATTTTTTTATAATTAAAATAAAAAATTTAAAAAAATTGTGCTACTGGGTGATCCCCCAAAAAATATGTCCTCTTATATGCCCTCAAATTTTTGTGTGTGTGTTTTGGAGGAAAGCCCCCCCCCCCCTCTTTTTTTTTTTTTTTTTTTTTCTAAATTGAAATTTAAAAAAAAAAATTGTGCTAATGGGTGACCCAAAAATATATATGTCCTCTTACCCCCCCCCCCTTTGATCTTTGATGCTTTAAAAAAAATGCCAATAATATATGCATTGGAGTCAACTCTAGTTAATTTATTATAATTTATAAATTATCAAAATTAACATAGGCCTTTAAATGGCTCTGCTTGTCATATCTATGAATGTTGGCTTATAAAGAAAAAAGAAAGGTTTATAGTTTCCATGATTAGATTTAGACTCTATGATTAAGTTTCAGAATTCTCTTTGAATTGGAAAAAAAGATATTCAAAAATAAATGTTACAAAAAGAATTTATTAAATATATTAACAAACTCTTCAATTTGTTTTAAAAACAGATTTGAAAATGCATTAGAAATTAAAAATATATTCAACATTTGAATATGAACTAGTCTATTGCTTCATCTTATTTAATGAAAAAAAAACATTTTAAAAATGTGGATTAGATAGCACAAGAATTGATTAAAAATGAAATATATATATATATATAGTTATATATATAAGATATGAATATGAACAATTGACTTGTTTAAACAAAATTCTTTAAAAAATGTGCATTATAAATAACTAAAAAGTGATTAAAAATTATTACTGAACATATGAGCATGAACAAAATCTTAGAGTTTTTAAAACCAAAAACACATTTGTAAAATGTGAATGTGAAACAAATTATTTATAAAAAAATTGAATTCATTATAAAAAAAAAAAGAAGCAACATTTTCAGTAGTTTTCATAAATGTAGCATGACAGTTTTGAAAATAATTCTTCAAGTAACTTTTGATAGATTTGGAATTCGATTTTAATTATTATAATCTGAGAAGCTAATTCTAGATAAGATAAAAGGATCAATCAAAAATTTAGTAGTAATCATGTCAGTGGAAAATCATGGATGACATTGTTGAAACATTAATTAACTAGGGGGGAAAAAAATAGTTTTATTTTGGTATAGAGATGTTCGGTATCTCATCATTGTCCTTTGTGGTTGTAAAAGTACAGTACATAAATGTTTTAGATTTGCGTAGGGGTTGTATGTACATGTAGCAGGGGAAATAGAGTAAAAACAGAGGGAGACATGACAATATGAATTTTCACCTTAAGAAAAGAGACTTCAAAGGATCTACACATGAACAACACGAAAATATAAGAGAGACTTGCTTTGCTTTTGTAAACAAAAGTTGGAAGAAATAAGTTAATTGACATATTTTACCAACTGTCTTTAAAGGGAAAGTCCACCCTGAAATTAAGTTAGTTTTAATAGGAGTAGAAAAATGAGAGAAACAAGTCAGGGAAAGTTTGAGCAAATTCTGATGAAAAATAAGGAAGTTAGGATTTTTGAAGTTGTGATCAATCAAACACAAATTGGCAAATCTATGACGTATCATGCGAGCTCAACTTCCATTTGCTCAGTACTAAAAAAATCTAAAATTTTCATTTTTTCTCAAGAAAAATTTCAACCATACATGCACCCTAAATATAATAATTGCAAATATGTTTCTATACTCCCCCTGCAAGGAACAAATATATATTCCGTCATCAATAACAAAGAAAACATGATTTTATGGAATATTATGCACAAAGCAAATGAAGGAGAGCTCGTGTAATAAGTCACAGAGTTGCCAATTTGTATTTGATTGATCACAACTTCAATAATTCATAACTTTCTTATTTTCATTCAGAATTTGCTCAAACTTTCACTCACCTGATTTTTCTTATTATTCTGCCTCTATCGAAACAAACTTATTTTGGGGGTGGACTTTCCCTTTAAGAGAGAGAGAGAGAGATAGAAGATGGGGGGGGGGGGGTGAGAAAAATGAAATAACCTTTATGAAATTATGGTTAAGAAAATCTTAATATTAAATAGTGAGAATAACTAGAAAAACAGTTACACAGACACAGATCACAAGAGATCAAATGAAAGTCAAAGTTAAAGCTACCGCAGGTATTTATAAGGTAAAGAGAAGGAGAGAGAGAGAGAGAGAGAGAGCAGAAACAGAGGAGTGAAAAAAGATACAAAGATAACAATCTAGCTCTTAGAAGCTCAAACCGCTCAGGGGGTGTGAACGATAAATGTGAAGGATAAATGGATAAGTTCATGACTAAACTAATGAAATTAAGTAGGCCTGCTTCGAGAGTTGAGAGCGATCAAGAGAGAAAGAGGAGGGGGGGATTCCGGCTTACCCCAGATCTAGTAGCCATAGAATGAGGAAATCTGCACTAACATCAACTTATTTTCCATGTTTCTGTTCGATTTGGCCCATAATTAGTTGCTCTCCTTTTTAAATTTTTTAATTTTGTGTTTTAAGTGATTTTATGCGACTTCATCATTTGCCCTAGTGCTCCTGGAGCATTTGATTTCAATTGGATTTGGTGGCTTAAAAATCAGTATTTGAAGAAATGTGGAAATTGAGGTAAAAGGGTCAACAAGGGTTTGAGATTTAAAAAAACAAATAATAATAATTATCAATTTTTAAAATTTTGAAGATAAATCCACAAATTGGTGTTATTATATGATTGTGTGTGCAGTCTACATATGTTCTCATAAGTTTGTAAAAAGAATAGAATGTCAATTTCTCTCAAAATACCCAAATTGAAATTTGTCTTTGGATTAGAAATATATATTGCTTGTTTCATATGAAAACATCTTTGTTAAACTCATTATTTTGATGGAAAATTTTGTCTACTTAATGGACAGAAAGTTCTCTTTTTCTTTAAAAGTTTCACAATTTAAATGACATGCTGGCCTGCTTTTTTAAGGAGACAAAAGTTAGAAAGATGATAATACAGTAAAAATAGATGAGTTAACATATTGGAAAAATTAGAGTATAATGATCATTAAATATTGAGATTCAATGGAAATGCTATAATCCAAAGCCAATACTATCCTGAGAGATCATCCTGCACATTAATATATTCTCTGTCATCAAAAGGGATTTGTTACAATATATACCAAGATACATCAAGATTTTGCAACTTTTCTTTTGCAATAAATCTCTATTTGTTATTTCTTTTTTCTCCAGTAGGCCTATAACTTCTCGAACCTTGTCATATCCATTGTAGCTCTCATATATGACATTATTTTTCATATATGTGCCTTTTAAAGTTTTTATATACATTTTCATCTACACCTTCATAAAAAAAAAGTGAAATTTAGATTAACTCACCAATTTTCAGTATTAATCTTATATTATTGGGAGTTGCTTGCAAGGGAAATTGTACTTTAAAGGTAATACAAAGTTTTGGTAAATTTTGAAAATTGGCTGGATAGTAATTCTTTACAATTTTTATATTAGGATGCCCATGTGGATGTATTATAAGCGCTAGAACATTTAGCTCTTAAAACACTTCTGCTTTTGAGAAAAATTGATTATCAAAATTTACAGGTGTTCCCGGTAAAATTTTGATAAATTTCAAATTGCGCCTACGGCCATACAATGGTAGCTGCGACCATGAAAATCTTAGAATATGTAGTTGTGATATATAATTTCCAAACGGAATAGCCAATCGGTCGATTATAGTCAAGAAACATTGTTTTATAGTTAAATTAATGTCTTGACCTTGAGAGGGAGCTATACAACATAAAGAGTTAATTATTTACAATTGTATCACTTTAGACTCCATTTCAACCGCGGCAATGATCATTGAATATTGTAGCATATATGCTTCCAATATGTTCATTTGAACAATATTCATGACCCTATACCTAAACTTTGTATTACCTTTAACTGACAATTTGTGCTTGATTTATCACAGCTTTGAAAAAGATTGACTGTATTATTGTGCATAAAAAAGCAAACAAACAAACATACATGTATCTATGAGAGTTTGTTGGCACAGGGGAAAGCTAAACAAAATAATAGAAATAGAATAGTGTAAGTTTCAGTATTAGATTAAAAATATTTTTCTTTTAAACTCTATCTTGATTATTTTATACTTAATCTCTGCAAAATAATTCCTCAGTATGATATGCATCACTTTGATGTGCTTAAAATTGGGTATTATTGACTGAAATAAAGGATGATTAAATTAATGAAAGGATTGATAAATGGTTGAATTGTTATCTAAATTGAATGCTAACATGAATGAATGGATAAGTTGTTATCTCAGGCAAATCTGGATGAATAAATGGCTGAATAACTGAATTAATTAATTATCAAAGGAGACGCTATGGCTCAGTGGTAGAGCAGTAAGTCTCATAACAGTGCTGTCACGGGTTCAAAAAACCAAGTCAACACGCTGTGCCCTTTGGTAATGCATTATAATCCTCATCAAGTCAAGAGGACTTAAAGTCGTCTTTTCCCTGGTCGCTTATTTACAAGCATATACATGCTTTCTTAGCAATAAGGTAAATCAAACCAAACTAAATCAAACCAATTAAGTAATTGTTATCTGAAGTGAAAGCTAATCTGGATGAATGAATGAGGGGATGAGTGGACGATGAATGAATGAAATATGCTTTGAAGTGTACATGTTTCCTAATCTTGTCCTCTGGTGATGAATTTGAATTTTGAGAGAAATTGACTGAAATCCATTAGAAATTTTGCTCATCAAAAACAGCAACATATATATACAAGTAAATAAAATCAGAACACTTGCTGGAAATCCTGTGTTTTTTGTTATGAAAGAGGAGCTCACATTTGTGCATTTGAGATTGCATGTTACACCCATGGATGAGGACCACTATAGCTAAATGTCTAAAATGTTCTTTCTTTGTTCATTAATTGGGCTTTTTACTAAACCATTAATTGTCATCTACATGTACGTTTTATATCAAAACCAATCAACAAAATAATATAGTTCTGGAAAATTAGTTTTATTTGATTTTACGAGAAAATAAAAGTATTTTCTGTTATTACTAGAACCCAAGATTACCTTTTTTAAGAAGAAAGGATCGTTCCTATGATTCCATGTTGTATGGATGAACTGAGACTAATGCTGCCCTGCCAACAGATTTTTTTAAAGTTGATAGTTTTCAATGCTAGTACAAGAATTGAAATATGCATATCAATATGTCCAACCCATTCAAACCTGAAACTACTGTAGATCCCTAGCATGAAGATGTGAGGATGTATGACTTGGATATTTCTATAAACAAAATGTTTAATGAAATTGTAAGTGGGTTTTTGAGATACCGGTACTATAAACACATTTAAATCATGGATATTCCAAGTTAGGATATTGCTCACTGAAACCAGTTTTAACCCTTTATCTTTTTCTCTCCTTTTCCTTCTCTCTTTTGCAGATTCCATTATTGCTGTCTCCATGCAGTAGTGAGTATTGGACATTCGTAAATTCAGAAATGGATACCAGATGGTCATTTTCCATTTTGTCACAAATGTAGGCCTGTGGTGCCTATGGAAAACTATACAGAGTCACTAAATCAAGGAAATAAGATATCCAACATGTCACAAGTTACGAGAGACCATCAAGAGACAACATCACCTCAAGAAACCTGTATGCAAAATGGTGAGGCCACTCCCATGACTGTTCCCGGTGATAAAGTGACAGATACACCAAGCTGTGGAAGTTTTCAACAGGGAGATGGTTTTATATCACCTAAAGAAGGGCATTGTGCTCATGACAAAGACCAACGGTCAAATGACAGTCATGTCATCACAGAAACATGTGCAAAGGATCCGGTGGAGAAAAGTATGACCATTGGAAGCAACCTTAAAGAAGAACAATCAAGCGAAAATTGTGCAGCAAGCACTCCAGGAGTTTTACAACAGGAGGATATTGAAAGTGATATGCCTCCCTCAGAGGGGATACATAACTCAGAAGATGTTATGAAACTGACAGAGGAATCTGTCAAGCCAGATGACAGCATTTCACAGGAAGATGGCATTAATGAAATCTCTCTCATGGAGGTTTCAGAAAATGATGCTGACAATCAAGCGATCAACCCCGACAAATGCACTATACAGGACGATGTCAGCACTGAGATCTCTCCATCCAACGAAGCGCATATTTCAGAGGACGTTCCAGAGAGCGAAAGTCTCAGTCCAGAAAAAGGAGCTTCAGAAAAGGATGCAAAATTCGAAAAATCTTCAGATGGAATACAAAACTCAGAAGATGTTATGGAGCTAGCAGATGAAACTGTGAATCCAGATGAAAGCATCTCACAGGAGGATTGCGAGGATGAAATCCTTCCCATGGAGGTTTCAGAAAATGATGCTGACAATGAAGGAATCAACCCTGAAAAATGCAAGCTACAGGAGGATGTCAGCACTGAGATCTCCCCTTCCAACGAAGCGCAAAGCTCAGAGGACGTTCCAGAGAGCCAAAGTCTCAGACCAGAAAAAGGAACTTTACAAAAGGGTGTAGAATTCAAAAAATCTTCAGACGGAATACGTGTGACAGTACTTGTTGAAGACGGTCAAATTCACTGCTCAGTCAAAGGTACTGCAGAGAATGATGTTGTAGTTGAAAAATCTGCAGATGGACTACTTGTTTCAGAAAGTCGCACTCATGATTCAGACAAAAGCACATCAGGGGGAGATGTTGAAGAAGAAAAATCTTCAAATGAAATACAAGATTTACTAGATGATGCAGATATTCACACTGAGGACCCAGGCACAAGCAATTTACAGGAGGAAGCTAAAAATCCTTCTTCGGACAATACTCATGTCCCAGATACCACAGACAGTCAGCCAAATGAAAACAATTCAACTAAATCTCAGAATAATGATGATGGAAGTACAAAAGCACATGATGATGATGAAGATGAAGACATAATTGTTGTATCAGAAACTCCTAGAGGTGCCAACAAGAAGTCAAACTTGACAACCGTGTTCAAGTGTGTTCGCTGTGGTCAGATAAGTAAATCTCGATCGGACCTAAATATTCATCTTCTTCAGGCACATAAACTGATAATTGTGTCAAAACAGAAAGCAGTAGATTGTATTTTTTGTACAAAGTCATTGGACATGTCCGATTTTTACCAGCATTTAAGAACAGAACACAAGGTACTGCTGGTGAAGAGTAAGGGCCAGACTTCTGGTGATGATAATCCTGCTACAGAGAAAGGTACCTCTAAAAAGACTCGAGTCCAAGAGAAAATTTCTTCTCCTAAAGGCCTGATTGATCTCACAGCAGAAGAGGAAGAGGAAAGCAGCACATCTTTAAACAAACCAGAAAAACGTACCAGTGTGAGCAAGTCAACTTCTCATTCTATGCCATCTACTTCAAAGGAAACATCAGTGCCATCTACTTCAAAGGAAACGTCAGTGCCGTCTACTTCCAAGGAAACATCAGTGCCGTCTACTTCCAAGGAAACTTCAGTGCCGTCTACTTCCAAGGAAACGCCATTGTGGTTGCGAAGAACTCCAAGGAGAGTCACTCAACGAAAATATAACGAAGTTGACACCGAGAGTAGCTCATCAGATGACAATGAACCTTTAGATGCATTTGATGATGATGACGATTATGATCCACTTGAGTCAGAATATAAAAAAGGCAACAAATCCAAATCCCAGACACAAACAAAGGGTCAACAAATGATAACCAAAAGTCCTGTACACACTGGGAAAAATGCAGTTACTATCCATGTGGCTTCAACTAAAGCACAGAGCTCTACAACAGGAAGCACCCTTTCCTCTAGACCAGTTCAGTTAGCCACTGATGTTACTAAGACTGTTTCCGTTGGCGTTAGTGGTACAGCACCAACAATTGCCACAGCTGCAGTTCCAGCTAACACTAATTTGATGATGAATCAAATAGTCAAATTCAATGGCGCACTATACTCTATAGTCCAATCCGGTGACAACAAATATTTGATCCCTTTGAATATCAGAAACGCTGCTGCTTCAGATATCCCCACACATGGAATCACTATACCAGGAATGTCTGGGCTCCAATTAATATCCCCACAACAAACCATAGGGTCTACTGTGAATACCCAAGGATTATCCACCACACCTGTGGCTGTCCCACAGTTGTCTTTTCCAACAGTTCCTCATTTAGCTGCAGGGGTTGGAAACCTACCTCAACCAATCACTGCCAATGTGTTGTCAGGTCCGCAGGCCAATATTTTGCAACCAGGAGTAGTTCAGCAACCAGTGATGCTCTCTTCACCGGCTGTAAATTCCTTGCAAACCTTCCTTGTTACCATTCCACAGAAAACGGTACCAGTTGAAAGTAATGTAAATAGGACCATAGTGGTAGGTGGTGTACAGTCAAGTACTCAAAGCATTGTAAATACGCAAAGTGCTATCGTGCCTGTCGCACAGATGAATACAGTAAATGGTCAGACAAAAAGTACAGGAGCTAAAATTAGTGCACAGGCAGGAAACTTAACAGTAATCTCAGGGTTGAATAATAGAAACACAATCTTTTCGGTTTCTTCTACAAAACAAAGTGCATCAACCACTACCACTAACAGTGGAAGCGTCGCCCCAACTAGTCTGCCAACCAAGAACGTCACTCCTGCTGCTCCACCAACTCCAGCTGGAATCCATATTGCTAAACCTCGAGACGTGAAATCTTCAGACTTGCATAGGACTGGTGGGCTCTTTGCTTTAGAAGTGTGCTTGGACACAGCAACCTCCCTTGGCACAGAGCCAGTGCCGGAAACAGTAACCACATTCATATTGCAGGAGAAGGAAACAGTTTTTGTTGAATCAAAAACGGATGATGACACACAAGGCTCAGAGACTGAAAAAGCCCTGTCAGATGCAGAAAAGTGCAAGGTTGTGATAGCGACAGCATTATCAAGAGGGCATTTAATGCCGAATGACTTGACGTCGATCAGTAATGATGTTTTCTTTGAATGCACTAGATGTAACTCCTGTTTCCCACAGCATATTCTGTTGAACCTCCATATGAAGCAGTGCAGCCAGCATGCACCATCAAGCATTCCAAAGATCAAGATTCATGCACCAGCATCAGTTGTTGATGAGTTCTATAAAGACCCAATGGGAGGGAGAAATTTCGTGCACATGTACTGCCGTTTCTGCAGAGCCAGAATTGTTAGAAACCAACATGATATTTCATTTCTAACTTCTCACCTTCTGAAGCACATAGAGCCTAAAGTGGAATTGGCTGTTCTTCCTAAGAAACAGAAAGGGGTTCATCATGACAATTCAACTATTGATTGCACAACAAAGGCACTTGAGTGGGTTGACTACATAGTTCCACCATTCACTCTAGACAATCCTCCAACATCTGCAAAGAATGGCTCCCTTAGTATGTTCACCTCAACCAATGATCCAGCATTGTTGTGTCTAGCAAAAAAGAAGAAGAAGAAGAAAAAGAAGAAGAAAAAGAAGCACAGGTATAGAAGTAGTGATAGTGATGAGGACTACGAGAATCTTGCTGGAACGAGACTTTCTTCCTTGAGACCCAAGAATGGACGATACATTGGGACACTGAGGCCAAAAGAAACTACTTCACAACAGACTGTTTCCAACAATGGTGCAGGTAGTGTTGGAAATATCATTGATCCAGCAGGTTCCAAACCTCGTGGAGGGCGAACCATGATGCATAGTTTCAAGCACTTACGTTCTCCCAATAAGAGAGGTTCAACCTTAACAGCCAGCATTCCAATGAAGTCTAAATACAGGGACAGAGAAAGACCCGGTGAAAGCACAAGGAGATGGAATAATGGAAAGACACGGTCTCAGTTGAAAGGCCACTGGAGGAGGTCATGTCGGAGGTTTTCACATCTACAGGACCCTGATGCATCAACCCCAGATAATTCAACTCCGGAGGGTTCAGTAGACTACATCGAATTGAGTTCAGACGAGGATGAAATTCACAACAAAAACATTTGTGAGGTTAGAAATGAGGGCGTTGGGGCATTGTCTGGTAGTCCAGTGACCATAACCGAAGATGATATTTCAGATTACGTGAAGATCATTGACGAGGCAGAGGAACTGCAGGTTGGCCAGAAGACAACGATTTCCAGTTCACCAACTGCTAAAGATGGCCAAAGACAGGAAGATTCAGACCTTGTAGACTATTATGGAAATGATGTCAACTCAACACTTAGTTGTGAGCCCCTGATTATGGAGCCAGAGCAGGTGCTTTGCTACTTTAAAAAGTGTTCTGGAAGTCTGATGGAATGCCAGTTTCGTTCTTGTGGAAGTAAAGTGTTAAAGAACATCAGAGCTATGCTGGGCCATATCAGGGTCCATTTCCAAATCTTGGTACCTATGCAGTTGCTAGCGAAATGTGGCACACAGTTTCCAAGACAATCTATCCCAAGGCCCCTTAGCTTGACCTTCACACAAGTTCAAGCACATTTCACAATTTCTGATATGCAGGAGGCTAACCTTCATCTTGGAGAAGTGCAACAGATATACACCTGCAATTGGAAAAATTGTGTAAGGTCACGAAGCTACAAGAAAAATATCTGTGGACATCTTGTAAAGCACATCTTCTTCACTCTCATTTCCAAAGAAGACTACCAAACAATGGCACAGACGATGTCAACATACACTCCGACCACTGAAGAAACAGTTGTGAAGAAGCTGAAGATAGTCGCAGTGAACAAAGGAGGTGAGAAGGTTACCATAATGGTCTCAATCCCTATATCTCAGACAAGGACACCTGAACTTCTCACAAAAGCAATAAAGAAATGCTTGGCTAGTGACAAATCAATCAAGTTGCCCTCACAAGTTTTGGAGAGCATTGCGGCAAAGTTCTCTTCTGACAAAGCTTCAACGTCCAAATCAGCTCCTGCCAAAGATCTTCCAAAGACGTTAACAGAGACGGAAGCACCAGATGTCCTGACTCGAGCAGAGATAGGCAAGTTATGGAAGAAGTTTCCAAACCTGCTTGAAAAATGGAAGATGGTAGATGCTGATCAAGTGGGAGAAAGTAAAGAATTTACCAATGACCTCCAAGAAGAAGAAGAAAACTCTGATTGGACACCAATGATCAGTAAAGTCAGATCTTTGACAAGCAGGGAATCTGGTATGAATTCGAGAAAGGTACTACAGAGGAGGCCAAAGATTAATGCCAAGAGATGGAGATCAGTGCTTTATAGAAAGGTACCTGTCTGGAGTGTTCCTTCGAAGCTACAGGACGGAGAGCTGAAGGTTGTTGAAATAAGAAAGATCAAAGACCAACTTGTGCCTGGAATGAAGAGAAAAGGAGAATGTACAGAAAGTGTAAATGAGACTCCACCGAGCAAAAAAGACAAGGTGGAAGGTGAAAAGGTTTGTGAGGGTGATGATGAAGATGGAAAATCTGTACCAGAAAAAACTGTCGTTGACCAGGTGATAACTACAGACTCTCCAATGGATGTGAAGGACGGACTTGTTCCTGGAATGAAGAAAAAAGGAGAGTGTCTAGAAAGTGTAAATGAGACTTCACCGAACAAAAAAGACAAGGTCGAAGGTGAAAAGGTTTGTGAGGGCGATGATGAAGATGCAAAATCTGTACCAGTGAAAACTGTAGTCGACCAGATGATAACTACAGACTCTCCAATGGATGTGACAGAGGATTCAGATGGAGCAAATTCTGAAAGAGAGGTTGAGGTATCCAAATCCAGAATGTCAGCTGCTAATGTAGCTGATAATATGGCATGTGAAAGAGATTCAGCCATCAAGAACACTGAATCAGATCCTAATCCAATCACAAGTTCTATTGATGTCTCTCCATGTGATGCCAAACAAGAAATGAAAGCAAATGGAGGTGAAGTTCAGAAGTCATCTGAAGAATCAATGCCCATAATAGCTGAAGGTGAAGGTGAAGTTCAGAAGTCATCTGAAGAATCAATGCCCATAATAGCTGAAGGTATGAGGGATTCAGAATCTACCCAGACAACAGATACGGCCGATGTCACTCCATGTGGTGACAAACAGGAAATGAAAGAAAATGGAGGTGAAGTTCAGAAGTCATCTGAGAAATCAATGCCCATAATAGCTGAAGATATGACAAGTATGAGGGAATCAGAATCTACCCAGAAAACAGATCAGGCTGATGGTCCATTCCTCCAGGATGAAGAGAATGAAGATTTGAAAAAAGCATTGCAAGCATCGCCTTTCAGGACCAAAGTGGTATTAGCACTAACGCCAAGGCAAATATCCAAAGCTTTCAGGTTCAAGAAATCCCACAAGAACAAGACTGTGAAGGTTGCTGGAAGAGGATTTGGTTATGGTGTCTTCCACTGTAGAATGCCTCGGTGTAGATTCTTTAAAGAAGTGATGACAGCAGACAAGAAGATTGACTTAGTTAGAGCCCTTGCCACCCACTTACAGAATGTACATATGAAAAATCATCCTCACAGAACAATTGTTTTGCAGCCTGGGAGCAAGGAAGATCAGTCCCATCCAAAGAAGCGGATCATGCAACATTTGAAAGGCCTATCAACCTATCAGGATTTCAGGAAATTCAGGCTCAAGAATATGTTCCAGAGGCATCGGATGCACAAAACAAGACTTCTTCAAGTAGAGGGACGTCGAGTGAGAATGAAGGTGAAGTACTTCCACCGTTGCTTGTCCAGAAAATGCTTCTTTGGTTGTTTCAACGCTACTCGACACATTCTCATCACTCATCTTCAGTCACATCTTCGACATCTTCAGCTGAGTGGACAGAAGACAGCAGGATCCCAGCAAGCGGAGGAATCAAGGTGAGTTATAATTTCATCTCTTTGATTTCAAGCCGAAAGTAATGGAAGACTGGCGTAGAATCTTTGTACTATGTAGATTGTAGTGTAAGACAACTGGAAGAAAAATCACTGGTATTAAAGACTTTGTAGGCCACAACATGCCAGAGTGTTTTGGTGATAAAGAAATGAAGTATTATCCTGACAATTAATTTCTTTATAAAAAAGAAGGAATGTAAAAGTATAAATCTGATGTGGCGTTTAGAGGAGTTATCTTCTCCCCATTTTGCTTGGTCCCTTTTAGAATTTTTTGGGGTGATCCAGAATATTTTGAGATTTAACAACTGAAAGCTGACGACTAGAGTTTAGGAGTTTGCTATTACTGTAGATAGGCATTTACAACTTGTTTACTTCTATCTTTTTTGCTTTAAAAATATTACATTGCCATTATATCTTCTTCAAAGTCCATACAGCAATGCTTATCAACTGTATGAATACAATTTTCCTCACAGAACTTCACTGGATGACAGTTTGCCCCAGGATGACCTCTCAAGTTCACATCCAAGCCAAGTTGAAGAGCAACTGGCAGCTTCTCCCCAAGAGGGTCCACTTCCAGTGCTTCCTGAATTCACCCCAGGAACGTCAGAGGGTGAGATATTTCAGCTTCTTTTTTCAAGGAGCAAAATCTTGTGTACTTTTTGTTCTCTCTTTCTTTCTCTCTCTCCAATTATGTGCCAGCAAATGTGCACTACGGCAACTGGAATTGACATTTTGAGCGAATTGGTGTTTGAATCATTGAAAAGGGTGGGTAAGGGTTCTTTTGACCCACTCCCAGTTGGGGGGGGGGGGGGGGGTGGTTCCCCCTCAGCCATGATAGGGTTTAAATCATTATCAGGTCTCTTTAGGTTAAAGAAACATAAAACTGTTATATAAAGCTCTGTCACTCGGTGTGGTGCCCCTGTTCCTTATAAGATGTCTAATGTTGCTATGTCTTGTTGAATGAATACAGACTCTCAACGGCTCGACAATGAAAGAATGCACATCTGGCATGACTCAACTCAGGAACCAACTGACCAATACCCCACCAGGGATAGCTTGTCATCAATGGACCAAGAGATGAGTACCGATAAGGTCTTGGGTTCTACTGATGCGGCGGAAGATGAGCAGATGGATACTGTGGATGGTGGTAGGCAGGATGATGCATTCATGGACGATGTTGACATGACAGACGATGTTGAGATGACAGACGTCGGTGACTCGTCCAGAGGGAGCAATGATGGTATGGGAGCTAGTGGTGCAAGTAGATTAACAGAAGAAGACAATGCAAATGAAAGGATTGAAAATGGTAATCTAACAGAAAGCCTTCCGACCTGCACTTTGAGTGGTGGTGATGCAATAGGGGCAGGAGATGTGATACAGAAAGACAGTGTTAATTCTAGTGAATGTTTGCAAGATCAGGTGCCAGTAGTGAAGGATTGTGGAGATAATGTGACACAGGTTTCGTTCTTACAAACTGGAGCTTCAGATGCATCGCAAGAAGCAGTTGCCTCATCAAATGTTTACAGCCACTCTACCCCTGCATCTAATGACATGGACGAACTCCTTAGCAGGCCGGGAGACTCCATTCAGATGTTCCATGATGACCTGCAGTCCTATTTCACATGCTACACCATAGAAATGAAGGGAAGGAAGGGCATGGGCTTGAAGCACTTTGTGTGTCCTAAATGCGACATGAAGGATCTGCGTGGAAATAATTTGCAAGGTCACTTGGAGATTCACATCAAGAAAAGGGTCCTGATCACTCCTTTGGATAACATCGCCATTAATGATGAGAATGGACAGTCTCCAGACAAGACTGACGACCCTGTTACAGAAATGCCAGGTGTGTCCAAGAACAATGACGAAAGAGACCACACCCAGACTACGCAAAACAATTCTGAAAGCCTTAGAGAGGATAGTGTAAATCCTGGTGAAACCGATGACCAGCTGAACAGCAAGCTCATGGAAGATACAAACACTGTCCACCTCACCGAGGATGAAATCCTCAGTAATTACTTTAGCAAGGACTTCAGCGTTGATCCGGAATCTCAAATTTCGTATCGCTGTGAGTTCCTGAGATGCAACCAGTGTCCGTTTCGGACGTTGACTATCCTTGACACACCCAAACACATCGGAATGCATATCAAGAAAACTGTTATTCTCAAGAAGTGATGATGTTGGATTGGCATTTCAAGTTCTTTTTCATGATTTCTGATCAAAGTTTATTTTGTGAGAGGATGATGAGGTCAATCCAGCACCACCTATTTGTTTGTCATCATTTTCAGGCTATTTTGGGGTTGAATTCATATTTAAGGATGGAGAATAGGAGATTTAATTTAACATAATTTAGCCATGAGCCTCTTTTTTTTTACATTCAGGTACTTAGGGCTGTATATTTCTCTCCCCCTCCACCCCCCCCCCCCCCCTCCCCCACTCACTCTCTCTCTCTCTCTGTCTTCAAATAATTTTCCAAACCTCTTGAAAATAATGTGAAAATTGGGTCTTAGGCCGGGAAAGCATCTTATCTTATGTTAACTTGATGATCGCGTAACTTTTTTCATTGGATTGTTTGCCAGGTGTTAAATTTGATGCAATATAAGAATAGATTAGACAATTCACATACAGGTCAGTATTATTTTTGTCAAAATTCTTTGACAAGATTAAAGGAAATATACATCTACTGATTTATTAGATAATCTAAAGTGAATGATAAGAAGCAGTTATATACAAAGACTCACAACAAACACTACTTATCAAGCTTACAAGACATTTTAAAGTTATTGATGATAAAATTGTTGTTATATTCAGTGTATTAAAACTACAGTAGATGACTAATATTAGAAATTGTGAGGGATGAGGATTCCATTCCTAATTATCTTATCAACCCTGAAATATTCTAAAAAATAATTGCTCACTAAAAAGAAAGGAATCAATTATCTTAAAATGATTTCTCTAATCAATCCAACATCAATTAGAAGTCAACTAAAAAAATATCAACCGTTGAAGGAAATTTTGATTTTAATTGAGGCTTGATAGAAGATATGTATCTTTTAATCCTTTTTGTGATTGGACCAATCAATAAAGAGGGCAAATGTTAAGGGGTAAAAAATATTTGGCATGAAAAAATAAGGCATGAAAACAAAATGAAGACGGCTTCTTCAATAAGTATGATTCAGCAAGAAGAATATTATTAAAGTGCTTGGAGTTGTCAACGGATTTCGTTTTTTTAATCACAAAATGTCATGCATTTGGGGGTTTAAGTAATTGCAATATTGAGATGAACTATCAATGAACAATCAATGGTAATTGTTGATTCATTGATGAATCTCGGTAGAAAATTATTTTCAGTGGAAACTGTTCCAGATGAGTACATATCATACCAAGTGTGTGAAAAATTACCTATATGCGTCTTGGTGCCTTTAATATGGTCCACAAACTGGACTAGTTTTGTAAATATTTGATCAAAATGAAAGATGGTGGTTTAAATCGTTCCAGCTGTCACTAGTTTGTTCATATGTTTTTGTATTTTCTCTTGTGTTGGCTTAATATTCCACTAAATTATTAGGAATTCATTTTTCCATTGTGAGCAAAGTAAAATGTGTGTTTACATGTGAGAAAGACTAATACTAAAAAAGGAACTGATCATTTACACGGATGTGGCAGTAGTGGAGTGTAAATTTAACTGCCCTCTTCTTTTTATATGAATAGGAAAGTTTAAAAAAAGATTAAATTACTTTATTTATTTTAAAAAAAAGGAATATATCATGATATTGTTGGCAGAGCAATTGTTAAAGCCCCTCAGTATACTTCAGTATAGTACATCTAAAATGTGCTCAATCAGTTTCTGATCCACAATAAGATAAACGTTCATAATATTACAATGTATGGCTGAAATCAGTGGTAAAGTGCCAGTGATTTAAAAAAAAAAAATCTGTTCATTATGAAGCTGGAAAGTGTGTGCTATAAGACACTTCAGTTACATGAATATGTGAAGTGTTCATAATGATGCTGATATTTTTTCCTCTCGAAAGGTAAATTTTAATTGGGTTATCATAATTTTGAAAAGAGATCAGTTTTGAATTAAGCTTATGATGAAAAGAACTCGATTGAGAACAATTGTTTGGATTGAGCATGTTCAAAATACATGTACCGGGTATACGTTTCCAATTGTGTGATTGATGTCACCGAGATGAAACAGAACAATCCGTATATACTTAAACCGCATTTGCTATGTTAAATGTTTGAATTTAATTTAATCTCATAGTCTACTTAGTTTCTGTGTTATTTTTTATGTGTGGGACTTTCTGTATAAACATTTGTGTTTTCTTGTTCAGAAGTTGTTCAGAAGATGAAGAACAAAGTTAGAACAATATGCTAGATTACATGGTACAGAGCTGCCAACCATTCCGTATTTGCAGGAATTACTCCGTTTTTTCCTCCCAATTACGGTATTACGTTTTTTCTTCATAAAATACGTTTTTTATAAAGTTTTTTAAATTTATTTATTTTTATTTTTATTTTTTTATTTTTTTTTTTAAATACCACACGTTTAACAACTGCCCTCAAATGGTGATTTGATCACAAATTCAATAGAAAAATAATTTTAAAACATACTTGAAGAGAAAAATATTCTCACAAAGAATGAAATGTCGATTTACCAAAATAACCAAAACAAAAAACAGGATGAGGAATGAACATTTCTGCATTGGAAGTGTGTCGCGCGTGGTTGTAAGTTTCGTTTATATGAATTCCTTTTTTTGGCTTAAAATTCCTTTTTTTTGCCATCATGATTCCTTTTTTTGGTCGGACAAGGTTGGCAGCTCTGAATGGTATGTACTGTACTTAATTGTTCAAGTGTGATAATGCCATGGTCACTTCAGTTTAGCTGGAAAAGCAAAAGTTTCCTTTGTTGTATTGTATGCTTTGTTGTCCATGAATGCAATTAACTGAACTATTTTTTTACGGGGGGGGGGGGGGTACTCACATATTAGGACATACAGGGTGTGCCACTCTAATGGGTTCCTTTCACAAGAAATCCCTAAACATGGGTCCCACTTTTAACAAAAATACCATTAAAAATGGGTCTGTTTTTTTGAGAAAAATGACCCTTAATTGTGGGTAGGGGTTTCGAGGCTTGAGCGGCACACCCCCGTCCAAACCAAATCTGAGTCCTCCCCCCCCCCCCCCCCCCCACCCCTCTTCGGGATTGTTTTGTTTATATATTATGTGTTAATTGTTTTCTGTTGGAAGGTAGAATAGCATTAACTCAAATCATTAAATGTAGAGTTGAGGCTTTTCTTGCTATGGTACTTTAGTCGGCAATTTTACTTGGGTGGGGGGGGGGGGGGGGGGGGGGGGTACACCATTGTTTCTTTGTCAAAACTTGAGAAAATAAAGCAAGATACACAATCTATATGTTTTTTTAAACTTATGATTTTCAAAGTGTAAGTTGAGCACTGAGGGTCATGAAATAAGATGTGGTTACCGGTATATTGAAAAACGACTTGAGAATTTGAAGATGGATATATTTCCTTTGTACTTAGCTACATTCCAGAGTAAATTCAAGGTGTTTTTAGGGCATCTCATACATTTAGTACAATGTTGAATATTTAGATATGCAGAAGCTTATTTTTGCCTTCCATTTGTTTTTGTTTTTGTTTTGTAAATGTTCTATTGCACCCTGCTACATCATTGAAAATGTCGGCATTACAGTTCCACGTTTTGTTAGAAACTATATTTGCCTGATTGTGACAAACTGTTGTCTTATGTCCAGACGTCCAGTTTGAACAAAAACATGTATTTCATGTCTGATTAAAAATAAACAATTCTGAGTAAACTGCTGCCTCAGAATTATTTTACATGTATGTGGATATCAGTTTAGTGTGTGCTAATTAGTCTTCTACCCATTTGTTCTACATTCAGTAAGGTCTACTAATCATTTGATGATTATTATTATTCACGATTAAATGATTATTAGACCATATGAATAGTAGACAAAATGGGCATTGGACGAACTGGGTGGGAATTAGACTGACTGTAAATCAGACTAGATAAGCAATAAACCAAAAGGTAGTATATTTATTGGAGATTAGACCAAATGGCTTTTAGCCTAAATGGTCATTAGACCAAATGATAAATAGACGAAACGATTATTAGACCACGTGGAGAGTAGATGGTCTGGGTGTAGACCATATGGGAATACACAAATTGGGTTGTAGACTGATTGATGACCAAACAGCTATGCATAATATAAACAAATACTAGTAATAGAAAATTTAGCTGGAACTCGCATCCAAAACACACCTCACTTCATCACCAATCGGACACTTTCATGCAAACTTGTTCAGTAGACATTATTTGTAGTCTTTGAATGTTCAGTGTAATTTTAGTTTCTTTTATTGAGAATGTATTTGGCAACCATACAAGCTCTAAAGATAAGGTGATTTTTCTGATATAATGACACAAATTTTAAAGAACTTATTAAGATTGGATGGACGAAGAAGTACATGATAATATGGAGGTTGCAATTTGTATTGCAGTTCTTTCATCTGCCTTTTAAAACTATGATATTTATAAATTATAATGCAATTTTTAAACATTTTTAACAATCAAAAAGTCATAACATGTACATGCACCATCAACTCGCCAAGTCAGTGAATTATAAACAAAGGAATGAATGGATAAACAGTTTATTTTTGTGATAACATAATAACATTATATTGATAATTAACATAAATGCACATTGCATCAAAACATTGTGGCAAATACGAAGAAATATACAAAATATTACTTCGGAAAATGTAATAAAAGAGTATTTTATGAACTTGTAAGTCAGATATTCAGTGAATGATTGGACATAGAGAAAGCATTCTTTTGAAAATGACCCCAAATGAAAAGGAATTTAAGCCATATTCACTGAATAAAAAAGAATTATATGATAATTCTGCACGTCTTGGGAGATTCAGCAAATCAACAAAGCAATATTAGCATAAGCATCTTGGGGGCCTATTTATAGGATATACAATTATGCACAAAACAACATTATATCAGGTCTTATTGTTATAAAAAGCAGCCCCCCCCCCCCTTTTAACAAAGTAAATGTTACAACTCTTCCTCCACTTTACCCAATCAAATCAGCAGAATGAATATCCCTGATAAAGTTTTAAAACAATTTTTAATACATTTAAAAAAAAATATTTATAAAAAATATAAAAAATCGAAAATGATGACCATCTTGAAAAGAAATAACAATTTGATCATATAAAACATTCACAATCATAAAAAACTGCCATAATCTATACATATATCATGACAAGTACTCCATAACAGAAATGGACCTTGATTATCCTCATCAACTCATCCCCCCCCCCCCCCCCCCCCCCCCCAATAAAAGTGCACAAATTCTTTAAAAACTAATTTCCATGTAGTTTCAGTAATTCAAAAAAGTGATTAAACATTGGTATTTTATGTACCGGGTAAATAGAAAGTTATTTACAAATGCTTCCTAAAAAACGAATGGGTATACGTGAAGATTTCAACTCCCAAGAGGATAGATTTTACCATAATTTCAAGAAGCATTTCTGCCAATCTAGACTGAAATGTTTCTTATATAGGTTTAGCTTTTAGATTCAGCTAACATGAATATACACCATTCAAAGTACAGTAATGAATGGCATGATATAAAGCTATCAAATAGGCGATACATTTCACATTAATTGTACAATTGCAATGCATATACTGCTGGACGGAGATCATTATAGATATACAAAAGACCATTATTTACTTAAAGGTAAAGACCAGTTATGGTCATGCGATTGCATTGTGAAAGAAACGTTGTGGAATCGATCAGAAAAGGTTGATCATCTAGCATCAAGCATCTGCAAGGTTCTGGAATCATCAAAATGATAAGAAATTTGGCCCATTCTTCGTAAAGTTACAAGCACTATACACAGAAAGTTGTATATGGGACTACCCTATATCTCTCACAGACCATGAGAGAAACAAATTTACCAAATATATGAATTAGTAGGCGGTTTCCCGGCAAATTTGTTATCATCATGTATTAGTCAAAACATATTCTTTCACATGATTGGTAATGAGAGCTTCCATTTCATTTTTTGAAATTGGGGCGTTTTCCAATACTGGTCTTTACCTTTAATTGTACAATTGCAATGCATATACTGCTGGACGAAGATCATTATCAATATATAAAAGATCATTATTTACTTAACTGTTACTGGCTTTGTAAGAAGGCATCCTGGAATATTGTGTGAGCAAAAAGAGAGGTCCCCTTCCTTGTCATATATATTTCTTATTTACTGTACCCTCATCATTTGAGAAAAAAAAATCATAAAAAACCAACTCAAATACACAGCCAGTGTTTCAGTAGCTGTATAACTGTGAATTTTTTTTCCATTAACTTGAGTTCATGATTTATTAGACAGAAATCAGCAATTCTTGAGAAAAATAGCCTTGGTTTGAAGTTCTGTGTTTTCCATTATAAGCCAAAATCTAACTTGAGAAATCAGCCCGAGCTACAGAGCAGGAGTGGGTTTTCAACTTTTCATCGACAAATTAGCCAGCTAATTAGCCAAACAGTGAGCCATTTCATAAACAAGCCCTAGTCTCCTCAGGTAAAATAATTGCTTGACAAGCACAAAAGCAAAAATAGCCCACTATTTGAATCTTGACAGAAGAACTTGACCTCTCTGTGATAGGGCTAATTTCCCTTGATCCGAATGAGTGAGCTATTATGAAAGATCTGAAAATGGTGACAGCCTTGCCTGGTAAATTGTCTCCCATCTGCAGTCTTTTTCATATTGTCTTTTGTCAACTTCAAAGTTCAAGTTCAAGTGATAGCAAGAACCTGTTTAAGTCCTCCATCAATATTCGCTTGTTGCTATGTTGATCCCTGTCCGCCTGTAGAATTCAGAGTTGACGTGACCGACACGCACGTGAGCACGACCAGGAGGATCCACAAACTGTTCTAGCTTATGACCGTAGACTGATGACGCCAAAGTGGGTGTGACTTTCACCTTTTCCTGAAAGTAATATAAGATATATTATATTAGAGAGATGATAAATCGTCATAAGTAAAAAGCCTTGAATTAACAACATATTCACAAAGTTCAAAATCATTGTTTTCCAAACTAAATTGGCTTTAAAAATGACCAATTTTTGTGCCTCCCTTACAAAAATGTATCATGGTAACCATGGTACTTTTGTCCAAATTATCATCCACCATGGTAACCATGGTTATCATGGTACTAAAACAATGAAATACATTGGGTCATTAAACAATGTATTTCATTGTTTTGGTACCATGATAACCATGGTTACCATGGTGGATGGTAATTTGGACAAAAATAAGCACCATGGTTACCATGGTACATTTTGTAAGGGCTGTACCATAATATACTGTTCAGGCACAAAGTTTTTAAGTTACAAATACATGTAACATTCAAAATTTGATCACCGTAATTGCCGACTGGAAAAAGAAAAGCTGACTAAATATAAGCTGTAGTAATAAATTCTGGTCATTTAGACAGTTATAGCTGAAAACATAGTTGTTTAGACAGCATTTTCAGCACCTACTTTTTCTTTTCTTTCCTTCGAAGCACAAAGGGGTGCTACAGCAGTGATAATGTATGTGCTACAAAAGTACTGAATGAATTACCTCATCATTGACTGTGAGCCCCTTTGACTTGGCATGTTCCCTGTCGCATCGATGAAGCTTGTTGTTATATCCCTCCGTCTGGTTGAATAGTCGGTCATATGTGGAATGGCCCTTGGGCTGGAAACGAGACGAAAAACATACAATCAATATAAAAACATGTCCATTAGACTAGAGGTCTATAATAATATTACCGGTACCATTATCACATTCTCATCACTGATAGACCTCTATATGGTTTTCCACAGAGAAAATCTTTGAAGGGTTCATGAAATTTGGCATATATAACCTTAATTATCATTTTATTCTATCCCTGGTGATATCCTCTTTAGTTTAATAAGACTAGTAGAGTCCTAGACCGAAAGCTTCAGTCTCTATACCGTCGGTTGTTCCACTGAGACTACGTCTGGCTCCACTAGACCTTCGGTTATAGAGACAGAACGATCGCCTATGCCAGCCTATGTTGAAGATATCACGGCTAGATTTTAGCCGTTAGGCCCCTCCCACAAACATGACAAACTTGCCACGGCCGTATTGTTATGCCCCCAAAATCCCCCAAAATGTCATTTTACCTTGTGCATTTCCAATTTTACATTAGGCCTAGGCTATAATACATATGTTCCACTTACTAACTTGATTGAAATAATCCGTTTAATGGTCCCTTTTAAGGAAATTATGGGTCAAAATCATTATCCATGTTGAAAATCTTGCAAGCCGTGTTAAACTCTCGCTGTCGTCAATCTCATCCCTTCTAGTCTACGCCGAAGGCAAAATGATTATGAAGGAAAAACTGTGATAACGCCATTACGAACGTGTAGATGGCGCACAGTTTTTCCTTCATAATCATTTTGCCTTCGGCGTAGACTAGAAGGGATGAGATTGACGGCAGCGAGAGTTTAACACGGCTTGCAAGATTTTCAACATGGATGTCGATTTTGACCCATAATTTCCTTAAAAGGGACCATTAAACGGATTATTTCAATCAAGTTAGTAAGTGGAACCGATGTATTATAGCCTAGGCCTAATGTAAAATTGGATATGCACGAGGTAAAACTAAAATGACATTTTGGGGGATTTTGGGGGCATAATAACAATACGGCCGTGGCAAGTTTGTCATGTTTGTGGGAGGGGCCTAACGGCTAAAATCTAGCCGTGATATCTTCAACATAGGCTGGCATAGGCGATCGTTCAGTCTCTATAACCGGAGGTCTAGTGGAGCCAGACGTAGTCTCAGTGGAACAACCGACGGTATAGAGACTGAAGCTTTCGGTCTAGTAGAGTCCTATCTTCCCTCGACCTCCTCCTTTTTATTCTTCTTTTTACTTTGTCCTTGCTACTTATTATATTATTAGATAAATATTAATATCAACATTTAATTGTGTAAACAATTTGTATACTTGTAAGTCAGATTACATGTTGGTGTTCATATTGCCTTTCGTTAAGGTAATATTTATACCACCGGCGCCAATTCATCCGAAAGCCAAACTGCAGCTGCGTGCTCGCCGCCCCTTACTGCGTGGTCTACTCACCGCCACTTTACTGTTGAAGGCATTCATATCGGCAGGATCATTTCTTGTCGTAGGAACGTAACAAAACGATGATTTTGCAGCGAGAGGGTGACCATTTTCCATCAAACCAGGATACTCTTTGAGAGACTTTCTTGTCGACTGTTCTGACTCCATTTTTAGCCGCAATTAGAGCAATGTTTTAACGAAAATGCAGATCGTACTCCAGTCTTCCCTATCAAAATATCAGTCTTCACTCCACCAGTTTCAATACTGTACTACTGAATTCTGCGGCCGTATTGCATGCGAATTGCATGCTGTGTATACCTTTGTATACAAAGCAATGCGACTGACTTCCGGGTATACACATTGGTTTCCAAGGCACGGATACAACATTGGGATATGAATATTCATGAGCAATCTAGCATTACGCGTCGCTCATTGGTTGGACCCAAACAATCGGTTAATATAACACATGTAGTTGTCGTGGTAAACATGGAAAGGCCCTCATTTCAAGGATTTTTTTTTTCTTCCAACTTACACGGAGAATTCCTCATTTAAAGGAAGTTTCAAGGAAATTGTCTTGTGATTTTCAAAGTTTTCATGTCATTAACAAATCATAACTTTCTTATTAGTTATTCGATTTTGCTCAAACTTTTTTGATTGGTTTGTCTGATTTTTATTTTGGAGTGGACTTGCCCTACGAAATTCTAAGGGATCGCTGAGGATTGAGAAAAAATTAATCAAACAAAATTAAAACAGGCCATTAAATCAAACAAAATAACTGGACCTAAATTGACTGAAACTTTACGACTTGCTCTTTTCAACTTGCTAATTGCCAATTTTTGTTTTCTCTCTCTTTCTGTCATTTTCTTTTATTTGTTCACATTTGCAAAAGAAATATAGATTTAATTAAGCTAATCAAATATAAAGAAATTGATTCTGTGAAAATACTGATTCGAGGGGAGAACGGTAACCCCTTTTCATCTTTGATGAGTGCTCCTTGTCATCTTTCATAATAATTATTGCCCTCTTTTATTTTGACACGTGCCCCTTGTCCTAATAAAAGCCCCATTTTTCTAAATAAGAATCTGATATAATTTATACTTCTATTAAAATGACATAGGTGCCCCTTTTCTTTCGACAAGTGTCCATTTTCCTTTGTTATAAGTGCCCCTTTCTATTGTCACGATTGCCTCTATTCATCTCGGGTAAATGCTCCTTTCAGATACAAGAAATAACCCTTACCACCTGATAAGTGCCCCTTCACCTTTTACAACTAATTCTTTTCAAATCTGAGAGGTGTATCGTCCCTTTTATTTTCACAATTTTAAGTGCCTCTTGTCATTTCCGGTGAGTGCCCTTATTACAATTTGAGAGGTGCTCCTTTAATTTAATAATGAGTGCCCCTTTTCATAATTTTATCTCTGATAAGTGCCCCTCTTATTCAGTGACACGTCCTCTATCCTTTCCAATGGGTGCCATTTTCCGAATTTTCATTGTCTGAAAATGGTTCCTACGGCGTTCGTAGCAATTCGTAATGGCATTGTGACCGAGGCTTTAAGCAGAATTTTGGACCATCACGGTAAAGAGAGAAACAAACTTTAAAATAATCCCTGATAATGTAATAACTATGTAGGGGGTATATACCATGTCCAAAATATGTATATTTGTGGTTTCCCTTTGTAGGTGTCCCTATTCCCCAGAAAGTGCCCTTTTGTGTTGGTGCCCCCCCCCCCCCCCCCCACCACTGCTGGCTACTCACGCTCTAGCTGCCACCCCTGGGCATGGTTAAACCCCTTAGCTTCCGAGGGCTCACGCCAATTTACGTTCCTTCCACTCTACTTGATGGTAAATAATTTATAGGCCCCCGCCCCCCCCCCCCCCCCCCCCGCATTTAAAAAAAAACGTTGATCTAGCGCGGGCCTGATTTTGGACAAGTTACGATTCGTTTACGGAAATCCTCTCTCTTTTTCTCTCCCTCTTCCAATCCTATATTGAGCCAATCAAATGCAGCACTAGGATGGCTACCTTAGGCTAAAAAAAGAGCCTCGACGCCATCGGAGAGCCACCGCACATTTTGAGTTAGAGTTCGAAGTCTGGCTTTTGTAATTTTGTTCCATGCACGCCATCCCTCGAAATGTTTGGCTTAATCTAGACGAGTGGTAGGACCCTAATTCAACATGAATTCTGAATGTGTTTGTGATGGTGTGGCAGCCAATGGTGTAATGTCATCAAATTTGCAGGTATAGTAAGGATTTTCGGCTTAACTTTACTTTAGACTGTTTTCACTAAAAAGCTGTGTTAGGGTAACTCAGATCAAGACTAGAGTCCAGGGAGCTCCGCCGCCGAAGGCGTGGGGGCGGAGCTCCCTGGACTTAGGGTGTCTGAATCTGCACATGCTGAATTCTGAAGTCGCACTGAAAAAAAAACACGCCCAAGTTTTTACTTTAGCCTGGGCTCACTAGAAATAAAAATATGACATAAATTGCAAACCCTTATAAGATGTGTAGATCTATATTCAGATGACAGATTGCCATTTCCCCATGCATTTCCAATGGGAAACTGAAGTTTCTGTTTTATACTCGAATGTTGTCACTTTTTCTCAATTTTGCACTGTGATCCGATATTCAAACCTATAAAAAAATCACACCATCAGAAAGATTGAAATATTTACCATCTGGTTATGTAACCTAAAAGGACAAGTTTTTGACATTGAGTATAAAGTTGACTAAAGTCGTAGATGTAGACCTTTCTTGATCTAAATAATTGGACCTCGGCCCGGCGTCAGAAGTAAGCTCAAAGTCAAATTTTGAATTGTATGTGCCATTTCTTAACTAGGTCTAGGCCTAAATAGCCTAGATCTATGGCGGGAAAAAGCTGGAAAACTGTCCGATTTCAGTTTCTAATTTTGCAGTAAATAAATGGAATATTTCACCCCCCCCCCCCAAAAAAAAAAAAAAAAATCATATTTCTGTTTGAAGGTTGTTATTTTCCAAAATCCAGAAAGAAAATTCAATTTAGAATGTAATTAACTATTAGTTAGTCTACTGTAATTAACTGTTAGTTAGTCTATTGTGAAATGAGCAAGTTTTTTTTCTTTCTCCAGACACCCCAGTGAAAAAAATACACGGGGGCTCAGGGCGAAATAGCCCCAAAATGCCCAAAAGAGCCCCCGAAAATCAGAAAAGAGCCCCCTTAAACTTGCATAGAGTTCAATGCAAAACATATTTTAGAATGTTATTTTCATGCAGGCAAGGTTGAAAAGTAGCCCCCGAAAAATAAATATTAATTTTTCCCTGAGACACCCTATGTTGGATCTAACACTAACATACGGTAGGCCTAACAATACATTCAAGTTAGTATTTAGGCCTGTGTAACGTTAGATTGTTTCACGTCTTGTTCCTGGATCAACTCCCAAATAGTACTCCCAAATAGACCTAGTACTTTTTCAGAGCAACCTTAAAAAAGTTGAAATATTTCTGATCTCTCGACCATTTTAAAATAAATTACATTTTTTATTTTGATGCAAGATAATACAGTTTATTTCTGATTTGTATTGTATGGCTCAACAGAAACTTTAAATAATAACTTGGTCAAGACTTTGAATTTTTAGTGAACTTACTGGAAGTAAAGCAGAAGCTGTTTGATTATGATTTCCCTGTTTCTAAATTCTAAACAGTTACCGGTAGGCATGGAATAAATCTTGGAAGAATAGTAAATATTGATCGTTGGTCATGAATATTTTTTCCTGGATCTCATGTCGGCCAAAACAGGAGGGGAAAGGGGGAGGGGAGCTTCCAAACTCAGAAGTAGACCTCCAATGAATATTCAATTCAGGTATGTTGCTATGTCAGTACATAAATTATCTTTTGTTAGGCGTACTTGAAGCTCCCCAGTAAGAAATTACCATAAAAAAGCACCCAGCCAAATGGGTCTATAAGTTGAAAACTTGTTTATTGTAGGCTAATATGAGAAATCTCTTATTGATTGTTACTTAGGTATGTGTTAAAAACTTTAGAATTGCCGCAATTTTTGTGTCTTTCCTCGGTAGGCCTTTTAATTATTTCTAATATTCAATCTAAGGAAAAGTTGTATATTTGATAATTAAATTATGGTTAAGTGATGGAAGTTGAAAAATTATGAGTACCGGTAGTGTCAAACATGGTTAAGTGATGGAAGTTGAAAAATTATGATCGGTATCAAACATGAAGAGGTTTACAGTTCCTGTAATGAGTGACGTACCAGTAACTAGAACAATTAGAGCAATTAATGAGAGTTAATTACTCCACACATTTTTACATGTAATTTCTTCTTTTTGTCTTTATCCTCCAGGAGATTCTACCCAGGGGGTATGACTACCATGTTTGCACCATGGATGAACGTCCTGGACCCACCTTAGCCTTTACAGGTGTTGTTAGGGTAAACATAAGTGATGAAGCTGTTGCTAAGCAGTGGGTGAAGGAATTTGAGGAATCCTCGTACTGCACTTGGCGGGTTCTGAGGACCTACATCAACACTCACAGATATGTTCGGTTCAAAGTAAGCCAGCATCTATTAACATTTGCTATTGCAATCATTTTTTTCTTCAGAAGGGAATAGGGTAGTATCATTTCAATATTTTTCTTTGTCTTCCCCCCCCCCCCCCCCCCCCCCCCTCTATAAAAAAAATAATTGTATTTTATTGTGGAATGACATCTGTTCTTCCTTCTGTACAAGGTTGATGGAACTTGAATAACTTTGCAACGATTTGCCCCTTGGTCACTTGGATGGTAGAAGCCGGACAGGGATGTTATTGAAGGTCAACAGTCAAATGAAGTCAAATGAGGTCAAATACTACAATTTACCAGAAAGAATTATTTCACTATCAGAATGATTTCATAAACAGCAAAATCTCCCCCCTCATCATGCTTGACATTCCCATCAAAAGTTGATTCTTTTTTTAAAAATAAAATTCCTGTCCATTATGTACCGGTACACATTTTAACTACATTCTAATTCCCCATAACATTAGTTGATTTAATTATGAATAGTTGTTGTACACTCTTAAAGGTGATTTTAATTCTTTGAATAGTGTTGGTATTTGAATATGTAGCACTCATCCATTGTTACTTTCTATTTGATTAAAATAATTATGTTGAATTGATTATGTGGAAAGAAATGAACAATAATAAATCAGAGCTTTGCCAAGGAATATCTCTGTCCAATATGGGGGACAGAGGAGCAAGAGCAGTGCTCAGATTTTTATGTATTTTTTATTTATTTATTTATTTATTTTTAAATTCACTTGATCCAGATTTATAATTTAGATCCAATTGGCATGATTGGGGGAATAGAATGGAAAAGAATCGCCGTACATGTAAAAAGCAAATATTTCCAAGAATTTGTTGATTATTTTAGTGTTTTCTATCTTCAACTATGGAGGGCAACATTTCACTTAAATATCCACATCTCACCAAACCACTGTTCCCCTGTGTGAATGCTGTGGCCAGGTATACCCTTAGCTCCTAAAATAAATATGTTTATTTTTATCCTTATCCCTGGACACAGAAATCTTACAAATGTCAACACAATATACGAGCGTCAACAGGCAGCAATGAAAATAGGAAAACCCCGAGTAAAGATACAAAGTGCCCGACCAAATTCACCATCACTGTGAAGACTACCATGACTGCAGAAAACAGGATCTCCAAGTAACAAATACTTTATAATTCTAATGATAATCAAAAATAAATGATATAGTGGTCACAACATGAACAGAAACTGTAATGAGGACATGCAGTTTTGGAATTCATACAGCAGTCCGTGTCTTCTTGGAGGTTATCATACCAAGAACATGTGTGTGTTTAACACCGGTTTACGACACCTGAAGTATCTTTGTTTTGATACGATTGCATTCTTGCCTAAAACTCCTACACTAAAACCCAGGGACTATTAAATGATATCACTCCTTGTAATTTTGAATCAATTTTCTGCATATTTTGTATAAAAGTCTGCAGATTTTGTATTAAAGGTTTCTATGTAAACCTGGGAATGAAAGCATGTCTAATTTTATTTCATTTTGTTTTCCAACAGAAACATGACAGACAAACATCTCCCTCAGTTTCCAACCATGTTACAATTTAGGTATGACCACAATCACAACATCCACTGTGCAGCAACTCTGAGACATCGAGATGTATCAAAGGCAACAGAGGAAAAACTGACCACACTGTTCTACGAGAAATATGGTCCCACTGCCGCACTCGAGGCCCTCAAGTGTGAACTGAAGTTGGAGTATGGGGACCAATACTACAAGGTGGCTGGTGATCGATCTATTTGTCCCGATGTGCAGTACTGCAGCAGGTGAGGAGTTGAATTTGCACCTTTTAAAGGGATTGTGTAACTTTGTCTCTGATTCTGAAACAAAATCCTGGATTTAGCTCATGCTGAAATGATAATTATAAACCTTTAGGTCGTTCAGGAACCCTATGACTTTTAAAAGCTGATCGCCTTTCTGATTATAAAGATATTTATGATTGGAAATCAAAAAGAATTTTGCGTTTTCCTAACGGTTTTCATAACACTACAGTTTATTTGGGAAAATGAGTATGGTAAAACTGCTCACTCAAATATTTTTACTTTTTTGAGGCACTTCATGATCATTTTGAAGCGAAGGGCCATGCATCTCAGATTTAACAATGCCTTTAAAGGAATGAGAGTATATTAATGAAGTGGCAGGAGAAGAGGGTGGATCCGGCGTTTGGTATGTTAAAATTTTTGGTCTGAGTGAAGTCTTCTGTTTAAATTGCTAAATAAGCTAGGATTGGTTTAAAATGCTGCTTTATACCAACAATTAATATTAAGACTAACTTGCAATCCTGCTGAAAGGATTTAAATGAATGCTGTAACTTATTGTCATTTGAAGTCTATTTGCATGGTGAGGGTAAAGAAAATGATAATTCATTGTCCATGGGTGGTATCCTGAACACCGTTTAAACTGTGCTGTAAGTTTCGTTTTAACTTCAGTTATAGGCCACCGACTTAAATAACACCTCTAGCTAAAAACGATTATAAATCGGTATTCTGAAAACTGTTTTAACAGTGTTTTAATCATCATGAAATCCACCAAATGAGGAAAATACTTTTCGATAAAAGAATATACCATTTTGCCTCTCGATAAGTCCACTTCTTGATTTTAAAAAAAACTGAGGCTTTTCTTACTTTTTGAGTTTTGTATGTATCATTTTACTTTCTTTAGATTGTATCGGAAGAATTTCAAAGCTATTTATGGTGTTGCCAGTGGCGATCAAGATATGCTGACCAGTTTGAAAGCATTTGCAGATCAGTATAATGCAAGAGATGGGAAGATAGCAGTGGAGGTTGCCGACAACCAGGTCATTGTAGCCATCTGCACACCTTTAATGCAACGTGTGCATACAATGCACACATCTTCGAGCAAGCTGTGTTTCATGGATGCGTCCAGCAATATGGATCGTGATAACTGCAAAGTGTTCATGCTACTCACGCACTCGTGTGTTGGCGGGCTACCTCTTGGAGTTCTTATTACACCATCAGAAACACAGGCTACAATTACAGCTGCCCTACAGCTACTGCAGACCATCTTGCCAGCAGGATGCTTTGGTGGAAGGGGTGCCGTCGGCCCGCAGATCTTCATTACAGATGACTGTATGGCTGAGCGACGGGCCTTGAAAGATCTCTTTCCACAAAGCAAGCAGCTGTTGTGTTCCTTCCACCTTTTAAAGGCCACATGGAGGTGGCTTTGGAGCAGTCCAAACCAGATCCCGCTTGCCGATAGGCCAAACTACCTTGCCCAAATGAAGAGAATTATTTTCGCCTCAACTCCTGAAGAGACTGATGCCCTTTTTCACTCCAGTATGTTTGATCCAACCCTTAACCAGTGAGTGATTTTCATATACCGTATGTTTTCTTTACATTTTAATAATTATTATTTTGATTGTTATTGTTCTTGTTCATATCATAAAGTTAGTTTGCCTCATTGTGTGCATTAAAACAAATTAGGCAAGTGTATCTGAAATGTAAAAGCTGTTTAGCAACATGGTCTAGATTACAACGTCATCATCTAAATCTCATTTTTTTTCTAATATTTTGTCTTTTCCAATCCTAGGTCTTACAGGGACTATCTGGCCAGTACTTACTCAAGGAGACATGAATGGGCGTGCTCATATAGGACAGATTTGCCACTTCGGGGCAACACCACGAACAATTATGGCGAGGCAGCAATGCGTGTCCTGAAAGACCGGATCTTGGCAAGGACAAAGGCCGTCAATGTTGCCCAACTTGCAGACTTGCTTTCTAATAATCTGCAGGATTACTATGAGAGAAGAATTCTTGATGTTGCTAACGGGCGGGTGGATCATGTGCTCTCTAGCAGAAGTGCGGTCAAACCCGGTGACATTACCGATCAAGACATCACCAAGGTACACTTCTAAAAATATCATTGGTACAAAATAAGCCCTTGTAAGAACAAATACCATTGTACCCGATGGTACTTGACTAAATTACTGTGATCAAAACCATGGTACTATCATGGTATTTACATGGTTTGGAAGGTAATTTGGTCAAGTTCTGTGGGTACCATATGGTACCTTTTTTGTACAAGGGAAAATAATAAATTTGTTTATGAATATGAAGTACAGCAAACTTTTGAAAACCAATTCAGTTTTTATTATCTATTATTATTATTTTTTATTTTTCATGTCATTTCATTTTGTATTTTTTTTTTTGTTGTGGGGGGGGGGGGGGGGGGGGGGTAACCGTCTATACTGTAGTATTACACAACAAACTACAGTTTACCAGGAAAAGAAATAGGGGCCATATCCCACAAGCTTCACAGTCATACAGCTCACAACATAGGACAATGAGCTCAACATTGTGTAGTTTATACGCACGGGCTTGACACTACGGAAATTTACAGAGTCAAGCTTTATGGGCCTTATTTGCAAGATGATCTTGTGGGCCGTATCACCTGTAAGTTATGACTCATGGGCAGCCGGGCCCAGAGGACTCATGGGTCTCAAGTTCTTGGCGTGTACCCCAAAATATCACTTTTATTGCTTGCATTAATCTCTCTTTTTGCTTCATTAAAGCTTTCAGTAGATTTCATTCATATTGCTATTTTACTCATTTCCCAATATTAATAATGCAGATATCTGAAATGGAGTTTGAGGTTGTGAGCCATAGCGTGGAGTACCACGTTGACACCCAAGTGGGATGCTGCACGTGCCATGCAGGCAGGACTGGTGGGTCTTGTAAGCATCAGGCTGCTGTCAAGCACCACTGTGTCACATCCATGAACTTTGTACCCCTGCCGATCGATGTTGCCACCAAAATCCTGTTATACAGAATTGCTACAGGTATACAACAGACATAAGTTGTTACTAAAAGTACAAATTGTAGATGTAAACTTTTTAATGATTTTATCAAAAGAAACTTAGAAGAACTGAGCTGTTTTCCATCGATTATTAGTTTATTTGCTTCTGATATGCCATACTTTGCAGGAATCCCTGTGGGATGGCCCATGTAATTATAATAAAATGAACTAATTGAATGGGGTCATATCACACGACCTGAACATTCACAGCCCACAAGCTATAGACATGTACAAAAAAGTTCCATGAGCTTGACACCCGCAAGTCATACAGAGCATGAGCTTGATGCTAAATAAAACAAGCCCAAAAGATCAACACTATGTAATTATTCTCAACATCGAGCTGTCAATTATGCCCAAAGCGTCGAGCTTGGAGGGTTTGCCCACTGTCAAGTCTGTGGACTCTTGAGTTATGACTCGTGGGTAATTACTTGACGCTTGAGGTATATGACTCATGGGCCATAGGACAGGTTGGCCGTAGGACTCCTGGTTGCCGAGCTTGTAAGTGAATTGTACCTGACATGTACCTGATTAAATTAAGGTATCACATATAGTCATTGGAAAAAGTATTTACAGGAACCAATTAAAGAAAATCTTACCCCAGATTACTCAGAAAAGAGTCCTTAGACATACTAAGAAATTACCTGAACTACGTTGCGGTACAAACAGAGTGAAAAACAGCCCAATACCATCACTTATATGCATACAATTCTAGCTAACAAGAATGTTTTATTTATTTTGTAATACTACCACTATTGTGATGTAATCCCATAAGTGCAATACTTGAAGGCAAACTATATGGTTTCAATTACTGTATGAAATCAAGTTTTTATGCAGATATTTTTAAATATTTATACACATATGGTATACCAATTTTATATATATTTATACTGGGGTCTTATCTTTGTATCTGTAAAATAGAATTACTGAAGTTAAAAATCGGTGTTAACCATTTATTTTTAATTGTTTAAATGACTGAAATTATCTTCCATGGCCAATGTCACAGTTGTCTCCTCTTCCTCTACCACTTCTACTTTCCCATCTCCCCTCTTCATCTTTCCCTTATCCTTCCTTCTCAATCCTCTTTCCCCTCTTTCTCCTTCTGCTTTTGCTTCTTCTAATTGTTCTCCTTTTTATAGTCTGGTTGAAACATTATAAACTTTTCCTTAGAGTAGCTATTACCTAGAGTAAATTTTTTAATTCGTACAATTTTTCATATAAGTATTTATTTTCTACATAACTTCGCCTTTATCATTAGTAGTTTGATAATGTGTAATGCTTGAATTGTGATATCGATACATCATGATAGTGTTACTATTCGCAGTACCCCTGTCTATCATCTTACTATCCCCACTTCAATCTTCTTCTTCTTCTTCTCCCTCTTCATCCTCTTCTTAATCTTACCATCCTCTTTTCTATGCTTTCTTTACTCTACACCTCCATCATGTACTTCTTCACTTTTCTTTATCTCCCTTTTATATAAAAATGAGTTAAAGAGATCAAATAATAATAAGAAATAAGAATTTTAAAGTTAAATATTATTTTTAACAATTTACTCATTCAAGTTCAGTTCATTAATTTGATGTCATTTAATGAATGTTTTTATATATTGTATTTTGCATTTATAAAACATTGTCCAATTCGGCCTTGTAGGCCGCGATGCATTGTTGTTCTTTTATTCTCAATAAAACCATGATCATTAAATATAGTCTATAAAGTAAGTATCAGTCCAGCTCGGTTGTGCTTGTGTGCAGCTCAATATTATATTTTTTTTAAAAGAATATACACAATTAAGTTATATCAGTTTCTAACTTATGAAGAGGTCTTTTCTCATCTTTACTCAAATTTGCATTATTTTTATCTATTTGTTTGAGCAAATATAATTCAAATTTGTATGATCAATTATAATTTTTAAATTTTTTAAATTTATTTTTATTTTTTATAAATTGTTGGTAGGTCATGATGCTCCTGAGTCAGGCTGGTTTGCTGGACTACAAAGTGATTCAGCCTATGAGGATGCCATCCAAGAAACCCAAGCAGAAGTTGCAGAACTATCAGACATCATCCAGGACTTCGAGGAAGACTATAATCTAGGAGAACCTTCTTCCCCCTCGACCTCCCATGTGACAGCATATTCACGAATCGGTAACTTTGGTTTTGATTGAGTATTTTTTTATTATGCCTCGATCTGCCCACCAAAAGCATTATGTTTTGGGGTTGTCTGCTCATCCATCCTTGTCGTCCATCTGTTTGTCCTTTTTTTAGTTCTCTTGTTCTCGCAATAATTATAACTTGGCTCATTGATTAATGCATATGGGAGAGACAGTGATCACAATACATTTTCAAAGTTTTGGAAGAAATTACATTGATGATAACAGTGCGTCAAACCTATTTTTTCCCTATTACACCATAAAGGAAGATAATGTATTTTCAGGATGGCTTGGGCGTGTTTTTTTCTTCCTATTTGTATACTATTTAATTTTAATTAGGGATCAGTCAGAATAATTTACTATTAAATGAATTTCAAGTTCACAGGCATTGTGAATTTTTAAGTAGGAGCCATCAAAGTTGGGTATACTTTTTTTATAAACGCTGTATAACATGTATTCCATGTCTGACAAGGGTGGATGCATGCATTAATTCAGTTCTGCGCAGTTAAGAATCCATCTAGTTTTCTCTCATGATTTGCTCCAACCTTGAGTATTTGCTAGTAAAATGACATGAAATTTAGGTACTAAATTTTAATCTATGTTGGGTTTGAGAGTTAGCTTAACCATACAATCCTTACGTTTATTACATCCGCTTACATTCTGTGTTTTGGTTTGTTTATTTTTTAACAGATGAGGTCAAAGAACGGTTTAAGACTGAATTCTTTGATAGGGTCATGGAGAAAATGGACACTTGCCCAGAAACATTTGTACCGGCTGTGGAGGCAATGCTGAAGCAGTGTAAAAGCATACACGCAGACAGCAATCTAGCATCTGGCATGTTCGCGTTTGCCAAAGACTCAACGAGAGGTGCATCTGCAAGGAAGCTTGCTGTGAAAAGGTTGAATCTGGCAGGGACAAGGAAGATAGGGGTGCAGCCCACTGCTACTGCCAGGAGAAGGCCCAGAAAAGGGGGCAAGCAAATTGCTGACGTCCTTGCAAGACTTTCAGTATGTCGAGGAGTGAACGTATAGTGACCTTGAAAATCTATAGTTGAGCGTAGTGCTGCTGCGGTGGATAAGAAATGATACAAATTGTTTAAACAGTACCATTTGTTGCGCCTTTCCCAAAAAATAACACTAAACCAGGAGAAAACAGCATATAAATTGTAAGCCAAAATTGTTTTGAGCACCCAAATTGGTCTTATAGCTTCTCATACACTGTTTTATTTTTTTCCACAACAATTATTACATACTGCTTTTCAAATTTCTTACAGAGAAAAAAAAAATGTGTGGCTGAGACTCACTAAAATTTTGCTCAAAATTAATATTTTGGCAGAAAGGAAGGTGTGGAGTGCCAATTGCTACCCCACCCATTTTATATATGCCTAGATTACATGCACTTCCACCACATTCGTTTCCCAATTAAAGTATGCATACCCAAATGTAATTACCTTGATCTTTTTACCTATCATGTGATTTATGATAAAAGTGCAAAATTGCTTTCATTTAATCCTAGAAAGTGAACCTATCCTGTGGTAGCATTGATTTTAGTTCCATGATTTTAAATTGAATTGTTTTTATATTTTTGACAGCCTTGATCCCTTTCGATCGTCAAGAATTTCATGATTCATATTGAGTTGCAATAAAAATTCAGATAAATCATCATGTACTGAGTCTTTAAAATGTTTTTTGTGTCTAATGTAGTGATTAATTATTCAACAGTAGCTCTGCTATGATCTTTACTACTGTGTAATATTCGAAACTTGTATAACAAAAATTAAATAAAAAGATAAATAGTGATAAGGTGGAAATGATAATAATAATAACAATATTAATGATGATGATTATGATTCATATATTATATTCATATTTATTTCATTTCCAACAGAAAGGTAAACAAAGATATTACATTTGATTTCATACATAATTCACTTTTTCAAGAAACTATACAAATAAACTTTGCACATAATAAAATTATTACAAGAATTTCTTAATTTCTAAGGAAAAAAAAAAAGCAGTGATTGTAATTGATGATGATGATGAGGATAATGATGAGGATAATGATAATAATATTAGGGGCCTATAACAATATATAGGCCCTGTTGATAACAATAAATCTAATGCAGCTATTATGTTAAATCAAAAAAGTAATTAGACCAAAATGGTTTATTAGACAAAATGACACTGGACCAAATTGAACTTTTAGACTAAATGATATATGGAAAAAATGCTTAATTGTAATTGGGCTTAAACCCCTTGGTGATTAGTTGGCCAATTAAATGGTAATTGGACAAATCAATTTGAAGCATCCGGCTATGCGGAAGAACGTGTCACCAGGGGCTTGTCATTTGTCTGTGGATAGGAAGTTAAAGTTATACTCCAAGGAATACTGTGCGAATGAAGCTATAGTTTGTGAGAATAAGATGAGAATTAATTGTGCCCACCGTATAAGGAGGGAATTTAAAAAAGAAATAAGGAAGTGAGCAGAGAGTTGGTGAATACGAGACAGGAAGTGAGAGTGAGAGGGAGAGAGAGAGTGAAAATGAAATTGTAAACATTAAGGAAGTGAGCAGAGAGGAAGAACAATACAAGATAAGAGGGGAGGGGAAAAGTAGATTAAGATAAAAAGGAAGTTTGATTATTAAAAAAGTGAGCTGGGAGAAAGAAGACGAGAGAGAATTACAAGAAAGAAATTAGAGTAAAGTGACGGAATGAGATAGGTAAGAGATAAGAAGGCAAAAGGAGAGAGATAAGGAAATATATAGAGGAGTAAAAAAAAAAAAGAGTAAAGAAAGAAACATTGAAATAGGATGACCATATTGATATATGGTTCACACCATTATCAAACGTAATGATTTGTCAAAGTCCAGATAACATTATTTTGCAACAATATTTTAGAAATGCGTTTTAGAGAAATTAAAGCTTTGATCCAAGGGCGCGGTTCCAACTTTTTGAGTTTTTCCTTGAACGTATCACATTCCCTCAGTTTTAATGGAATTACACATACCAGAGGGGTTGGTTTGGATACGAGATGAATTAAGGCCCCCTTCTTCAATTGTAATTATATACTTTATATTTTGTAATGAGCAAATTTATTAGTGCCGAACGTACTGCCGTACGAATCGAGTCCGTTTGTGGACTCGAAACTCGATATATAAATAGCTAGGGACGAGTTTGTTTGGAATCTTGAGCGAGATCGACGAACTTTACTTTTACTCGGACTTCCGTGTTTTTTTTCGTCAACTTAATCGAACCGTTCGTCGAAATATTTCGGTAACTTTCTTGATTTATGGTACTAATGATATTATAATTTAGTCATGTATGTACTTTTGTCTTTGTTTGTCTTTTGGAAAGTAACAGCCCGACGGCAACCTTAAAACAAAATTAGGTGGGTCTGGCAAAAGAGATATAGTGGACCCACATGTGTATATTGGTGTATTGTCTTGAAGTGAATGATTCCGCAATTCCGCGGAGCGCAGAGGAGTCATCAGTCGATGCGCGAGGCCAAGCCAAGCAAGGCCAAGCAAGGGCTGAATTGAGGGTGAACCTGACGCATATGCAATTCTTTGAAACAACAACTTGTTGGGTTAAAAAAAAATTAAGAACAGCAATAGTCTAATTTTCTATGTCAGTAGATCTAACTTGTAAGGCAGGATTCCAACAAATCAGGAGGCCGGAGAATTGCATCACAATCGCCAATAAAATTTGATGTCGGGGCAACTTTTCACGAAACCGTCATTAGTCTAGAGACTAGACTAGTACAAGTTCGCCGACAACCCTGTGAAATGATGTATTAAATTTCTCATGTCTCAAGGGGATGTCGGTGAAGTTGCTCTTATGCCTGAAACGATGCCCGTCCCAGAAAGTCACTTTCGCTTTCTGTGATATTTAGTCATTTTAAACTAAAGTATATATTCTTTCCTTGGCTTTAATAAGCCAGTTCACGGTTGCAGTCTGAGCATGAGCAGATAAAGGTCATTGCAGAACAAATTTTGAAATACACGGAGACGAAATACTGGATAAGTGCTCATGAAAGTTATGTAACATTATTCATTCATGCACATTCAGTGCACTCCATGATACACAGGTGGAAGTATTCTTCGAAAAGGATTCTTTGAAAAGGGGAAACAAAGGATATTTATATAGCACCTCCATCGCTGTAGGAGTGATTATTTCAAAATGTACAAAGTGGGACCTCTTCATGTTTCGAAGATCTGTGGATATTCGGGGTCATTGCAGTAATGTGCTAACCGTGAACTGGTCTATTGTATTGTAGTTTTTGTACACTTAACAGTTTATCTGATTTCTAAAATGTAATACTTATTTTAACTTATTTTTTGTGTTAAATGTACATGAATGAACGAATGAAGGCTATTCGTATTACTATTAGAAAATAAGTTCTAAGAAGTAAGAACATCAAATTAGATAAAAATCAGACATTTCCAGAAGTTTTTTCTTGAAATACATGTATGATGCTAGCCATGTTTGATCATTTGATTGACATGGCACAGTCTGTGAAATACATTTTCTTGTCGGAAGAGTTCTATACGTAACGTACCTATGCATTTAAAGAAGGTTACATAAATTTACATGTAACAGGGCTTAACACATAATTCATTTTCCCCTTTTTTGTCCATGCCCAAAGATGTAATAAAGTCAATGACATATCTTATTGTTGGCCAATATTGTTAGTATCAGTTTCATTAGATGTCTTGCAAGATGTGTTTGTCTGCTTTTCATGATATAGTTTGCCTGCTCTGCAACATTTATATCAGAGAATCCAAGAGATCCATCAAAGGGAACCATTTGCAAAATGAATGTTACATTTAATACTTCAAGAAAAATATGTTCTTATCTAGATATCAAAAGGAAATTATCAGCCTATTCCTTTGTTGCTAGCAAAGGGAAGAACTACATGTAATATAAACTACATAATTGGGCTTTTCAGAAATATGTACATTTTTCAATTTGATGTCAGATGTTCAGGAAGGCAAAGTCCATCAAGAATATCTTATCTTTTACTTCATGGTATGTAGTTTTCTTTATTTGACCTTTTTAAATCTTCTAGTTCAGAGAGTACCGTATATAATATTTCTATTTTGTGTGCATTTCATTTTTATTTATTGTCTAGTTTGAGGGCTGAGATCACTACAGACCTTTAAAATGGCAACCCCATTGCAGCAGCAGGTGCACCTGACCCTGATTGACCCCACGCAGAGGACAGACCCAAACATTATCCGTCTGGCCATTGTGATGGCTGGCAAGGGAGGGAAGCTCTATTGTCTCGATCAGGTAAATACAGTATACCTCTAGAGAAAGCCTTAGCAGTAGCATAGCTAGTAGAGAGAGAGAGTCATGTCACAAGAAGTATCTCCTGGGGGTGTTACACAAAGATTAAGATAGTCTTAAGTTGGACTTGAACTATGGCAGGCCATTCATGCCACTGGTTGCTCTCACCATTGATCTCTGAATTATGATCTTTAGATATTATTATTTCCTTCAATAATGATCTATAAAAAAAATGTAAATTCTGTAGATTTATGATCACGATTTGTACATCCCTTGAGAAACCAATGCCAGGAATGGTTACAGGAGCTTACTTTTTGTAGGGGCATGAAAAGCCTGCCATAGTTCAAGTCCAACTTAACTCAATCTTAGTCTTTGTGAAACACTCCCCTGATTGGTTGGTCATTCCCTCCCACAGAGGAAACTATTCCATGGAATGAACGACCAGGAACAATTAGAGTTATATGATTTGTTTTATCAATGACCGCACTTATGTATGCATGTATGCGCATGTCAGAACTATATCTCTGAATACTGCTATGTTTAGCAGTCACAATAGATTTGGAATGAAGTGTGTCTTTGATATTGGTTATTAAGTTAAACAAATACAGGCATTGGTGTATCTCAGGCCCCTATTAAAATCAAAATCAAAACATCATGAAAATCAAGTATTTTCATGGGTTCGTAACCCTGGGGCCAGAAAGAAAAGCTGGCAGGATTCATAGTGGAAATGATTACTGAACATTTTTTTGTTACTCCAAGAAAAAATATTTTCACCAATTCAATGAATTTTACTTTACATCTTGTAGGCCGCTATTAGCTTAGAGACTTTAATCAAGGTTATTTTCATCTTGTTTCTTTTCATGTAGGTGTACTGGTACATGATATGTATTATGAATGTTATGTTTTGTTTTTATGTTTTATGTTTTTGTTTGTTTTATGTGGAGGGCTCTGTTGGAAAGCAGTTTCTTTTAACTGAATCGGACTACTCTAAACTGTTTTATCAATCGTAATCAATAAAACATGAATAAATACACAAATAATAAATGGAATATTTTCTCATACTTTTTTTGCAGAGTAAACCCTTGAATGAGATTGTGGAGGAGGTGTGTACAGATTATAGCATCAACACAAGTGTCGCCACAGAGTACGCACTTCAGTATGCAGAGGGAGAGAAGTACATCACAGAGGAAAACAGAAAGGATCTTACCAATGGAGACATGCTCAAGCTCACCGAATCACCTGTAAGGAGTGTTATTTTAGTTTATTTACTCGTACTCATTCACAGCGAGAGTATGTAATCACCTTTAAAAAATGCAGAGGCAAATCAAAACAACATGAGCAATGTGCGCTTTGAATTTCTGTATCTTAAAACACAGTTTTTTCGAAGGTGATTCCATCCTCTTTAAAGTGACTCGGTAACATTGTTGAAGGTCGATGAAAAAAATTGCTTAATTTTTGTATAAAATGTTACTTACTATATTCCTTCTACTATACTAACCCTCTGACATGCAAAAAATCCTGAACAAATTCTCAAACCACAAAGATATCTATGGTTTCCTTTGAAGGCGTCGATGTGAGGCACCCTCTAACAGTGATTAACAGTAAATTCTCCCAACCATTTTTGAATTTTCCCAACCGTTTTTCCATGAGAAAAATACATAAAACAGGCTATAAAAATCTGTCAACACTTCCCAAGAGGAAAATCAAAAAAACTGTCTGGAATGGAATGTAGAGCCATTTTATTGCTTTGTGACGATTTACATTCACCTAAAATGTAATTAAATTGTCCTTGTCTTGATGCTGAACAGGCTCTGACAGTAGCAGAATAGAAGTAGAATAATATAATTGGGAGAATTAAGGAATCGATCAGATCAGTTTTTCCCAATTTGTACCATGAATAATGATCCGTTTTCACTCAAATTTTCAGATTATCTTTAATTGTACATCTAGCATTGAAGTCACTACCTTAGCACCACTATCTCTCATCTGAACAATGTTACAAAGTCCCTTTAAGAAGTGTTTTTGCACAATTCAACCTTTTGTATGTTCTCCAAAAATAGAAATTTTATTTTGAACACATTATGAAAGATATGATTGATCAATCAGAAGTGTAATACTCCAATTTACATGTAATTTCATAAAGGGTGACATGTTTAACAGTTTTAGATAAAAACAACAGAAGACACATTGCTTTTATATGAACAGGACATGTTTCCGAGTTTAATACTACATCTTTAGCCTGAATTTTACAACACAAATGAAAAGAACCTGATATATACTCTCAGGCTACAAAATATATGACATCATCAGATTGCCTAAATATTGGATATGTCATTCACTACAATATCATTAGTTTTTAATAAATTTCCTTTCAGTCCTTAGCCCCACGTCTCTGGAACAAATTCCCCTCGTTCTTAAGAAACAGTACTTCACTTGATTTCTACAAAAAACAACTGAAAACTTACCTGTACACCTCCTCTTAAGTTGATAGTCTAAGAGACAGCTCCTTGTAAATCCAATTATGAATTAATTATTATATTATATATTTTGTCAAATCATGTAGAACAAATCAGCCCTGGACATCTACAACAAACTTCAATCCAGTGTCCCGGATGATATTCGTCTTGCCCTGATCAGGCTCTCTACAGCTTCCACCGACCTGACCTTTGCACAAGATTTCATCTCCAACCATGGAATAGAACTTCTCGTCAAGATGGTGGAGGAAGGAAGCCAGTAGGTCTTTCAAAGTTTCTTTAAAGCCCCACTGCGCTACTTGTAGCTACTTGCGCCCTCTGTATAGCAAACAATGCCTAAGCGGCACCCGTTGGTCCCCCACGATCTCCGTATTCTTATGTTAAGTGAGAGCTGATTTGATGAGATAACCACATGTCAGTGACCTTGCAGGGAGGTTTAATCCCTCCTGGCCTAACTAGTGCGAACAGGCTTTAAAGATATTTGTTTGTTCGATTGAAGATGATCCTTCATTTTAAAAGAGTCCGGCAAACTCCTAACCAATTGTTTATGTGTGTATTGAAGTAGCATCTGCAGAGCAATTTTGAAAGGAAATGTGTAATTTGCTGAGTAGTAAGCAAAACGAACAAGGCATTGTAGCATTTGATATGAACAGTCAGTCAGTCCCAAATATGAAATCGTAATGATCGAGGTTTGAATATCATCTTTTTTATGGACACCTTTTCATTTTGTGACTGATACCTCAGTCAGATTCACAAGGCTAACATCAGGGACAAAGCATTTAATCAATGAAAAATGACAAAAATCAGTGACAAATCTACTGATAACCAATCAGAAGCAAGGATTTCAGTAGCTTACAACAAAAACTGTCATCTGTCACTGATGACAAGTTTTGTGAAACGCCCCCCTGGCAGACAACAGACTGAACACTGAATATATATCACGAGGAGTGGCCAAGAATCGGTCGCGTTAGAGCTGGTTTGAAGGTGTGACCGAGGTATAGAACAACTTTCACACTGTTCCGTCAGTCGGACCATACTGATATCCAATTTATGTTTCAACTTGTGTTTCTGCTGCAGGAATGGAGAGCCTCTATCACTCACACTCAAGTCTTTTATCGAGCTGATGGATCACAATGTCATCTCATGGGATTCACTTTCTGCAAACTATGTCAAAAAGGTATGGTAGTTCATATCGTCCTGTTTAGAGTCAGAAGTGTGTCATTAGTTCATACGCTTTTACACAGAATTGTTTAGCTCTTAAAGCCCCTCTTTAGCGATGGGAGCCCCTACTTCGCCAAAACTTTGATAGCAAAAAAAATCACTTAAATTGTTTCATAATGTGAAAGAGGCTGCCATTTAAGACACTGCAAAGATTCCCCCCCCCCCCTCCCCTCAAGACTCCCCTGAAGACCAAATTGACAAAAGAATACATAATTTGGGTTTTCTGTTGTACGCAGAATGCCTACGTTTTGTATTCTTTCATCAATACTTGACTAAAAACACATTTGCTTTGAAAATCCTTGCAGAATTGTGTCTTATATGACATCAAATTAAGATACAATTTAAGTGAAATTTTGCCATCAAATTTTTTGGGGCTCACAACACTTTCGGGGGGGCTTTAACAGACAATATATAATTTTGCAATGATGACAACGCCTATGACATTGACTAATACAATGCCAGTGATAAAGGCAAATACAATGTAAATGACAATGGCCATGGCAGTGACATTTATAATGGTTCACTTACAAAGTCTTCTATTTTACTCTTCTCATACTTTCAACGATCACCTTACGCAGGAGATAAGAGTACCTGCAGATTTTAGCAGAAGCTTTTACCAGCAGAATGTGCAGAGGGCCTACTATGTTATTATATGTTATTATCCAATATCTTGGGAAACAATGATATAATATATTCATTAGATATGGACAATCAATAAACAAGGAGTCAGTAAAAGGGAAACCATCCACTCACTCAATACGTTGATCACCAATATCTAGTTGCCTAATCCAAGGCCATGATGAGCCTGAAAACTACTGAATAAGTTGTTAATTCTCAATATTCTCCAAATTTTGTTTTATTTTTTGTAATACAGATTGCATCGTTTGTAAACAGATCAAGTGGTTTGGATTTCCAAGTCACAGAGAGAGCCTTGAATATCCTTGAAAGCAGCATTCTAAACAGGTGAGGTTAAAGAGTATTTCCCCTGTACATGATCAGTTGCCACACGCTTACAGAATAAACTTCATTCATTTCTAAGAAATATACTTCATTTGACTTCTTCAGAAAATATCTGAAAAAATACCTCTACAATTCTTCTTCATTTGTTGATTGACTAAGTGTATCCTCTCCTCTGGAAAAGGCACATCGGTACATAGGTACATCGTTGGATCGGTGTATTGAGCGCTATATAAAAAACCGGATTATTATTATTATTATATCAATCAAGTTATTATTATTACTATGTTTATCTTTAAAATCACCCATATTATGAGCCTGTAAGTGTATTTGATAGAATTTCAGGCTAGTTCAAGCAAGTCTTTTCACATAGAGCAAGTGATTCATGATTAAGATGATGACAACATTCAAATTCTTCTCTCAGTTTACAAACCTCATTCCTACCTGTTATTAATCAATCTTGTAAACATATGTATTATGGAGAAGTTCACAACAAAAAAATTTCAATAAATAAATAGGATCCTTGCTTTCCCGACGTATAAATATGTGAAGCTACTTTTAAAAGTTGATTTTACAATCACTTTCGTGTTCCAACATATTTGATTTTTTCCAGTGGATGACATGTATAGATGTGTTGTGGTCTAGTGAATAAGGCTGTGGACCGTGGATCGCATGGTTCATGGTTCCAGTCCCTCTGTTGCACTTCTCTCCACTCGGGTGTGAAATGGGTACCGCTACGAAGGAATTCCTTGGATGCTGTAAGCACCAAAATCGGTAGCCTAGTCGAGCTGGGGTAATATTGGAGAGCCTTGAGCACCTTGCGAGGTGGATGTGCACTTCAGAAATATCCAATATTATATCATGAGTGATCATTATCATTTGTATTTTTCTTTTTTCAGTACCAAGCTGTACAATGTGATCGCCAATGAGATCACTTTCCACAACATGACTCAGCATTTGGAAAATGTGTAAGTACCCAAATATTTTCTGTTCTACGGTGAATATGGGACTTTGTATGGCATATGTTTTGTAAATGGGAAAGATACCCAATATAGGTTTATTTGATGTTTTCAATTTACAGAGAATTGCAGCACTCAGGGCCCCATCTTATAAAGAGTTGCAATTGAGCCAAATCAATTGCAAGCCCTCTAATCAATTGCTAGTTTGCAGTCTCCCACCTCGTATGTATTACGTAGTTCCAATTGATATCAATCACAAAGAAGTTGTGATTAATTGCAACCGTTTATAAGATGGTGCCCAGGTCTCACTTATGAAATTTTACATTTTCATTATTCTGAAATGTGTACCCTAGATATGAGATAAGGGAGGTCAGTAATTTATTATCATAACCACCATTATCTTCTTGACTATCATCCCTATTTTTTAGTCATCGCCACCATCACCATCATCGTTAACTTATCTACATACATCACCATTCCCTTCCATCAGTCGTTTTATTAGTCATTCTCGCGTTGTCCTTTATTTGAAGTAAAAAACCGTGGTATTCAGCAGAACTGTCTTGTCCTTATGAAATCATCCTCATCCTCATTACCAACATCGTCACCATCATCATCATCGTCATCATCATTATCTCCATTGTTTTGCTACCAACATCACCATTCCCTTCCAACAGTTGTCTTACTATTCCTTGTCTCTTTTTCTCAAAACCCTGGTTTCCAACAGAACTGTCTTGCCCTGATGAAATCATCTTCCTCATTACCACAACTGTCATCATTATCTCCATTGGTGTTGCTACCAACATCACCATTCCCTCCCATCAGTTGTCTTATTATTCTTTCTCTTGTTTTCCTTTTCTTGAAGTCAAAACCCTGGTATCCAGCAGAACTGTCTTGCCCTGATGAATGCTCTCTGTCTCAAAGCTCCAGAGGATAGGAAAAAGGTCAGTACGACACACGAAAGCAGACAATCAGTTCTCATGTACAATCTCTTGAGCAATCTTATGTAAATGTTTGTTGGAGACCCCAATGCTGAACTTCCTCATTAGCAACATTTACTTTCAGTTTACCTTGTCTTTCATAATGAACAACTTTTTTTGATGAGGTATATTCAGATTTATTCTTATCTTTGCTGTGCTCTTCATATTTCATCTTATGGTTACAAAACCATATCTGTTATGCCTCTGTTTTGTGTTTGAAGTGATATCATCTGTTTGGAGCCAGGACGTTAAGTCTGTATAAATTGAGTTAATACTCTTTTGGCTCTGAAAAGATGGTTTATAAATTCACCTTCACAATTTTTATGAAAACAAATCCCAAACACAGAATTCTGGCAATTTATTTGTAACCATCATTTGAGATTGTAATAGTTTTTATCCTCTCGTGAAGGAAATGACTTTGAAATAGAAATGTTTAAATATTTTTTCAGAACACTTGTTAGAAACTAAATCACTTATAAATAATCATTTGCTTTCTGTTACAGAGATTTGAAGAAGCCCTGTCAGCAAGAAACATCCGTGTCGTCATAATGGAGGTGAGACATTCTTTATGTTACCTATGTTTTGATTCCTCTTCTCTTATTCCTTTGAAGTGTACAAAATGAGTACCCAGGTATACTGATAAATAGTATGTCTTTGATTTATCAACTGTCATAGAATTACTTGTATAAACAGAATTTCAGCATGTTGGCTGTTTTAGCCTTCTCATACAATATTCCATTATCTGATACATCTACAAAGTACATACTTGTGTTGTTATTTTGAAATTCACTAATGTTAATCAAATTTGTCTATATATATACATTAGATATTGTAAGGTTAATGTTTCCATTTAACTTTCTGTTTTAAATTTGTGTCGCTCTAACTCTTTCTTTACTCTCTGTTCCTCTTTTTTTTTTGCCTTTCTCTTGTTTAACAAGATAATTTGTTTTGTATTTTTCTTAGAAAATCATCCGCTCTCAGAACATTGGAACAGAGATGACGCACCAGCTTTACGTCTTCCAGCAGCTGACCTTTAACCTTCTGGAGAAGCGCAGAATGACCCCAATTGACACAAGTAGCGTTGTAAGCAACATCCTTGAGACATCCTTTAGATATGGGTTCTGTTCAAAGTCTATAAATTTTTTGTGACCTTGATAAAATTCACATTACATTATATGATGGATGTGAATGAGGATAATAGCAACAATGTTTTCTTTCTTTTTCTTTCTCTGGCTTTATTAATAGTTTTCAGGTTTATTGTATGTCTGCTTCTGCCACTCACCTTGTTTCTGTCTCTTTCTACATATTTGTTTGTCTGTCCTTTTGTCTGCATGTGTTTGTAAATCTCCTTTCAGTTTCTCTTCCCCTATCCTAGGTCCTCTTTTTATCTTAACTGTTCTCTCTGTCCCTTTTTTTTAGGATTATTTTTAGTCTTTCTTTATTTATTTATCCCTATATTTGCATGTCCATCCTCAGTATCTCATTTTCCCCTGCCCCTCATTCACCCTCTCTGTCTGTCTATCTGTCTTCCTCTCTTTGTCTCTCTTCCTGTTTTGTCTCTCTGTCTCTGTCTGTCTGCCTGACTCTCTTTCTCTCCTTTCTCTGTCTCTCTTTCTCTCTCGTTCTCAGTTTTTATTTCTTCCCGTTTAAGTTTCCCAGTGGATTCCTCTTTGCCATACTGCATCTTTTTATCTGTAGTATTACATCACTTAATTTCTACATATAGATGTACATCTCCCTCTTTTCAGTCTTAGTTTGAAATTAAACTTGGATTTACTTCCCACAGAAACACAGAGAATTCATTGAGGAGCTGAGATCACATGCCTTTGGTCATGATATGGACTCAACAAGGGGTCCAGCTAATGATTACAAGAGACTGGGCTTTCAGGTAAGGCCTTACATTTTCTATTGAAGATACACTTTTCCTCTGTATGCCATTGTGTGTACAGCTGATTGACTCGTTTGTGGACATTTTATACTACATTCCCCCAGGAAGGGTTGGAAGGCCTTTTGGTCATGGAAATTTCTTTTTCTTTTTTTTTCTGCCCCAGCATCCTGAGGAAATGAGATAGAAATGTGCTCTTAATTCCTATTACCTGTAATTATTGATTATATTTCAATTGTGCTTTATGCTATTTACTTTGTACTTCTAATTGAGTGATTGCTAAATGAATAATAATAATGTCATTGGTCATGTTGAGTCCAGTTGTCTAAATTCTACTTCATGTCTTTTCTTGCATAATGCATATAAACCTTTCAGTATTTATGAACTTTCATGTGTATTAACATGTAATATAGGGTTTCAGTTTTACTTGAAATATGTGTGTATTAGGTTTAATCCAAATTTATCTTTCACTTGGTATTCAACAACTCACTTTTTAGAATGAAAATACATCCATAAGTAAGTTTATTCGGATAAATACAAACACTTAATGAAATAATTGAGAGTTGTTTAATGAACACTGTAATTTTTATGAGTAACAAGTGGTATATCTCTCTCTCTCATCAGAATGCTGAACATCCTATCAAGGACTTCATGGAGGTCCCTCCAGGTCTACTAGCCCTTGAGTGCACCACACACTTTGCCAATGTGCACAATGAGGATTACACAAGGGTAAGAATTGATGATCCGACACATGCGCTTGGCTTTATATTGTCAAAGTTTTAAAGATGTGGAGTTAAAGAGAAGGTTGAGTTCTGGGAAGAGGTGAAAAATAATTTGTGAGCATTACTCATTCTTATTATGCAAGTGTGGAAGAACATCAGTTAAGACATGTTCCCTGAAAAGCATGGCTCTTCAAATGCCTTCATATTCTAAATATGCATGTAACATCGTAAAAATCGGGGGAGGGGGCCGGCTTTTTACGCCACGTGTTCGTGTAGTCCCATATACATCTTTCTGTGCAAGTGTTTTTTAACTTTACCAAGACTTGGCCAAATTTCTTATCATTTTGATGATTCCAGAACCTTGCAATACACACAAATTCTTATATGCTAGATGATCAACCTTTTCTGGTCGGTTCCACACCGTTTCTTTCACAATGCAATCGCATGACCAGAACTCAACTTCATCTTTAAGGTTACAGTTGTGATTGAGTTTTATATAGTAGGTGCAGTATCAGGTTGGGTCTAGTAGCTTTTGAATTCACACATGTCTGCTGAGGGCCGAGCCAGAAGGGCTTTAGCTCCGTGTAGAAGGATACGAGATAACATCCTTCTGTTTCATGGTAGATGACATTGTCTGGTGATGGTTGCGGATACAGGTTTTAGTTTTGGGTTTGTGATTGGGGTTTATGTTAGGTGTAGGGTTGGGATTAGATTTGTTATTGGGATTTATGTTAGGTTTAAGGTTCAAATTAGGTTGGTGTATAGTAGCAGGTCCAGAGCTGAAGTCAGGAAGTCGGTTAGTGTTAGAAAGTAGCCATGGACCAGTTGTCGCTGGTGGAATGTGTAGTGCATCTTAAGATTCTGTTTTGTTTATGATAGGGGTGATTATGTCGGCTTCTTGTATAGCAGAGTGATCAAAGCAGTCTCAATATTACAGTGGCTTTAGTATGGCTACTGATTTTGTGCTTACAGCATTCAAGGAATTTCTCTACACCAGACACTTATTTGGTACACCTGGATGTAGAGCGGCAAATTTAAATTGATGTTGAATAATTTGGTGCCAAGCAGCCATCTTTTAATTTTGATATCAATTTTTTAACTCTATTTCAGGTTGTCTTAGAGAACTGCTCTCGAGCTGACGAGCATGAATGCCCCTTTGCCAGATCCAGCATCGCTCTTACCAAAATGCTTTGTGAGATACTCAGAGTTGGAGAATCACGTAAGTCCTAAAATAATTGTTACAGCTTCAAAGTTATGATTGGAATGTGCATGAGTGGGGCTATCTGCTTAACACTAAAGGGTCCAGGGGGCAGAATTCACCTCATGTACTGCAGTACCATTGAGAATTTTTGTTATGCTCTGAACTTTCATGACTTTATAGATTAGGATCATGTACATCTATCGATCCCTAAGTCATGAGATTTAAACCTTCCTTTACTGTGCAGAATTCGATATAGCAGCACAGCTTGGTTGCAAAAATTGAAATTACCTGTATTGTATGCAATGCAGTTTTGTACATAGAGGAATAATTAATTAGCGATAATTCAAAATTTTCTGACATGCTGATGTAAGACTTCATGGTCCTTTTAGCTATAAGATTGTGTATTTGCAAAGTTTCAGGTATTTTAAGTAGTCAATAGGTGAGATCTTCAGGGGTGCAGGAAATCCTCCCTGCTTCATTAGATACAGTCGAACCTGTCTATAGCAACCGCCCAAGGGAAACACAAAAAGTGGTCTTTGTAGACTGGTTCCTTTAGTATATGTTTCAATGAGAAACAATTTTCAAGGGAAACAAAAAGTGGTCTCTGTAGACAGGTTCCTTACGTACATGTTTCAATGAGACAAAATTTCAAGGCAAAGAAAAAATATGGTCTTTGTAGACAGGTGATCACTAAAGCAGGTTTGATTGTAACATCAATATAACATGGCTTTTGTAGAGTTAAGGATATGTGCTAATGTAAAAAAAAATCATCCTTTTCACTTCAGCAGATAGCTAGATGATTTTGTAATTGTATTTTTTTTTTTAACAGCCAATGAGACTGGAGCTGAGTACTATCCAATGTTCTTCTCCTGCGATAACTCCTTTGAGGAATTCTTCTGTCAGTGCATCAAGCTCTTCAACAAGACATGGAGAGAGATGAGAGCCTCCCTCGAAGATTTCCCAAAGGTACGAGAGTCATCAACACTTGCATAAAAAACGTTGCTGTCCAACGCAACTTTAGTTTTCAACAAGTCGGATCTTATCGTATCCATCCCAGGGGATGCTCAAGGCACCTAAGAAGTGGTACTACAACCCTGGCTTTAGCCAAGCTGCCCTAAGGGGCTAAAGACATTCAAGGAGCAAACTCCTACCAGGTACCAGTTTACTATACCTGGGTGGAGAGTGGCAAATGTAGATTAATGTCTTGCCAAAGGACATTAGTGCTATTAGAACCATAAACCATGACTGGTACCTGTACTACCATTCCACCAAATAATATAATTTCTGTCAATACCTCTACAGTAATACTGATGTCAATATTACCAATACTTCCAGTCGAATATATTAAGTACATCTTTCCGTAACCCTTCCACTAATGTCCTTTGGCAAGACATTAATCTTCATTTGCCATACTCCACCCAGGTGAGGTAAATGGGTACCCGGTAGGAAGAAATTCCTTGAATGCTTGAGCACCTTTTAATGGTAGCTCGGTTAAAGCCGGGATAATAATATGATTGCAGGGGCCTTGGGGAGAACAGTATGAATACTGATGAGGCTACCCTGGGTGAACAAACAGGACATATTATATTATTGTTATTATTATTATTATTATTAAGGTGATGACGGTCGTCCAGGACCAGATCAAGCGAGCCCTGAAGGTGAAGGAGCAGTACAAGCCAACCACCATGGAGAACTACTGGAACAAGCTCCAGCACTTCAACTACAGCGAGATCCTCAAGCTCAGGCACCAGGAGAGGGACAACAAGGAAGAGGGCACGTCTCAAGCTAGGCCCGTAGTGTAAGTCAGAGAGTTCTTGGAAAGATGGCTTTGGCAATAGGCCGCTTCCGAGACACTATTTGCGCATGGCAGATACAGGTCATTTGTCCAAAAATGTAGAACGTATTGAGACAACTGCTGGATACATGTTCAAGTTTAATTTTTCATTTTTTTTTTATTGTTCCGCAATTTACAGAAAATATAGACATACATATCAAATCTAAAATTATACAATACAATTGTAGTATAAATGAGTACATCTCAATGATTCTCAATTTTTATAATAGATTAAGTAGAATGTGAGGAACCTATTAAAAAGCAGTGCTTGTATAATATAGGTTCCTGGAAAAAAAAGTAATGTAGAAGAAAAACAGTAGCAGTAGAGAAAGACATGATTTAGAGGGGAGAATTTAAAACACAATGAAATGGGGACATTCATGACAGTTTTGTAATTGTTATCCATTTATGCTAGCGGGGTACATTTTGTGATACGCATGTGCAAGTATTCTTTACAAGAGGGCAAACAAAAGGTATTCATGAAGCACCTCTATCACTTTGGCCATGATTATTCTAAAATGCACAAAATGAGACGTCTCCATGTGTAAAAGATCTGTGGATATTTGGGGGTCATTTGCAGTGGTATCTCTGAGGTGGCTTATGAATAAATGAAAGAAGTTATATCTTTTGATCTATAATCTACGATACATTCCAAGAGAAAACTATCTGGTCACTTTTACCTGACCTGATGTTGGGCCTAAAAAAAAAGGATGTTGTACTGCCCTTTGCGACCGACCCAAAAATCTTGAAATCTACGGTTGACTTTTTAAAAAGTTTTTTTCTTTTACTGTTTTTTTAAAACAAAAAATGTATTAAAGCATTCAAAACTGAGAAATATCCGCCCAAAGAAGAAGTAAAAAAAAGAAAAAAGTAAGGGCAGTACAACATCTTTTTGTTTAGGCCTTGTCCAAACTGATTCTCCCTGGGTTGCATACCACATGTGCTCCTCAGACATTAGCTCTGTTGTCACTTTCCCACATTATTTCCCATTCATATCCTCATCTCTGTACCTGATACTATTCCTAGCCCTAATCCTAATCCTCAATCTAATCTGAACCCAATTGTAACCATAATCCTTACCCTATACCTCTGAGGAAATAAAGCCCGGAGCAGTTGTCGCAGAAGCAAATGTCAAGAGTACATTTGGGTACATTCAATAACATTTATAATTGAGAAAAATTATGTTTCTTTGTTTTGTAAATTTCAGAGACCTGAGGAACCAGATCAAGCCTGATATGATAGATCTAATCAAGCAACAGAGACTGAGGTTCCTGGTGGAAGGCACCATGTTCAACCGCTACAACCAAAGGGGACGTGCACAAGGTGAGAGACAGACGGCAGGGTTCTCAGCAATGTATAGCACTGCTTAGTGTTAATACAAAGCATGGGAGTGGATTGGGGGGGGGGGGGTGGGACTTCTGGAAGAAAGAAAAGATACAGAGGGGAAATTCCTCTGACAAGGTTCATCTTTAAACACAGGGGGGGGGGCACAAGTCTTTAAAATAATCCCTGACAAGGGGGGGGGGGGGAATTTTCTCACATCTTTCAGAAAGAGAAAAAGAATATCAAGGGGAAAACAAAAGAATTAAGATATCACATAGTTTAGGTTCCCAAGTCCTGGCAAGCAAGATGCTACTGTGGGTAAAAATGTCAAAGCTCAATCACTGTCAACTCACCACTCAGAAACTGGGACCAAATGTCCGGATTTTTGTTTGGACTCGTAGGAAAAGTAGTCTGTCATCTTTGGTTTTAAAAACAGCATTGTTTACTATTATTATCATTATTAAATCAGTGCCTTCAACTGCAACTTGAAGTAAAATCGGGTGAGTTTTCGGTATTGGAACTGGGATACTTCTACCGTAGTATGGTAGTGACTATGCCATCCCTTTTCCAGATCTGCCACTGACATGACTGGGGTGAAGCCTACCAACTACTAATGTCTTTGTTTCTTTACTTCAGATCGGTTCTGGTTCTGTCGTCTCTCGCCCAACCATAAGATGATCCACCATGGAGACATAGAGAGCCACCAATCACCACCAAGCTATGAAACTCTCACCAATAAGAGTAAGTCTTTCATGGATCTTAAATCCTGTCTGCACTAGTTTGGCCGGGAGGGATTAGACCTCCCTGCAAGGTCACTGGCAGGTGGTTATTTCATCAAATCAGCTCTCAATTAACAAAGGAAAAAGGATCATGGGTGACCAACAGGCACCGCTTAGGCATTGTTTCCTATATAGAGGGCGTAAGTAGCTACAAGTAGACAGTGAGGCTTTAAAGGAAAGATATTTTGCACTACTCGAACAAAGTCAGCAAATGATACTGAAGCAGTCTTGAAAAGTTGTGTTTATCAATTATTTTTATTGTTACTAGTGCCTTTCGTTTTAGATTATGTTATCTTTAGGGTAGAATTGACCTAGAATGTATGAGTTTCCATTGAAAGTCACTTTATCTTTTATCGTCAGATTTATTGTCAAATGGTATTTTGGCCTCTGTCTGTATGGTTATTAATAGATATAACAATGATGACATTGTTTAATTGATAGGTGAAGTTGGTTACTGCTCATTAAAGGCATCGTTTAACAATGTTAAATCTGAGATTCACGGCCATACGTGTTATCAGTGTCTGTGATATGGTGTAATATTGAAGCCCTTAAAAAATTGCGCTTCAAAATGATCATGAAGTGCCTCAAAAAAGTAAAAATCTTTGAGTGACCAGTTTTACCATTCTCAATTTTCAATAGACTGTAGTGTTATGAAAACCTTTAGGAAAATGCAAAATGAAATTTCAATTTTTAATCATAAATATCTTGATAATCAGACGGGCGATCGGCTTGTCAAAGTCATGGGGTTCCTGACTAACCTAAAGGTTTATAATTTTCATTGCAGCATGTGCTAAATCCAGGATTTTATTTCAGAATCTGACACAAAGTTACCCAATCCCTTCAAACTGTTGAGTAAATTATAGAGGTAAAAGGAAAACTCAATAGATGCAGAGCCATTGCTTGAAGACAGAGACACAGGTTGATAATATTTTTATTCTCCTTTCTTTCTTTTTTCAGTTGCTGTGGCTGATATTCAGGAGGTCCAGACAGGGAAGGACTGCCAGCATGTCCGCAATGTCCGAGTAAGTGATCAATAGTGATTGCAAGAGAGATTCCAGCCTTTAATAATGAATCATGGCCGTCTCTTCATGTTTATGGTCTCCTTAGTATTTTTTCTTTTGCCCAGACAATACAATGAAGTATTGTACCTATATTTAATCATATGCTAGTAAACTCACAATTTGAAACAGCCAGATTTTGTGGTAATAGGAGCATCTTGTGGTTGTTATAAAAACAAATATTTAAGATAGGATTAAAGATGGAAGAGATGAAGGGTAATTAACATGAATTGTAATATATCTAGAAAAGAAATGGTAAGATTTAGACATTTCTTTTTAATATCGATGTAGCTTGATTCACCATCTTGCTCTTGCAACTTAAGTTGGAGTATTTTTCATTAGCTTCTTGTGCAGAGTTCTCTAAATGTAATGTTTGTACCCTTTGCAGGTTGATGGAAGTCTAGCCTTCTCCATCTTACATCATCCAGACCATCATCTAGACTTCATCGCTCGCACACAAGAAATTGTAAGTACACCTGGGAGTGTTTCACAAAGATCCTAAGTTGAACTTATCTTTAAGTTTGACTTCACAATTATGGAAAGCCGTTAGCATCCTTGAAAATATTTTGTATAAGTTATTTAAAAAGGCATGAAATGTTGATTCAAATCATTCATATTTTCTATTATCATTGGAGATTTCAAATTTCGAAAACAAATGAATGCGATTGCGCCCTATGGTAAGGCATTACTCCTCATTACCAAGTCCCTTGGAGAGGAATTACAGCCGTAGGCCCCCTGGTTGTTTACTTACAAGCATATACATGCTTTCTTAGCAGTCAGGTAAAACAATCTTTGATAATCAAATCTCTAGCAAGGCTGAAAAAATCAGATTATTTGTGAGGGCTGTCATCACTACCATCCTTTCACCATTGTCACTATCAGTATCACTATCACAACTATTACTATCATCATTGTATGATTTTCTTTTGGTATCATCAGCCTCATCATGAATATTTAGTTTCTTCAAATTGTGTAAGTGTTTGCGTGCCAATCCAACCACATTAATGATCGCATTTACCAAGTAGCCATTTAATACCTGGGTGGAGAGAAGTAATGTAGATAAAATGCCTCGCCAAAGGACATAAGTTCCATGTCAGGGATTGAACCCATGACCTTCGCATCACCAGTCCAGTGTTTAAATCTCTTTACCACAACTTTACATCATCATCATTTTCACCATAACAATCATCATCTTCATATCATCCTATCAATATCTTCCCTCCAACCTTTCCATTTGGTCAAACTTCGGCTCTCTCCTGGGACTGTGTTTAATTGTTCAAATATGCACTACACTTCCGACACTACCCTAGCGTTTTCGTCCGTTAGACACATTTGCCAAGACGTGAACTACAGATGGCTCTTACGGAAAGTATACGGCAAAGGTGCTTCTCTGTTTTTCATCTGTATGTACTGTCATATTTTCACTCTCCTCTCGATCCCCACCCAGTTTGACATGTGGACGGACGGTCTGAACGTGCTCCTCGGCAAGCCCATGTTCAGCAAGCAGAAGGAGGCTGACCTGGAGGCCCTCCTGGGAATGGAGATGAAGATCCGTCTCCTGGACATGGTCAACATCCCCATCCCAGCCGCCGCTCCCATCATACCGCCCCCTCCCACAGACTACAACTTCTACTACGAACAGATATAAATCAGCCTGTATAAAGCCTCGTTTATAGAGTGGTGAAGTGTGACATCATAAAAAAAACTATTTTTTGGAATTTCTCAATTTTTTCTTCATTTTCCGAAAGAGGATAAAAAAATAACGTCCAAATGTTGAAAACCAATTGAATATGTTAAGTATTGGCTGAGATATGACCATCTGATTAAAAAGATTTCCTATGGGAACTCAGTGTTATATATTGATCTGGTTCATAACATTAGGAACCAGAGCACTATAACACTGTGTTCCAATAGGAAATCTTTTTATTCAGATAGTCATATCTCAGCCAATACTTAACATATTCAATTGGTTTTCAACATTTGGACGTTATTTTTTTATCCTCTTTCGGAAAATGAAGAAAAATTGAGAAAATTCAAAAAAATGATTTTTATGATGTCACAGCTTGGGTACTCTATTTGACTCAGTTATTCCTACAAAAAATCACTATGGCAAAGTAACAACATTTTACCTGGAAATGAAGGCAGGCAGAGAATAAAAAAAAAAAAAGTAGCTTTGTGCAACGTAGCCACTGAAACTTACCGGTACTTACTTATCTGTGTGTTAACAGAAACAGAAATGTGAAGCAAACTTTGCGTCTAAATTCTTTTTCTTAGGTGCTGAAACACAGATATCATTTGCCCATGATGTTTCAATTGGATCTTGCTGAAAGTAGTAGTATTGTTACAAATCTTTCACATATTTTTATTTTTGATATTGGAGTGCCACGATGAGCCAATGCATAGTGGGTACAAGTGCTATACAAGAGTGCGATGGTATTATTCTATCAACAAATTTTATCCAACATTTGATAACTTTAGCTATGATGTGTTGTCAAATACAGGAGGCGCACAGGCTCAGTGGTAGAGCAGCGGTCTTGTAACAGGAAGGTTCTGGGTTCTAAACAAAGTCAATGCGCTGATGCCATTTGATAAAGCATTAATCCTCATTACCAAGTCCGTCGGAGAGGACTTAAATCTGTTGGTCCCTTGTTGTTTACTTACAAGCATGTACATGCTTTCTTAGCAGTAAAACAATCATCATAAAAAAAGACCACAGCAACCATGCTTCTTGCTATAATATAACTTGCTTTGTGCTCAAAATAAGCATGGTGAATTAAGAATGAGAAAAACCTAAATTAAATACCCCCCACAAGGGTAATTTAATAATAATGGTGTCAAAGCATACTTCGATCTGCAAAGTTTGATGTAGTCCTAATTCAGATTCAGATTCAGATCCAATCCCCTGCTGCAAGGCTAGCTCAAGCTAGTTCACTCATTCCGAACGAAGGGTTTACATATCTCTGCACATAACGCTGCAAGCAACTGAAGCAAACACAGTGAAACGTTGATATATACTTTGATACGCATATTGTAGATTATGATGATGAAGCATGTTTAGTAACTTATTATTACAGGGTGATTGACTGTGATTATGATATGTAATCAACTCGGGTGAAGGGATGGTTATCAACCAGTGATGTAACTGAACACGTGCAGCGAGTGTAATTGATTATAAAATGTAATATTAATGTGACGAAGAAATAGAATTACAGCGGCTACTACTATGTATGACTAGCAAATTTTTTTACAGGTATGAAAGAATGTTATTTATTTGATTATGTAAGCACATTGTAATATTTTATAATTGTAGATTTGTTGAAATTGATAATTTATAGAAAGGGGTGTTTGGTATTATATGAGGTTACCCTATCTGCTGATACATAGAGCATGAACATAAGTTTTTCATCAAGTTAGAAAATGTATCATTATGCATTCATCACTTGTGTATTGTAATATTTGAGAATTTGAATTGCTATGCTGAATTAAAATGTTAATTCTTTCATTTTGAATCGATTACCAACGAAAGAAAATTCTTTCCAATTTTTAGTTATGTCTAATATCTATAGTTGTACATGGACCAAACTATTTTGTACTCAGACATTGGAATGTAGCGGGACTACAGAACATTAAACAGATTTAAACAATCTTAGAATGCAGTACAGTTGCATGGTTTAATGAATAACCAGTATATCAATATTGTGTAGATAATATTATTTATGTATTATATTGTATACCTATGTATGTATGTACTCATATGATAAACATGCACTCATCTAATTATTTTAGTTCTACATTGTACTATAATCTTGTGAAATAAGCCACCTCCCATTGAGTATGTACACATACACACTCACGTACGTGTAAAGTCTATGGAGGTGGAAAGAAGTCACTGAAGCATTACACATAATAAACCACTTCTTATGTGTAGTGAACGAGTTCGCACTTAATTCACCAGAATGCAGACCTTCTGTGTGTTTATAACTGGGGAAAGTTTTCTGGTTATATACAAATTTGAGAGAAAGCAAACGTCTTTGAATGGCTGTGGTATCAATAGGTTTTAATGATGACTAATTATGTCTCTACAATTTAGACTAATTTTGACAGGAAAGGGAAGCCAAAAGAAGGAATGAACCTTGGATGTGGTAACCTGTATGGATAACATGATATGCTATGCAAGCACACACAATCATATATGTGGTCATGCACTTCATTTTGTTTAATATACATGTACAATAGTGTATCTGTAGGAGTCATTCAGGAAAAAATAGAAACAATGAATGTTGTTGCAGGATTCCAAATGTGCTATTGTTTCATGTACTTTAACCTTACCGATCCACTCTTGTGATGGGTTGTAATTGATGGGCCCATGAGAGTCATAAGGGCATTAGTTCCATTTGTCTCTGTGAAATGATACATGTCAATGCCTTTCTGGCTTTCAGCAGTCAAATCATACATGTATTTCCATGTTACATTGTTTCAATTAATGATATAGAGAATCAACAAAATGAAGTAGTCTTCTTGAGATATAATATTTTGAGAGCCAGACCTCTGTACTACCGTAGACAATATGGACAGAGCCAGACAAATCATACATGTATTTCCATGTTACATTGTTTCAAATAGTGATATACAGGATTGACAAAAGGAAGTAGTTCTAGAAATATATGTAGAGAGCCAGAACGATATGGACAGAGCCATCTACACCCATAGACGGAGAGTTTGGCCAAGTTGGTTTCACTTGGTCACAACATGGCGTATGCCTTTTGTGCTTGCCTAACAAAGCAGTACATGTATTTGCCATATTGTGCAGAACTTGAACCAGGTCGGGTGTTTCACAAAACTTGTCATCAGTGACAAATGACAGTTGTTGTTATAAGCTACTGAAATCCTTGCTTCTGATTGGTTATCGGCAGATTTGTCACTGATTTTAGTCTTTTGTCATTGAAAAAAGGCTTTGTGAAACGGGTCCTTGGTCGGTCAAACTCTCCCAAGCAATGGCTCTGGATAGGGGTATCAACTTCTTTATATTTTACCTATTGACTAAATGCCCTTCTGGCTCTCAACTTGGTCTATGTACAGGTAGGAAAAACATAAAGGGTGCTAATTATGTACATACATGTTTTTAGTAAGGAAAATGTTCCTTTCTAGTACACATAACTAACATTTTTGTAAACTTGTCCCTTGTTTAACCTTCCAGAATCTAGAGTCTTGCCATTATCAATATGTCCAGCACCCATTCGTCATATTCTGTGCTCATTTACTTGTAAGAAATAAATGCACTTAAATGTATTACTGATTTTGACTAAGATTATCACCCATTTATGTGAAGTGTCAGAAGTTATGATTAGAGTCACTAAAGTTCTCACTCACTGAACAGAAAAAGAAAGGAATTTAATTTAAATGTGGAATTTGACAAATAGTAGGTCTCTTCTATAAATGAGCTTTAATAGTGGAAATAATGGATTATTCTTTTAGATTTTGATGAGTCAGTTAAAAATGAAAATCTCTACACTACAAAGCTCATGTAGTGTAACCCAGCAGTCTCGAAGAACATGAATGTTGAGTTATATTCTTTTTGTTTAACTCTGAATATGTGCACTGGGATACTAGCCTACAATCTTTTGTATGTATTTGTATAATGATATATGCAATAAATACACCATGAAATACAACAATGTCTATACATCTAATGATTTTAAATCGACCTACAATTGTGTAAACTAGCATTTGTTGATGGTGAATGATACTACTCATAAATACATGAAGATGGCGTTTCAAATCTCATTCCCACTGCCAAACCGACTCTTAGCCTTCACAATGTCTGGCTTCTTTTTCTTGCACACACTCACACACTATTGCCTTCATTTCATCCTGCACAGCTATCAATGAAGCTGTTTGGTGCAACAAATTCAATATTCAAGAATTCTTTGCCACTGGGAGTAATGTAACGTTTTGTTTAGTAAGTGGTGGGACTGGGGTGGTTTTGTCAGCGTGACCAAGGTATCAGAAAGTAGACTACCTATTGAGCTTTGATGCTGGAAACTGAGATGACATCGATGTAAAATACTGATGGGGATCAATTTTAAAATTCCCCGATGTAACAGGTTCCAACTGAAACACTCCCATGTAAAAATTATGAGTTACTGATGAGATGAATCGGAGCAATCCATAAATATTGTAAAAGAATATCCAATTATTTTCAATGAATTATTTGAACGCTTCATTTTTTTATGGGGGGGGGGAGGGATGATTATATGTAGTTCTATAACTTATTCCAAAATCAGTGTTTAAAGCATTTGACAAAATAATAACAATAGTATGACACATTCATTTAAAATTGATATGAATATAGCATATGGTTATTATATTGCATACTTGTTCATACTTTATATTACAAAGGGTACATAAATAGAACTTTTAAAAAACAATTTAAACATTTCATGTCAATATAATCTCTTTTTGTTTTAACTTTACTATCTCTACTATAATCAGTTGAAAGACAATATAATGCATACATTCAGGACCAAAAACTATCTGCAAATAAAAGAAAGTGATAGATGTTCATGGGGAAAAAAGTCATGAGAAGCTTGTAATGGCCATGACCTTATACTTAATTTCAGACAATATGATTTTTTTTCTCTTTCTTTTATAAAGGTTAACATGGGATATTTCACTTCTCTAAGTAATCTTTAGCATAAACATTTAAGCAATTTCAAATTTTTTCTTTCTGTGATTTTATACAAAGTTTCACTTAATAACATTTATAATTCCTGGAGTCTGTCTTTTCCTATTGTGTATGTAGCACATAACAAGCAGGGATATAATGTGATGATTTTGTTCATCTACATTTTCCAACACATTTACCATTTGACCTTAAAGTACAATTGTACGCTTGTATTAAAAACATAGATAGATGAATATTACCAAATGTGAGAGCATTACCCCATTCCATATTTCCTTGATCACTTTGAATGATATACAAATCTCCATTATGTGCATAACATTCATGTACATACATGTATCAATGAGAAAAATTGCTCTTCTTCTGATTATTAGAATATAAGAATATATGCATAATATGATGGCAAGAACAGTTTTTATATTCCTGATATAGGATTTATAGATGCACTTATGTGAATTTGAAAAATTCTTTAGGAAATAGTATAAAAACAAACAACATCATTGGTTTGTGTTTGTGTTTCTTGCACCGAAAAAACAACGAAATGTCGTTATTCATACTGTCCATATAATGTCCACTTTATGATGATTAACATGTCCACTTTACCTCATTTTAGATTGCAATAGCCAACTTGGAAGTAAAAGGTGAGACAACAAATAATATCAATACAAATTTAACATATAATGTAAATACAGGTAGTATTTAAATCAACATTCAAATATCAATGGGAGGGTAATATAAAATATAAATTAGGCACCAAAATAACCCAGAAAACACTAAGTGTAACATTAAAAACAAAAACAAAATGCAGATAACTATAAAAAGGCACCAAAATAACCCAGAAACACTAAGTTAAACATTAAAAAAAAAAAAAAAATGTGTGTGCCTATCGGACACAGCAGCAACAAAGCAGTATCTTAATTATGGGTTTTGGTTATGGTAAAATAAATGATTTACCAGATAATAACAGGAACGGAACTAATTGAGTCAAAAGACTTTAACAGAAATGTAAATTATGTAATAGGTAGTGAAAGTAACCACTGGACTTAATAATAGTCCGAACATGTATCATAGCTACATGCAGGGAAAAAATTAATATTTATTTTTCGGGGCTACTTTTCAACCTTGCCTGCATGAAAATAACATTCTAAAATTTGTTTTGCATTGAAGTCTATGCAAATTAAAGGGGCTCTTTTCTGATTTTCGGGGGCTCTTTTGGGCATTTCGGGGCTATTTCGCCCTGAGCCCCCGTGTATTTTTTTCACTGGCTACATGTACAGAACATGTACATTTACATGGAGGTCATTCACATTACGTGTATATGCTGTCTCATCAGGAACTATAGTTGGGGAAAACAAAGCAGAGTAGTAAAAGATGACTCACATCTTCAAACTAGTATCAACTAATGTACGGTATACAAATACATGTTGGCAAACGAGTAACATAATCAAAACAAGTGTAAAAGAGCTTTTCACATTAAAACAAAAAAAATTAATGGCAGATCAGGGATAAAGTCAAGTGTATAAACACAGGATAGCTAGACAGTTCTTCAAAGAACTTGGAAGACAGCATTAGGAATAGTCTATGCCGGTGCTTGCTTGAAACATACGAAACCATATTCATGGAAATGTATCTAATATCCATAGCCAATCCATTCTTCTCATTATTACAAAACAAGGAAATGCTGTGCAGTAGCAATACAAAATATATTTCCCTAGCAATAATGATGATCTCTGTATTAAAATATGAATGGTCAAATGGTTAAGAGGAAAAAAGGGACAGATAAAATTTATTTAAAAAAAAGAAAAAAGGAAAAAAAAGGAAAATCAAATGAACAAACAAACAGAATATCCAAGGTACCTACTTGATTGCACATTTCTACTTTCAACAAGAAAGTTGATCCAAACTTACAACAGAGATCTACAATTGCCTACATTCACTTTAAACAGCGAGTTTTTTGGCATAACTTTGTGTGGCATTAAAGGATGACCAAATTTCGCAAACCTATTCAATGTTATTGGAGTACAGCAAATCTGTTGTTTGCACTCCAGCCTTGGTCAGAGTCTGACTCTTCACTGACTAGATCCTCGTTCCTTGGCCTTGCCTTCTGCTGTTGTTGCTGTCTCTTCTGCTTCCGACCACCTCTTGACCTGGACTTCCTGGATGATTGGTTGGGTTGTTTCTGCTCAGCGGGGCCTTTGGGAGCCTTCTTCTGACCATCCTTCCTGGCCTTGGAAGTGATGAAGTCATGCATGGAAATAAAGAGCCGACATGGCACGGGAGCGCCTTTGAAGAACATCCCTGCTGCCCACCTCTGGAGGGGTTCCTTCCCTGATGCTTCGCGAAGCGCCGTGTACAGGCTGTGCATGACAAGGCCATTGAAGAGTACAGAGGCATCGGGGCAGTTCGGCATTGGACATTGAAGCAGTTCGTTGAAGTGGATGCCATAGACGAGGCACTGCTGCCATTGAGAGAAGCTGTGAGAAACAACGGGATCAGGTTTCCTCTTTCTTAAATGTCCTTGGTGGTGGCTAAGGCTGGTATGCAACGCTTTGGATTCAGTCCTAGATTCCTCTGAACCGGGCGAGCCTGTGCCCTGATCTTGGAGTGCAGACTGTCCTCCATCTTTGCATCTCTTGTGCTGTCTTTGGGTGTAGAGGTAGACCCATCCTACAAGCAACGCAATGACGTGGAGCTCGTTGTAGTGGGCATGTTCAGAGTTCATCCAGTGTAGCATCACAAGAAGAGCTAGCTGGAAGTCAGCAGGGAATGAGATAAGGTCCATGCTTGTTGTAAGACTTGGTGCAAGAACCCAAAGCAACAGTTTTTGCCTGTCTGTCTCTGGGAGTGATGGAATCGCGGCCAATGCAGGAAGCGCCCCGTACCCCTCCAACATGTGCAATGTTGAAACCTTCTTTTTCTTGAAGCTATCCCCGTTTCTAATGTACACATTGCAGGTACTGGTATTTGTTCCTTTAGAATTATTCCCTTGTACATGTACATGTAACTTGCCAGCAAGCACAATACCAGATACCACTGAAAACAAAAACTCTGATGGCAGCCATGCACTAGGCTGTCTTGGATTTTCCACTTGGACACTAGAGAAACAGTAACTCTTGCTCAGAATATTGATCAGTAGGTTCCCAAATGAACCTGCCTGGTGAGCTTTAGCCACCCAAACTGGTGTCCCTATGACAGAGCACAGTTGGGACTTTGATTGGAAGTCTTTTGGAAGTCCTTGTCCTTCGAAGTAAGGCAGAAGGCTGCTAGAGTCATGTCTGGTCCTGTACATTTCCATCGAAGCTTCAAACAAGCTTTCCAAACCCTTCTTATTTGGAAGAGATTTCCACACCTCTTTCAAAGCACTGGCACTTGATTTTTGTTCACTCAGCCAGCCAAGGAGGTGCTCCAACTCCATCTGACGTCTACTGCCACTGCCACCACACTTGCCATTCACCTGGCTAGACAAAAATGAGTTCAGGAGGTCAGGATCAACATAGTCATTTCCACCCAGCGTGGCAAAGAGAGGCAGCAGTTCCTTCTTCACATGGAAGAAGTTACAGAAGGTGTTGACTTGATATATCTGACCCACAATGTAACATTTTCCTCCTCTGGATTTCTGAACAGCTTTCCACTTGAGCGATGTCAAAGGAAGGTAGCCTCCAATGATGTCCATTACCAAGAAGTCGCTGTCTTTTCCTAGGACCGGACAGCGCCAATGGTTAGCAAGAACGGCTATCTCTCTGTCTGCTTCAAACTGACTGAAGGCAAAGCCCACATTCATCTCGGTCAAAATCTGCTTCATTATGAGGATACTCAGAGGAGGCATCAAGAGACCGTCTCCTCCACGAAGGGCCTCTCCGGCCATCCTGATCTTATCCTTAAACCTAGACAGCATGGTTCTATGCTTCTTATCATCTAAGTCAAAGCTCCCGTCAAAGACCACATAAGGGGTGCAGTTGCACTTGAGGAGGTTCTGGAAGAAGTCCTGGATCTTGGATCGAAGCAGCTCGTACTCCCCACCATGTGACATACGGTCTTCATTGTGAGTTTGGGAAAGCAGGTACCACAGGAGTCCGAAGCCATCTATGACAAGCTTGGTGTCCTGGAGGGTGATTTCCTTGAAGAGTTTCTTGGAGTGATTCTCTACCAGAGTAGTCAGGCCCCTGACACCCATGTTTAGGTCCGTGTGTGCACCAAAGGCAACAGAAGTAGTATGCGCAAACGTCAACTGAGAGGGGGAAAAAGAAAGTTAGTTATGTTACATTCGGTTTACTACAAATATTTTTGACTCTATTATAATTACAGGTTTTATCAATAATTTAGAATTAATATATAGATTTGTACTTAGTATACATGTAGGTTCTCCTAAAATACAAAGTTAACCTGTGATTGGTATCTACTTTACTTTACTTTACTTACTTTAATCCATCGATGTTGGTAGGACAGAGCCTGTTCATCGATCGATTGAATTCCTTTGCATCAATACTTCTGTTTGTTGTGGTTTTGTGTCAACACAAAAGAAGGAAATTCTCACTTGTTTATTGCCAATATCATCGATTGAAATGAGGAATGATATTCTCATCAACAGAAACAAATCAAACTTTACTTTAAATTCCATCACATTAGTAGCTTTGTGAATTATACTGTAGAAATCTTGACGGTTGACCGGAAAGCATTTTTCCTGCCTATAAATTCCCAATAATGCAACAGAATATCAAAATAAATCTTAGATCTAGTCTATATTATAAGAACAGATTATGCAGGGCTGTCAACCCTCCCGCATTTGGAAGGAGTCTCACGCCACCACTCTCATTCTCCCGCCGTCCCAATAGCTTGTAGCGGGAGATTCCCGCAGCACGCCAGTCCTCCCGCTCTTACCCCCCCCCCCCACCCCCCCCCCCCCCCCCCCCCCCCCCCCCGCTTAGTCTACGTCACTTCCGTTGAGCAAAACAAAAATTTGCGTACAACCTCCCTAAAAGCAGTTTCCCAAAGACCAGAGCAAAGCATTTTGGTCTGGCTTTATTTCAATGAAGTCATCAAAGTATACTCCCATAACCCCATTAATTCAAATCGTCAAACAACACGTTTCTAATATGGCATTTAACTTTTGTATTTTGAACATTATTTGGTATCAAATATTAACATCCATACTCCAGACCATAGCTGCACTGATTGAATTGGTAACTGACTCATAGATCTAGACTATATCACATCACACTGCACTGCACTCTTTTTGAAATTAGCCACCATAAAATTATCACTTAGTCGTGACATACCCTGAATCTGCGTTAATCAGCGTTATGCTAGTCTCAAATTGTCAGCAGGTGCCATCATTTTCTATAGTTCTTGGTAGTTCTGGCCTTCTGGGCAATTTTGTCACCGAGGCCGAGGCTGACTCACCCTCCACTATATTGCACCACCACTGCACACTCCCAGCTCAAGCCATGGAAATCCTCAAGCGCAGCGGGAACAGCAAGCTACTTAGCGGGAGGCTAGCCCACTCGTACTCGACAACCGGGTAGATCGGTGCTGCGGCGCGGCAGCAGAAATACCGAGACTGGCGATATCACTATCAATTATATCCATGTGTGCGCGTTGATCCACAACATAAAACATACGACAAAGTCAAACAACGCACTACCGCGCGCCACAGCTTCTTCACCGCACGCGCGGAAATAGCTTGGTAAACATGGCAGCCCACACAGCTACATGAAACTGACTGACAACCCGAAAAATTGAGGATGACTGATATTTTGCTGGATGGTTAGCTGATGACAGGCTTGATTACAGAACTGAAACATCCTGCAGACCTGGTTTTGACATTTCATTTGTTCTAGGTAATACTTTTTGAAAGACCATGAAAGTGTCTAGCCTCGGGCTCGGTTGATAAATTCCCCAACAACATGTTCAACCTTCAATTTTGGCATGTGTGTTATTTGGTTGACTGTTAATTGTTTGTGTGGTGTGCATATGCATGTGATAGATTGTTGTCTTCTTTAGAGTATAGATCTAGGCCTACTTAAAGTAGATTATACAACATGCACAAAGCAAGCAAAATGCATTATTATCATGTCAGTTTGTCTGTATTGGTGAATGGTGACATATGCGTGGACATCAAATTGAGATCTAAAGTTTAAAATGTTTGGACAGAGTCTCATGCCACCACGTTCATTCTCCTGCGGCCTGCCGTCCCATCCACCAGCTTGTATCGGGAGACTTCCGCCACCACGCTCTTGCCCTTCCTCCCGCTCTCCCGCCAATGATGTAGAAACTAGAATCTCCCACTTCCCAGTTTATTAAAAAAACCTCCCACCAAACTGCAAACATGTAAAATGAACCAGCGTACCAATATGCAATTCTTTTTTGCTCAAGGGGGCAGGGGGAGGGGTGTTGAGTTAAAAAAACAAAAACAAATTATTTTTAATGCTCACTACCCCCCCCCCCCCCCCCCCCCCCCCCCCCCCCCCCCCCCCCGCTTTGAGCAAACAAAGAATTGCATACGATCTCCCTCGAAGGCGAAGCAGTTTCCCAAAATTGACAGCCCTGCACGTAGAAGAATCCCCTATCCACCTCAGTGAACGGAAATACGCGCTGCTGATTGGCTGATCGCGCGACCCTCGCTTGTCTGCTAGCTGCGAGGCATGGGCGATTCGCTACACTGTGCGCAGTGTATTGTAGCGGCCGTGTTGTGGGAGCGGGGCCCTGCACTAAACTCAAACACCTAGCGAAAATTGGCGACCAAAAACACATTCAGTGTATATGGTTTCAACGATGTCGCTCTCTACACACTTATGTCGCTCAATTACAATTTGCACGTAGCTTTACACACACTTCAACCTACACATACATATCCTTTACAAAAACTTCTGACGAAATCATCAAAAAATATGACTTACCGAAACAAAGAACCACCATACGATTTTGAAATATCTATATCTATATTTGAAATATATATACCTAGAAATATCGATGATACCGATGGTGAAAAAAATTGTTCAAAAATCGAAGTCGGGATGGAAATATAACGAGTTTGATATCAACGTATTCGAGAAGTCGCAGGCAGAAATCATCGCACTCATAGGTTTAACATTGTGGGAAAATATGCAAATGAAATGAGTAAACACCCAATCAACTATGAGCATCGTGACGCTAGCACTTTTATGAATGAAAAATGACATCAGTCGGGCTTGAGCGAACAGAAGAGCGCATTGCGTATGCGCGAGTTTTGTGTGTAATTCTTCTTCATTCCCTGTAATAATGTATTGTGTGCATTTGTCTTGAAAAAAAATCTGCCATATGTATGACAATATAAGTTGTCTTTATGATAATGTTCATGAAAGAGGATAATTTCAACATTTTAAAATATGAAAACAAATTGAAAATAAAAAGTCACCAATATGCAATAAAATTCGAATTATGCACTTGAAATGCCCAACAATGTCAATGTAGATTTAACATTTTAAATTTTATTTCACTAACCCTAACAGGTACCTTTATGATACCTGTAGGTATCACTTGACCAGTAGTAACCAGCCTTCATCATGCCGCCAGCAAGAGGGGTCAAGAAACCGAAGGAGGACAAGAGTGACCATAGGATCCTTGCCAATCGCTATCGAGTAGAGAAGAAACTTGGTAGTGGTAACTTTGGCACAGCGTTCCTGGTGTTTGACATGAAGGCCAATCCTGACAAAGGCGAAGAAGAATGGTAAGTGGACATTTTCTATTCACAAAATGAACATTTAGGGCTATACATGTACCTTTTTCATAATAAATAGTGGGTTCTTGTATAGTGTTCATGTCTGTAAAACTTGACACTCATCATGGCGCTCTTAAATTACTACTCCGGCTTTAGCATGGCTACCATTGCGGTGCTCTAGCGTTTCAAGGAATTAATTCCTACCAGGTCCCCATTTACGTCACCATCCTGGGATGAGTGAGGCAAATGTAGATTGATGTCTTGCCAAAGGACAGTTAGTGCAGTACCCTGGTTAGGTCAATAAGAAAGGCCAGAAGTAGCAAATGATTTCAACCTCAAGGTATGCATAATCTTGAGCTGCACATTTTGGATGATGAAACAGACTGCAACCAAATTCATATGGAATCTTAAATAATAGAATCTATACAATATATCCGTTAAAATGTTTGATAGAAAATCATAGTTCATGTAATTAAAAAAGATTGAGGTGATATCATGAATAATCACCCATTTTTTTTTCTCTCTCTCTCTCTCTCTCTTTATTTCTTTTTTCTCTTTCTACCTGTCTCTCAATTTATGTTCATTGGTCTCCATCCGTCTCTTGTCTGTATTTCTCTTTCTCTGTGTTTCTCTCTCATTTTATATGTCTATGCTTCTTTCAATCTCTACTCTCCTTTTCCGTCCCGTTCCTTTCAATCTTCAGGAAAGTATTAAAAGAGATCTCCTGTGGAGACTTGGCACCAGATGAAACGGTAGACGCCATGCACGAAGCCAAGCTCCTCTCCAAGCTCCATCATCCAAACATTGTCAAATTCTACGATAGCTTCCTTGATGGAGAGTTCTTCTGTATTATCACAGAATACTGTGAGGTAAGGTTTCATTTCAAATTCTTTATAATTAAAGCGGGACTGCACTACTTATAGCTACTTGCACCCTCTATATAACAAACAATGCCTAATTGGTGCCTGTTGGTCCCCCATGATCCCCTTTTTCTAATGTTAATTGAGAGCTGAGTTGATGAGATAACCACCTGTCAGTGACCGTGTAGGGAGGTCTAATCCCTCCTGGCCAAACTAGTGCAGATAGGCTTTAAAATGAAGGACGTGGTTTTGCCAAAGAAGATTTCGGAGCCTGTGATCCGCTTGAAATCATCATTGGTAGCAATTAAACCATCTCATAGTCATGTTCATCTTTGTCACAGGAAATGACAATTATTTCTGCATTTTGGATAGAGTTCTTTTGTACGAGTAGGGCAGCAGGAACACACTATTTTCAAGCAATGTTTGAAAAAGATGACAAGGATAGAATTATTTTGAAGTTATCATATATATCAATAAATTGCCTTTTATGTTGGTTTTGCTGAAAAATACATGATGTAACATGCTCGTCATCTTTATTCACAAAGTAGTTAAGTTTACAAGCAGATGGAACGGATCTATTAAAACTTTAATTTTTTACGTCTTTTTTGTTAAAAGTAAATTGGCTCTTTTCAAAAGTTCTACAAATGTACATTTACCATTTTGTCCATTGACTTGAAATAGTGCTTTTAAGAAAAAACAACATTATTATTGACGTTAGAATGTGTTAATTATTTTCAGAAAAATAATTTCAATTTGTTTGTTATTTAGGGAGGAGACTTGGATGATAAGATTACAGCATGGAAGAAAGCAGGGAAGAAATTTGATCAGAATGTCATCATGGATTGGTTTGTTCAGCTAGCTTTAGCTGTACAACACATGCATAAAAGGTAGGATGAATTCTTCTTTTTATATTTTATTTAAAATGCTTAAATTTTAGAATCATATTGGCGAAATTGAACGTGCACTTGATCGAGCTGTATCTATCTCTTTTGTAAAATAATAATAAACTGCTTACTTTTTTTTATGCTTCTGAATAAAATCTGAATAATCATGTGTGTATTTCTGTGCTTTGTTACTTTTCTTCTGAATTAAACAGAGGTACCTGGTATTTAACATCATCTGAGCAGCAGCAAACCAATTTAATTGGTCTGTTTATGACTCTCGTAATACAGGTACTGCTGATAACAGGTATCTGGTGATACCTGAAGTGGCTAATACAGTCAAACCTGCTTTAATGACCATCTGTCTACAAAGACCACATTTTTGTTTCTGACGAAAACGGAATTCATTGAAACATGTACTAAATGAAAATGAAGCTGTCTACAAAGACCACTTTTTGTGTTTCCCTTGGGCGGTCGCTATAGACAGGTTTGACCGTATTTGCATTTGCCCAATATATACAACAACAACACCAACAACAAAGAAATATCTTTCCCCTGGTTGATTATATGTGTAAATTTATGTCAAGGTTGGCATTTGCTACCAAATGTCAAACACTTTGAACAAATTATGGCGTAAGAAACAAAAATCAAATCCTTATTCTTACCTGTAGGAGAGTACTACATAGAGATCTGAAGACCAGAAACATCTTCCTGAAGAAGAACATGATCAAGATTGGTGACTTTGGAATCTCAAGGGTGCTGATGGGGACCACCGACATGGCCAGCACATTCACTGGGACGCCTTACTACATGAGCCCAGAGGTTCTCAAGCACGAGGGATACAACAGCAAATCTGACGTCTGGTAAGATTTATTTGTAGCAGTCAGTGTTAGTATTAGTGTTAGTGTTGGTGTTTGTGTTAGGTTCACTGTGCCACCTTACTACTTGCGTTAACGTGTCCGATAATGTGTTGATGTGAAGGTGTTGGTGCTATGATCCATATTCAATGGTGGTGTAAGTGCTTGTGCTAGGTTCACTGTGCCACTTTACTACTTGAGTTAAGGTGTCTGATAATGTGTTGATGGTAAGGTGTTGGTGTTCTGCTCCATATTCAATGGGGGGTTAGTGCTTTTGTTAAGGTTCACTGAGCCATCTTACTAATTGAGTTAACATGTCTGATAATGTGTTGATGGGAAGGTGTTGGTGTTATGCTCCCTATTTAATGGCAGTGTATTGCAATGATGTGTTTGTGTTGCTTCACTGGGATACCGTCTACATGAGCTTGAAGTTCTTGAAGTACGAGTGATACAAGACTTAATCTGACGCCTGGTAAGAATGGATGTCCTGTATTGATGTATTCAGGTTTGTGCTTTACCAGACCTTCTGTTATATAGTAGGGGGATGTAAATGATTAATGAAATTGGTATTAAAATCACCTTTTATGGGATGGAAATTTTGGTTGCTAAATAACCAAATGTGATGTTTGAAGAGCAACAACTATTAGACCGCGGGCCATAGATCAAATATGTGGCTTATTTTTCATTTTCGTGCCTCAACTCTTGTATATACCTAAATTTTTGTTACTCAATAGAACAAAAATCATTGAATAACAATTGATAACTCGTCAGTGCAATAAGTTGCACATTAATTAATTATGCTAATTTAAAAAAGTTACAGCGCCCTCTTGTGTTCAAATCTTGAGATCTGTGTTGTGCTAATGGGTTCCACAGGATTTTATTGGACTTGGAGGTTTTGTTTCACCCAGGGAATAACACCCAAGTCTGTCTTGGAATGGTTGGTGTTATATTTTTCTTTATTTAAAGGTTAAGTCCATCCTAACAAATATTTTAGTTTAAATAAAGTCAGAAAAATGAAAGGAAGACGACAGTGAAAGTTTTCAGCAAGTTTTGAAAGTAAGCAAGTTATCAATTTTTGAAGGTGTGATTAATGAAACACAACTCGACAACTCCACAATGTAACTTTTTTCTGCTTCTATTCAGGATGGACTTCCCCCTTTGGTTAAACAACAAACAAAAACAATCTTGAAAATAAATAGAGATACATAAAGAGAGAGATTAATAGAGAGGGGAGAGAAGTGGAAAAGAGGGGGGGGGGGGTCAGGAGATAATGGGGACTTTGGTAGACTGTGGTACTTTTATTTATGTATTTATTCATTTTTGTTTTTATTTGTTTGGGGGGATATCAATGTGTGCACATGAGGATGCACATCTTTTAATGAGTATAATCATGGTTTCAATGCATTTTGACTACCAGTATTCATCACTTACTACACAACTTGAACCATCCTTCGGTATCCCATCACAAATATAGCACCCCCCACACTTATACTGAAAACTTCACCCTCTCTCTCTCTCTGGCTGTATGTCTGCCCCCCCCCCCTCTCTCTCTCTCTCTCTCTCTCTCTCTCTCTCTATATATATATATATACAGTGCATACACACACACACAAACAATCCAATAAATTAATTTACATTAAAACACAATTTGAACAGGTGTCAAGATAGATAAGCCAAAATTTCCATATTCAATCAATATTTTTAATCATCTTTTAACTACATGTATCTCAAATACATTGCAAAATCACAGGAAGTTTTGACAATGGGGTGGGGGGGGGGGGGGCAGTAGACGTAATGCATAGTATGAAGTAGATTCATTGTAAGAAAAATAAATTGTATTCATGATGAGGTACACTTTTCTGGCTCTTAAAGGAAATTTCCAGGCAGTTTTGTTTTTGTTTTTTTCATAACAATGATCAAACTCATTCCTTAATACCAAATCTATTAAACTGCCCCAACAGATTTTGAACAAGTATAAGTCTACTGTACTAGCAATACAGAGAATTAATTCATACAATGACTTTCAAATGTTCAATATCATTGTGTACTGTTAGAGGGAGAAAATCCATCATTGATTCATACAAGGCATGGAAACCAGACATAAATCAACTTCCTTGCTACTTGCCTTTGATGATTTGATGATTTAATTATATTTTTAACAATATTTTCCCTCCATTACGTTGATGACAAAAACAAGAATTGCCAGATACCCACATTTGTACAGCATAAAACATAAACTTAAACGTGAATACATTTCAATTACTAATCATGGTATTTACAAAATTGTGAACTACTTAATCTCAATCCTCCGATAGTGCACAATTAGAATATTTTTTCACAATGGAACAAAATACTTACATGTCCAGTTCAAATCTATACCTACAATGGTACAATGTATTTATTTAGCAGTGAATAGAGGCAAAAAACACATTTATCTCCCGACATCTACAAGTATTTTCTTCCCTTACATTAACATATTGAGAAACAACTTTCAGTGTCAAGTCATGATGAAAAAAAAATACATGAAGAACAAATACTTTCCAGAATGACAAAGGGAATGACCATTACTCAACATGTATCAGGAATTTTCAAAATAAAATATTGGTTCCTGTTTATAGAGCACTTGTTATGCTTTATGACACTTCTCTTTACCTGCATGTAGTAATACCTAGCAACAAAATATGTACTGCTCTGGTTAGATGGGTACCCATTTACATGTACATGTACACCTGAGTGAAACATGGTAACAATGGATTCATGTTATGTTTGTCTAAATGACTATGTACCATAAACAATTGAATGTGCAGTGCAGTCAATAAACCACTACTAGACTTGGGCATCAAAAACATTTTGCTGGAAGTATATACATTTACCTCACAAATACTGTAAATGACTATATATTCAAAGTGGTTATAAATTTTTAAGCCTCATCAATCTCTAAAGTTTTCATATAAATCACATGAACAGTAAAATACAACATCATACAAGTGTGACCTTAGTTGTCCCAAACAACTGTGTTTGAACAGAAATTGGTATATTCATATCTTTACCCTGTTTTTGCATGGAAGGATAACTATCATATAGGTATTGGCGTATTGATGTTACAATGCTACAAACTCTTGTCATCACAATATACATGTGCATGTATATTTTACTGCAATGGAGAAGTGAGACAACAGGTTTTCTTCAAATTAGCAAATCAGGAATAATAAACCTACAGATTTCTGACAATAGGAAAATTTGAATTTCTTAGCTTAGTCAGCCTAAGGATCTCCTTATTTTTCATTATCCTTTCCTCAATTACCTTTTTGCAGAAACTAGAGTATGACTTATCATATATTACTGTTTGCTGAGTATCCTGTTTATAAGTATTACATCTCTTCACAACTTTTGTATACCTGTAATAGCACGATTTATGGTACCTTACTTCTATTGCAACAAGATCTTTCCCACGTATGTGTAAAAGCAATTGTTCATCTTGCTTTAATAAAGCGGCCTCTAACAGATGCCCCCCATCTTTTCTTTCACAAAGAATTAATTTTTCTACCTTCCGTTTACCAGAAGACTGTTCGCGGATATACTTAGCTCCTTTGCAGATAATGCAATGGACTGGCAATACATGCGGCTTATCAAAGTCATGGCTGGTAGAGGGTTGATTTTCATGGGATACTCTCGACCGCAGCAGTCTCTTGGGTGCAGGGGCATCCTCACTTGCTGACACTTCCTCTGGATCTTCTGTAGATGTCTTCTCAGCATCTGTGGGTTTAACAAGAAAAAGAGAAGGAAGAAAGGAACAGACAGGGGAAAAAATACTGATTAAAACCAATTTTATCAAAATCATTCTGATTTTCTGAATATATAACTCAATGTGGTGTTGGTGTTGAAAGTGTGGATCAAGCTGCTGAACCAAGCTCCAACACTGACTGTACTTGAGAAATAGCTCAATACTGATAGACCGCGGGCCATAGATCAAATATGTGGCTTATTTTTCATTTTCGTGCCTCAACTCTTGTATATACCTAAATTTTTGTTACTCAATAGAACAAAAATCATTGAATAACAATTGATAACTCGTCAGTGCAATAAGTTGCACATTAATTAATTATGCTAATTTAAAAAAGTTACAGCGCCCTCTTGTGTTCAAATCTTGAGATCTGTGTTGTGCTAATGGGTTCCACAGGATTTTATTGGACTTGGAGGTTTTGTTTCACCCAGGGAATAACACCCAAGTCTGTCTTGGAATGGTTGGTGTTATATTTTTCTTTATTTAAAGGTTAAGTCCATCCTAACAAATATTTTAGTTTAAATAAAGTCAGAAAAATGAAAGGAAGACGACAGTGAAAGTTTTCAGCAAGTTTTGAAAGTAAGCAAGTTATCAATTTTTGAAGGTGTGATTAATGAAACACAACTCGACAACTCCACAATGTAACTTTTTTCTGCTTCTATTCAGGATGGACTTCCCCCTTTGGTTAAACAACAAACAAAAACAATCTTGAAAATAAATAGAGATACATAAAGAGAGAGATTAATAGAGAGGGGAGAGAAGTGGAAAAGAGGGGGGGGGGGGGTCAGGAGATAATGGGGACTTTGGTAGACTGTGGTACTTTTATTTATGTATTTATTCATTTTTGTTTTTATTTGTTTGGGGGGATATCAATGTGTGCACATGAGGATGCACATCTTTTAATGAGTATAATCATGGTTTCAATGCATTTTGACTACCAGTATTCATCACTTACTACACAACTTGAACCATCCTTCGGTATCCCATCACAAATATAGCACCCCCCACACTTATACTGAAAACTTCACCCTCTCTCTCTCTCTGGCTGTATGTCTGCCCCCCCCTCTCTCTCTCTCTCTCTCTCTCTCTCTCTCTCTATATATATATATATACAGTGCATACACACACACACAAACAATCCAATAAATTAATTTACATTAAAACACAATTTGAACAGGTGTCAAGATAGATAAGCCAAAATTTCCATATTCAATCAATATTTTTAATCATCTTTTAACTACATGTATCTCAAATACATTGCAAAATCACAGGAAGTTTTGACAATGGGGTGGGGGGGGGGGGCAGTAGACGTAATGCATAGTATGAAGTAGATTCATTGTAAGAAAAATAAATTGTATTCATGATGAGGTACACTTTTCTGGCTCTTAAAGGAAATTTCCAGGCAGTTTTGTTTTTGTTTTTTTCATAACAATGATCAAACTCATTCCTTAATACCAAATCTATTAAACTGCCCCAACAGATTTTGAACAAGTATAAGTCTACTGTACTAGCAATACAGAGAATTAATTCATACAATGACTTTCAAATGTTCAATATCATTGTGTACTGTTAGAGGGAGAAAATCCATCATTGATTCATACAAGGCATGGAAACCAGACATAAATCAACTTCCTTGCTACTTGCCTTTGATGATTTGATGATTTAATTATATTTTTAACAATATTTTCCCTCCATTACGTTGATGACAAAAACAAGAATTGCCAGATACCCACATTTGTACAGCATAAAACATAAACTTAAACGTGAATACATTTCAATTACTAATCATGGTATTTACAAAATTGTGAACTACTTAATCTCAATCCTCCGATAGTGCACAATTAGAATATTTTTTCACAATGGAACAAAATACTTACATGTCCAGTTCAAATCTATACCTACAATGGTACAATGTATTTATTTAGCAGTGAATAGAGGCAAAAAACACATTTATCTCCCGACATCTACAAGTATTTTCTTCCCTTACATTAACATATTGAGAAACAACTTTCAGTGTCAAGTCATGATGAAAAAAAAATACATGAAGAACAAATACTTTCCAGAATGACAAAGGGAATGACCATTACTCAACATGTATCAGGAATTTTCAAAATAAAATATTGGTTCCTGTTTATAGAGCACTTGTTATGCTTTATGACACTTCTCTTTACCTGCATGTAGTAATACCTAGCAACAAAATATGTACTGCTCTGGTTAGATGGGTACCCATTTACATGTACATGTACACCTGAGTGAAACATGGTAACAATGGATTCATGTTATGTTTGTCTAAATGACTATGTACCATAAACAATTGAATGTGCAGTGCAGTCAATAAACCACTACTAGACTTGGGCATCAAAAACATTTTGCTGGAAGTATATACATTTACCTCACAAATACTGTAAATGACTATATATTCAAAGTGGTTATAAATTTTTAAGCCTCATCAATCTCTAAAGTTTTCATATAAATCACATGAACAGTAAAATACAACATCATACAAGTGTGACCTTAGTTGTCCCAAACAACTGTGTTTGAACAGAAATTGGTATATTCATATCTTTACCCTGTTTTTGCATGGAAGGATAACTATCATATAGGTATTGGCGTATTGATGTTACAATGCTACAAACTCTTGTCATCACAATATACATGTGCATGTATATTTTACTGCAATGGAGAAGTGAGACAACAGGTTTTCTTCAAATTAGCAAATCAGGAATAATAAACCTACAGATTTCTGACAATAGGAAAATTTGAATTTCTTAGCTTAGTCAGCCTAAGGATCTCCTTATTTTTCATTATCCTTTCCTCAATTACCTTTTTGCAGAAACTAGAGTATGACTTATCATATATTACTGTTTGCTGAGTATCCTGTTTATAAGTATTACATCTCTTCACAACTTTTGTATACCTGTAATAGCACGATTTATGGTACCTTACTTCTATTGCAACAAGATCTTTCCCACGTATGTGTAAAAGCAATTGTTCATCTTGCTTTAATAAAGCGGCCTCTAACAGATGCCCCCCATCTTTTCTTTCACAAAGAATTAATTTTTCTACCTTCCGTTTACCAGAAGACTGTTCGCGGATATACTTAGCTCCTTTGCAGATAATGCAATGGACTGGCAATACATGCGGCTTATCAAAGTCATGGCTGGTAGAGGGTTGATTTTCATGGGATACTCTCGACCGCAGCAGTCTCTTGGGTGCAGGGGCATCCTCACTTGCTGACACTTCCTCTGGATCTTCTGTAGATGTCTTCTCAGCATCTGTGGGTTTAACAAGAAAAAGAGAAGGAAGAAAGGAACAGACAGGGGAAAAAATACTGATTAAAACCAATTTTATCAAAATCATTCTGATTTTCTGAATATATAACTCAATGTGGTGTTGGTGTTGAAAGTGTGGATCAAGCTGCTGAACCAAGCTCCAACACTGACTGTACTTGAGAAATAGCTCAATACTGATAGACCGCGGGCCATAGATCAAATATGTGGCTTATTTTTCATTTTCGTGCCTCAACTCTTGTATATACCTAAATTTTTGTTACTCAATAGAACAAAAATCATTGAATAACAATTGATAACTCGTCAGTGCAATAAGTTGCACATTAATTAATTATGCTAATTTAAAAAAGTTACAGCGCCCTCTTGTGTTCAAATCTTGAGATCTGTGTTGTGCTAATGGGTTCCACAGGATTTTATTGGACTTGGAGGTTTTGTTTCACCCAGGGAATAACACCCAAGTCTGTCTTGGAATGGTTGGTGTTATATTTTTCTTTATTTAAAGGTTAAGTCCATCCTAACAAATATTTTAGTTTAAATAAAGTCAGAAAAATGAAAGGAAGACGACAGTGAAAGTTTTCAGCAAGTTTTGAAAGTAAGCAAGTTATCAATTTTTGAAGGTGTGATTAATGAAACACAACTCGACAACTCCACAATGTAACTTTTTTCTGCTTCTATTCAGGATGGACTTCCCCCTTTGGTTAAACAACAAACAAAAACAATCTTGAAAATAAATAGAGATACATAAAGAGAGAGATTAATAGAGAGGGGAGAGAAGTGGAAAAGAGGGGGGGGGGGGGGTCAGGAGATAATGGGGACTTTGGTAGACTGTGGTACTTTTATTTATGTATTTATTCATTTTTGTTTTTATTTGTTTGGGGGGATATCAATGTGTGCACATGAGGATGCACATCTTTTAATGAGTATAATCATGGTTTCAATGCATTTTGACTACCAGTATTCATCACTTACTACACAACTTGAACCATCCTTCGGTATCCCATCACAAATATAGCACCCCCCACACTTATACTGAAAACTTCACCCTCTCTCTCTCTCTGGCTGTATGTCTGCCCCCCCCTCTCTCTCTCTCTCTCTCTCTCTCTCTCTCTCTATATATATATATATATACAGTGCATACACACACACACAAACAATCCAATAAATTAATTTACATTAAAACACAATTTGAACAGGTGTCAAGATAGATAAGCCAAAATTTCCATATTCAATCAATATTTTTAATCATCTTTTAACTACATGTATCTCAAATACATTGCAAAATCACAGGAAGTTTTGACAATGGGGTGGGGGGGGGGCAGTAGACGTAATGCATAGTATGAAGTAGATTCATTGTAAGAAAAATAAATTGTATTCATGATGAGGTACACTTTTCTGGCTCTTAAAGGAAATTTCCAGGCAGTTTTGTTTTTGTTTTTTTCATAACAATGATCAAACTCATTCCTTAATACCAAATCTATTAAACTGCCCCAACAGATTTTGAACAAGTATAAGTCTACTGTACTAGCAATACAGAGAATTAATTCATACAATGACTTTCAAATGTTCAATATCATTGTGTACTGTTAGAGGGAGAAAATCCATCATTGATTCATACAAGGCATGGAAACCAGACATAAATCAACTTCCTTGCTACTTGCCTTTGATGATTTGATGATTTAATTATATTTTTAACAATATTTTCCCTCCATTACGTTGATGACAAAAACAAGAATTGCCAGATACCCACATTTGTACAGCATAAAACATAAACTTAAACGTGAATACATTTCAATTACTAATCATGGTATTTACAAAATTGTGAACTACTTAATCTCAATCCTCCGATAGTGCACAATTAGAATATTTTTTCACAATGGAACAAAATACTTACATGTCCAGTTCAAATCTATACCTACAATGGTACAATGTATTTATTTAGCAGTGAATAGAGGCAAAAAACACATTTATCTCCCGACATCTACAAGTATTTTCTTCCCTTACATTAACATATTGAGAAACAACTTTCAGTGTCAAGTCATGATGAAAAAAAAATACATGAAGAACAAATACTTTCCAGAATGACAAAGGGAATGACCATTACTCAACATGTATCAGGAATTTTCAAAATAAAATATTGGTTCCTGTTTATAGAGCACTTGTTATGCTTTATGACACTTCTCTTTACCTGCATGTAGTAATACCTAGCAACAAAATATGTACTGCTCTGGTTAGATGGGTACCCATTTACATGTACATGTACACCTGAGTGAAACATGGTAACAATGGATTCATGTTATGTTTGTCTAAATGACTATGTACCATAAACAATTGAATGTGCAGTGCAGTCAATAAACCACTACTAGACTTGGGCATCAAAAACATTTTGCTGGAAGTATATACATTTACCTCACAAATACTGTAAATGACTATATATTCAAAGTGGTTATAAATTTTTAAGCCTCATCAATCTCTAAAGTTTTCATATAAATCACATGAACAGTAAAATACAACATCATACAAGTGTGACCTTAGTTGTCCCAAACAACTGTGTTTGAACAGAAATTGGTATATTCATATCTTTACCCTGTTTTTGCATGGAAGGATAACTATCATATAGGTATTGGCGTATTGATGTTACAATGCTACAAACTCTTGTCATCACAATATACATGTGCATGTATATTTTACTGCAATGGAGAAGTGAGACAACAGGTTTTCTTCAAATTAGCAAATCAGGAATAATAAACCTACAGATTTCTGACAATAGGAAAATTTGAATTTCTTAGCTTAGTCAGCCTAAGGATCTCCTTATTTTTCATTATCCTTTCCTCAATTACCTTTTTGCAGAAACTAGAGTATGACTTATCATATATTACTGTTTGCTGAGTATCCTGTTTATAAGTATTACATCTCTTCACAACTTTTGTATACCTGTAATAGCACGATTTATGGTACCTTACTTCTATTGCAACAAGATCTTTCCCACGTATGTGTAAAAGCAATTGTTCATCTTGCTTTAATAAAGCGGCCTCTAACAGATGCCCCCCATCTTTTCTTTCACAAAGAATTAATTTTTCTACCTTCCGTTTACCAGAAGACTGTTCGCGGATATACTTAGCTCCTTTGCAGATAATGCAATGGACTGGCAATACATGCGGCTTATCAAAGTCATGGCTGGTAGAGGGTTGATTTTCATGGGATACTCTCGACCGCAGCAGTCTCTTGGGTGCAGGGGCATCCTCACTTGCTGACACTTCCTCTGGATCTTCTGTAGATGTCTTCTCAGCATCTGTGGGTTTAACAAGAAAAAGAGAAGGAAGAAAGGAACAGACAGGGGAAAAAATACTGATTAAAACCAATTTTATCAAAATCATTCTGATTTTCTGAATATATAACTCAATGTGGTGTTGGTGTTGAAAGTGTGGATCAAGCTGCTGAACCAAGCTCCAACACTGACTGTACTTGAGAAATAGCTCAATACTGAGTGATGTCACGCCTTTTATGTGATCCACTCACGATTTCAAGCGAAAAGGCTATACAACGAAAGTGAAATCAGTGAGAAATGGCATTCAAATTTCATCAAACAGGATGTAAAATCTAAAATCGTATTTTCAAATCAAAAGAGAAAATGTTATTAATCTTTAGAAAATAGACACATATATAGCTCTGATGATTTGTAAAACATTTTGACTGTAAATTGGATTTCGCTTAACTTTGCTGTGACGTTATCATTTGGTTCATGATCTTAAGATCACCAACACCAACACCGAACTTCAAATCACAAATTTCCCAATCTCTAGGCGATTTGTGTTGGGGAATAGGGAAATAACAAATAAATCGTCAAAGCGAACCATGATACTCGGTTCAGCAGACAACATTCAACAACATATTTTCCGAGGTCAATTCCAACACCAGCCGCATTTCAAGTTCAGTGTTGTGGCTTTTGACACTGAACTTGAAATCGCCAGTAGATCTAAATGTGTAGATGCAGAACAATTATTGCACAATTGCACCTACCGGTGTCTTCTTTTGCACTGCCTCACACACGCACAGATCAAACACTCTCCTTCTCTTCTTTGTCTTTGTACTGTACTGTTTAAATTATTTTAGCAGCATTTAATCATTGTTTATTACCTCTCTTCTTCTGAAGTCTTGTCAATGCTCTACTGATTGTCGTTACGTTGCAAAAGTGTCGGTAACATTCAGCATGATATCCTCGAAGCCGAGTATGGTGCTCCCTAGTAAAAGAAAATGTGAGAGATGTAGACTAATAAATAATTTCTATTAAAGTTCAATCTGCTAAAATACAAGAACTGCTGGACCTAGTTTAAGTAGTTAGGCCTATGTAAATGGCTTAATTTCTTGACACAAGCAAGAGTCAAGAATTAGACTATTTTATAATTTATCTGTAGACGAAAAAAAGTAGAGGGTCTAGACAGTAGTAGTAGGGACAGGGTCTAGTAGTAGTAGATCTAGACCTAGAAAATCTATCCTGTAATCCAGGACCATAGACATAGTAGATGAGAGGTCTAGATCTAGTCTGTTCTCTACTACTCTAGACCAAATTTGTAATTTCTGCTCTTTTTTCAAGTGCAATTTTTATTTCGGGGAAAATGTGAACACTTTTCATTTCATGCAGGCCTAGATATCTAGATCTATACCAATATATTAGGTGATAACTTACCTGCTTGTTGTCGATGACTGAAGACCGACTTGTCCCACACCTTCACTTTCGTGTACGTGTTCTTGCAACTTCTCTGCAACTTCACTTTCTAAACTCTCTTCCACGATTACCCACTTAGCTGCACACTCCTTACACTTTTGATAGCTTTTATCACTAAATGGTATAATCTTGCTCTGAGTATCGATGACATGTATGGAACAGAAAGCGGATTCACCAGCCTCAGAATTGTCCGTCTCACTGGCATCAAACGACTCAGAAGTCGCCATAGTACACAGTGAAAGTCGCAGTGCACAGTAAAAGTCGCATAGGCGTGCGCATAAAACAAAGAATATGATTGGCCAAAAGCCAGTCACTCCACACATCATGCTATCAGCAACGTATTGTGATTGGTCATTCTTACCGTAGAAAGTGAAAAATTGTCTCAAATTTGTTTTTTGTTTTTTGATATTTTCAGAAAATGTGCAAGTTTTGTTACTGACGAGTTTCAGATGTGACTGTAATAAATATTTTTAAACATGTTGACCAAAATACAGCTAGATACAAATTTGAGGCACGAGATGAAAAGAAAATGCACCTCGGCCCGCGGTCTATGAGTGATGTCACGCCTTTTATGTGATCCACTCACGATTTCAAGCGAAAAGGCTATACAACGAAAGTGAAATCAGTGAGAAATGGCATTCAAATTTCATCAAACAGGATGTAAAATCTAAAATCGTATTTTCAAATCAAAAGAGAAAATGTTATTAATCTTTAGAAAATAGACACATATATAGCTCTGATGATTTGTAAAACATTTTGACTGTAAATTGGATTTCGCTTAACTTTGCTGTGACGTTATCATTTGGTTCATGATCTTAAGATCACCAACACCAACACCGAACTTCAAATCACAAATTTCCCAATCTCTAGGCGATTTGTGTTGGGGAATAGGGAAATAACAAATAAATCGTCAAAGCGAACCATGATACTCGGTTCAGCAGACAACATTCAACAACATATTTTCCGAGGTCAATTCCAACACCAGCCGCATTTCAAGTTCAGTGTTGTGGCTTTTGACACTGAACTTGAAATCGCCAGTAGATCTAAATGTGTAGATGCAGAACAATTATTGCACAATTGCACCTACCGGTGTCTTCTTTTGCACTGCCTCACACACGCACAGATCAAACACTCTCCTTCTCTTCTTTGTCTTTGTACTGTACTGTTTAAATTATTTTAGCAGCATTTAATCATTGTTTATTACCTCTCTTCTTCTGAAGTCTTGTCAATGCTCTACTGATTGTCGTTACGTTGCAAAAGTGTCGGTAACATTCAGCATGATATCCTCGAAGCCGAGTATGGTGCTCCCTAGTAAAAGAAAATGTGAGAGATGTAGACTAATAAATAATTTCTATTAAAGTTCAATCTGCTAAAATACAAGAACTGCTGGACCTAGTTTAAGTAGTTAGGCCTATGTAAATGGCTTAATTTCTTGACACAAGCAAGAGTCAAGAATTAGACTATTTTATAATTTATCTGTAGACGAAAAAAAGTAGAGGGTCTAGACAGTAGTAGTAGGGACAGGGTCTAGTAGTAGTAGATCTAGACCTAGAAAATCTATCCTGTAATCCAGGACCATAGACATAGTAGATGAGAGGTCTAGATCTAGTCTGTTCTCTACTACTCTAGACCAAATTTGTAATTTCTGCTCTTTTTTCAAGTGCAATTTTTATTTCGGGGAAAATGTGAACACTTTTCATTTCATGCAGGCCTAGATATCTAGATCTATACCAATATATTAGGTGATAACTTACCTGCTTGTTGTCGATGACTGAAGACCGACTTGTCCCACACCTTCACTTTCGTGTACGTGTTCTTGCAACTTCTCTGCAACTTCACTTTCTAAACTCTCTTCCACGATTACCCACTTAGCTGCACACTCCTTACACTTTTGATAGCTTTTATCACTAAATGGTATAATCTTGCTCTGAGTATCGATGACATGTATGGAACAGAAAGCGGATTCACCAGCCTCAGAATTGTCCGTCTCACTGGCATCAAACGACTCAGAAGTCGCCATAGTACACAGTGAAAGTCGCAGTGCACAGTAAAAGTCGCATAGGCGTGCGCATAAAACAAAGAATATGATTGGCCAAAAGCCAGTCACTCCACACATCATGCTATCAGCAACGTATTGTGATTGGTCATTCTTACCGTAGAAAGTGAAAAATTGTCTCAAATTTGTTTTTTGTTTTTTGATATTTTCAGAAAATGTGCAAGTTTTGTTACTGACGAGTTTCAGATGTGACTGTAATAAATATTTTAAACATGTTGACCAAAATACAGCTAGATACAAATTTGAGGCACGAGATGAAAAGAAAATGCACCTCGGCCCGCGGTCTATATGAAGGGGCCTTCATTTTCATACACTACAACCAATGAACCAGTTCATTATTATTATTAACTACAGTATTAACTTTCTCAGCCTTCATTTCAAGCACAGAAAATGTAAATGTTTTGGTTTAATGAACACTATAAATTTCCATTGTTAATTATTTTATTAGACAAATGCTTATTGTGTTCTGTGTGTTTTCTCTGTTTTCCTTTTTTTCATACAGGTCAATTGCATGTATTTTATATGAATTGTGTGCCTTACAACACGCCTTTGAAGGGCAGTCCTTGATGGGGGTTATGTACAAGATTGTGGAAGGGAAAACCCCTGAAATACCTAACCAATATGACAAGAACATCCAAGAAATACTTAGTGTGTAAGTACATGGCTTTTAAGATTAATGTGTTCAAACATGTATTGCAAAGGTTTTGTCTCAAGAATATCACATTTTGACATTTTGATACTTGTGCTATAAATAGATAGTTATTCAGTATTGATTTGAGTATGCTGAAAAGGAGGGTTTAAGAGTATAGCGTTTTGGTGCAGATGCCTGATGTACTGTGGCCAGTTGCTTGGCCTGTATGGAGAAATGACCAGTCCTAATTGGCAGAGTGCTATCAAACTTGGCATAGACATTCAGTTCGGTGGTATTCATTCCAAAATGCAAATTGTAGGGTGCAGGCAAGACAATGGATGATGTTTGACTTGTTAATTAGTCTAATTCTGTACTGGCGAAGAGATACATCTATCTTGACTCTATCAATGGGCAGCAGCACCAAGCGTGATCAATAATCTTGATCAAACACACTGCTAAATAATAATGCAACCATTGTCATATTTCAATGTTTCTCCTTTAGTTCCATGTGTCAGATGATGATTAATTTGATACTTAATGATGTTGTGTCTTTGTTTTTGTCATTTTAGAATGCTTAACAGAGATCCTTCCAAAAGACCATCAGCAGCTGAAGTTACCAAGATTGCATTTGTTACAAGACATATAGAGGTAAGTATCTGTTTAATGTTATTATTTCAATGTGTTATTCATTTGCTTTACTATGCAGTATATGATATATTTTGAAATGTTGGTCAAGAGTGCAATGGTTTTTGATAGATATCCTGTACTTTAATGTATACATGTACATAGAAATAAAGTTTTATATTGCTCTACCAGACCAGGTATTGATTAGATTATTGTTTTAAAGCCCAACTGTAAAACTTATAGCTACTTGCGCCCCCTATGTAGCAAACAATGCCTAATCGGTGCCTGTTGGTCCCCGATGACCCTCTTTTTCCTGTGTTGAGAGCTTATATGATGAGATAACCACCTGTCAGTGACCTTCCAGGGAGGCCTTATTCCCCCTGGCCAAACTAGTACAGATGGGCTTTAAGTATTATACTTGGAAAAATTGTGCTTGAATAAAGCAAAGTTCTCCTTTTTTGTGTCCCTTATCTCTATTTTAAATAACAGAAAATGAAGAACAGGTTGGCCGAGTACCGCGACCAACAGGAGGAGGACTCCAAGAAGCTAAGCCAAGACACACAGGAGATAGCCCAGATGTACCGGGAGAAGACGCACTATGAGGACCTCCAGAACGAGTCACTACGGATGAAGGAGCAGGAGCAGAAGCAGGGGGAGGAGGAGGAGTATGGAGGAGAAGCAGAGATGACTTATCCGTTGCCCCAGCAAGGGCAGAAAGATCCTTATCAGGGATTGACCCCCAAAGAGAAGATGCTTCGTAGGAAGCAGCAGAAAGCTGATCAAGAAGCAATGAAATTAAGGTAATTAATGAAAAGTGGATTTGCTAATTCTTGTCACTACCATTGCAGCATTTTTATTCCTCCGCAACAAAGTAGCTGGAGGCATTATTTTTTGGGGTTGTCCGTCCCGTTTTCGTGATCGCATTATCTCAAGAACCAATCTATGGATTCCCGCCAAACTTGGGTCATTTCTGAATCTTGCAGAGCCAATGAACTGATTAGATTTTGGCATCAAAGGTCAATGTTGTGCAAAAATATAGCTTGTGATCACGTTATCATTAAACATTACTATCAAACTCAAAACATGTATGTATGTTGCAGAGTTAATGAACTGATAGATTTGGGGGTCACAAGATCCAAGTTCAAAGGTCACAGGGCTCATTATGTATGTAAACATAATCACTATATTCTGAGAACCTATTCATGGATTAAAATCAAACTTGATTTCTAAAAATTGCTTTTGTTTTGGTTTGTAAAATCACCCTATGGCGGAGGCATAATGTTTTACTAAAAAAATTTTCACTGCTAAATTCCTGCAAGCATCTTTGTTCATTCTTACTTTAACCATTGGAACTCTTCTTTTCTTCAGCATGCATGCAAGGAATAACTTACATCAGAACCTGATACGCAAAGACATAATAAGAGAGACGTTGGGTACACAGAAAAGACCAGCTTGGCAAGGAGGAAGGGGAGAGGTGAGACTGCAGTTTCCTTTTCAAGGAAAACATCTTCCTATTTTTAAGAAAAACTTCTATTCTTTGTTGATATGTTAAATATTGCGTGAACATGTGCTTGTTATTTTTTTATTATTAAAAAAAAAAAAGATTTAAACAAAAAATGCCTACTGTTTAATTGCTTCCATTGTTTGCATTTGAAGAATCAAATTCCGAGGAGGCGGAGATCTGGGCTTCATAGCGACAACATGTAAAATATATGCATGGGAATTATTTGTTCTGGCCATGTATAATAATGATGTTGATAATGTGGTCATAGTTACTGTTGGTAGCCTTATCATTATTAATGCTTTTCTTCCCGAGGGCCTAGCAATCGTATTCCTACACCTGGCTTCAGCCTGGCTACTGTAATTACTGGTATTATTTGGTATCATAACATTTTTGAAAACTAGAGAACATAAAGCCACAAAAGCTGAGGATGGAATCAAATAAATCTATAAGAATGTGTCCTGGCAAACCAGCCCTTTTATGGTTACTAACATAGTTTTGAATACATGTACAGTCAAATCTGTCTATAGCGACCGCCCAAGGGATACACAAAAAGTGGTCTTTGTAGACAGGTGGTCTTTGAAGACAGGTGGTCTTTGAAGACAGGTGGTCTTTGAAGATAGGTTGTCACTAAAGCATATTTGACTGTATCATCCTCCATGTTTGTATGTCATCACAGCCTATGCCTCCATGGGTGCGTGACAACCCTCAGGTGTACATGGATCCAGCATTCAAAGGTTCAATGCCCCCTCAGGCCCCCAACATCAGTGTGTACTACGAGGACGGCACCCCAGCCTACCAGGGTGAAGACGGGTATTGGGAGAGGGAGGATCTCGGTACAGTCAGAGAAGGTATGCACATGTATGCGGTTTTTCTTTTTAAGGATATCTTAAAGCCTATCTTCTCTAGTTTGGATTAGACCTCCCTGCATGGTCACTGGCAGGTGGTTATCTCATCAGATCAGCTCTCAATTAACATAAGAAAAAAGGGACAATGGGGGACCAACGGGTACCGCTTAGGCGTTGTTGGCTGTATAGAGGGTGCAAGTAGCTACAAGTAGTGCAGTCCCACTTAAGATGACTGTAAAGCATACTTTGTACTAATACCATGCCGGGTTTCCATCAATCTTTTCTGGCCAATGATTTTATATTCCTAGATTAAGGCCCAGTCACACATAGGGGATGCATGAGGGACGCACGGCCAGCACATTGGAAATTTGCAATTTTGGCCAGTGCGTCATCATTCGTTACTCGTTCGTCAAGTGCGCTGGACCAACGCCAGACATACGTGGAGCACACAACCTGTATACGCGCAGCGCACTAGCAACACGCTATGCATTCGGTGTCAGCTCGCTAGCTTCTCCCAAATCTTGAAAAAAGTTGGGCTCACTACTTTTCCTGATTTTCAATGCACCGGCCGTGCGTCCCCCATGCGTCCCCTCTGTGTGAACGGGTCTTTAGGAAAGGTTTTGGATACTTGATGCTTTTGTGAGGAAGTGCAGCTTGTCGATTCAAGTTTCCTCTAAATATTATTATCAAGCAGTCATGGTGTCATGATATAAATTCTCCTTTCTTAATAATGAATTGGCTTTCTAAGCATAGAAAAGGCTACGCTAAGATACAGTATGAAAAACTGTGCGAAAAGAAATCTGAATAGCCATGATGTAAAGATAAGAGAATTCTTCGGGAAAAAAAGGAAACAAATTGTTTTTCTTGTTCTTTCCCTTTCAAATTCTATCATTCTGTCATTTTTGAGTAATGATAAATAATCCCTTGTACTCAAATTCAATTTGATTAGTATAAATTTCAGCATAAAACAAAAATTATTATTATTATTATTATTTTCTTATTCTATAGCTCCTGCTAGGACACCATCACCGAGATATGCATCGAGTGACGACAGGCCGATCAAACCAGCGTCATCGCCAAATCAATATGCAGAAGGTAAGAACTGAATCTAGAATTCTTTCAATTATTTTTAAAGATACAGTTGAATTCTGGTCATGCGAGGAGATTGAGAATGAAACTGTCTGCTTTTTGGAACAGGTTGATTATGTAGTAAGTTGGAGGTTGGTATATACTGAGAGGTTTTGGAATCATTAAATGGATGAGAAATTGACTCAATCATGATGAAGAGTACACGTACTGCACATATATGGCAAGACTGTTTGTTTCAAACATTTCATCCTTCATTTTTGTCATGTTCAACCATTTCATCATGCAGTTTTTCATGTTCTGTAAGACTGTCTTTATGCACTGAGTAGATGCTTCAGTGTGCTATATCCTTGGTCATAAGGAAGTGCATCGTTGATAGATATTCAATGCAGAGTCATTGTAGGTTCATATTACAAGGTCTACAAAAAAAGATGTTGTATTGCCCTTTAGGTGCCAAAACATGGGTAGGTCGGTCAGAAATCTTTTTTTTTAATACTTTTTTTTTCTTCTCCCTCTTTGGGCTGATCTTTCTCAGTTTTGAATGCTTTAATACATATTTTTGAATTTTTTAACATTTTTCAAGATTTTGGGGTCGGTCGCAAAGGGCAATACAATATTTTTTTGTTTACACCCAATGAACAGACGGAGAGGTGTTTTTATTTAGTGAATCACATGGCACGGGTTTGGATTCCTGGTGCAGCAAGACATTAATCTACATTTGCCACCCTCCACCCAGGAGAGGTAGGGTTACCAACTATTATTCCTTGAAATGCACTGTGTGCTTGTAATGGTTGCTGGAGCTAAAACCAGGATAATAATATCCAAAGCTCGTTGGAAGCACATAGAGACGTTATATCACAATGTGAATTATGCGTAACGACTTAAAGATTGAATACATTCACATGTATCCTATGTGTCTCTATCTATTGATTATACAGCTGGCAACAACACACTAACACCGACGAAATCAGCAGACCGCCCCATTACCCCTATGAAGAAAATCATCAACCTGGATGACCCCGACATAGCCAATGCAACCCCACCCGGTATCCCACCATCCTCCTCAAACAAGAAGGCCCCTGTCAAGAAACAACCGGTCAAGAAACAACCGGTCAAGAAGCAGCCAGTCAGCAAACAGAACTCTAACCCCAAGGCCGGGACAACTCCATCATCGAAAGCAGCCACCAACGGAAAACCAAAGAGTGCCAGCCCTAAGAAGACGGCCACGCCCTCCGCCGCGCCTCCAAAGAGGACCACCACCAAGTCGGCAGCGGTGGTGCGGTCCCCGCTTCCTCCAGCGGAAGAGGAGCGGAGGACACCCTCCATCAAGAAGATGGAGAGGATGACGTCGATGGACGAGATGAGGAATCAGCTGGAGCAGATCGCAGCCGAGATACCGGACGATGCAGATGCAGCAGAGACGTTCTACTCGCAGCACGAGGACTTTGAGTCGGATTCAGGCTCAGAACCAGAGGTAGGATGAATGTTGAATGTTTTATCATATTCAAGGAAATCCAATCATTTATTGCAGGGAAGTACTTAATGATTCTTTCAAATCAACTTGTGTTGTCCAATATGTCACTGACTACATCAAAAATTTGAGTGAGTATATACCTGATGACTGTACTAAGTTGACTCTCTGAACTTCTTTCCCACTGAAATACATCACCTACTTACAAGATTTGTCAGACTAGGCTTGGTTCACTCTATTATTTCTTTCTTTCTTTTACTCTTATTTCAGGATGGTCAAGATGACTTCTCAGCATTGATGGATTGCATGGAAGATGCGCTGGAAAAAACAACATCAGGTAAGCATTGGAAATATATCTCTTGTCTTTGTCTCTCTCTCTCTTTCTGTCTTTCTTTCTCTCTGTCTATATATATCTCTCTCTCTCTCTCTCTCTCTCTCTCTCTCTCTCTCTCCTCCCTCTCTCCTCATTCCCCCCCCCCCTCTTTTTCTCTCCTCTAATTTTTTTCTCACCTCTCTTTTTTCCTTTCTCTCTCTTCTCCTCTTTGTCTGTATATTGTCTCTTTTTTCGCTCTCTTATATTCCCATTACCCTGATAGCAATCTTGAGTTCTTGTAATGATTGAAAGTAGATGCTCAGAGAACCAAAAAACAATATACAAAATTGTGTGTATATACAAAACTAACTACCATTTTTGTATGCATAACAGATCAAAATGCAACCATCACAGACGACACAGTGGGCTTCTTCTCACCTTCCGTCAGAGCCAAGAAGATACAGAATCTCAGAGCGTATCCTTGACAAAACTTATCACCAGGGGGCGTTTCCCAAAACTTGTCATCAGTGACATATGAAAGATTTTGTTATAAGCTACTGAAATCCTTGCTTCTGATTGGTTACCAGCAGATTTGTCACTGATTTTTGTCATTTGTCATTGAAAAAGGCTTTGTGAAACGCCCTCCAGATCAAACTCCTATATGGCCAAGTCCAAGCTATTTTGCCCATCTGTTACTGACCACATCTAAGATTTTAGTGTTTCTGATCATTGTCCAAATGGAACAGCCATGCGTGAGCTTATATCAGGCCAAATATGAAGGGGAAAATGACACATTTAATGTCACATTACATTCAATCCAATCCAATCCAAAAGATATTTGATATAGCACCTTACATTCACAACTCCAAATTATTGGTAATGTATGAACTCCTTGGCCCTGCCTTACAAAGTGTTGCGATTGATCCAAATCAATTGCATGTCCTCCAATCAATCGCAAGTTTGCAGTCTCCCTTCTCTTATGTAGATAGTTGTGATTGATATCAATCACAAATTAGTTACGATTGATATCAACTTTTTGTAAGACAGGGCCCAGGTCCCGATAACCATTTGCACAGCTTTTAAAATGTAGCACAACTACAAAAGCTGTGTGCTCACATTATTTATTGACCAATCATGAACGTGTGTATGTTGCATTTCCAAATTAATGATTTCTGGAGGTATTTCCAAAGCCTTATCCTGATAGAACTTGAATTTTTTTTTTTAATTGAAGAAAATGTCCAAATTTTTACTACTACTATTATAATGATTTATTTCTCCAAGCAAGTTTCCTTAAACCCGACATCTTACAGTGAATGCGAGAAGAAGTTTGGGAAGGAGTCTTTCAAAACCGCTTATGCCTTCTTGAAGGAAGCCAGGTTTGGTGACATGAAGGAGACCATGGATGACACCATGATCATGCGCAAGCTACGGGATTACGTCAAGAACGTCAGCGATTGCTTCCTCATAGACCAGCTACTCTTCTTAGAAGAGCAAGCGAAGGTATCCTCAGCTTATTAACATGATTAAGTGAACCAATAAACTGCTGGAGTAAGTCAAGAATGTTGCTGGATAAAAAACAGGCTATAGTCAGCGAAGGTATTGTCCACTTATTAACACGATAAGTGAACCAATAAACTGCTGGAGTAAGTCAAGAATGTTGCTGGATAAAAAACAGGCTATAGTCAGCGAAGGTATCGTCCACTTATTAACATGATAAGTGAACCAATAAACTGCTGGAGTATGCCAACTTTGTCGCTAGATAACAACAGGCTATAGTCATCTCTGCATCTTCTCTCGGCCTGTTGATTGTCACACCATTAAGCTGTGGGAATGTCAGTGACTGCTCCTTCGTAGCCCAGCCACCGTTCTCATACTCGTGTCAACGTGAATGAACCAACAAAGTGCTGGATTTAGTCAAGAATGTCACCTAGATCAACAGGCTGGTCTCCTCTGCGTACAGATGTTGGCCTGGTGAGGACTGAACTAAGTATTACTGCAGGACCGTCAGTGGATACTTTCTCAAACATCAGATCCTGGTCCCAGCAGTGCATGCAAGCAGATCATGTCTGCTTGCGAATAGTACTAAACCAGTTGGCCAAATTTTGTCAGGAACTTCATTGAATTGCTTTCTCACAGGCTAGATATGGTTCCTAGAAGGGCTGGCCAAAGACTCTTCTGAATGCTTGTCTTATTTTGTTGATTGGTGAACGGAATATTCCCTATAGCCAAACCTAGGAGAATCATATGACGGACAAATGGGAAGTATTCTCTCATAGTTTTATCAACTGTCTCAGAGTCATGGTACTCAGGCATCGATATGGACATGTAATGATCGATGTAGCTGTTTTGTCTTATGGGTTCTGTACCATCTAAGTCACTTTCATATTCTTCTCTTGCAGGTCTTTGATGATAATCTGAAAGTAGGGATGTGGGCATCTGTTGCAAAAAAACAAACAAAAAACACCTAATAATTCAAATTTCTATCGTTATATTGTGATTTAGAAAATTAAGCAAGAGAATACACACACTTGCCATGATTCCTCTAATTAGCATTCCATTATTTAGCATCACGCATCAGGTTTATCAACATCATTCATATGATTATTCTCATTTTGATTTCAGTATTATGAAATTAATCACATTTTCACTGTATATTTATCAATGTCAGAGCATTCCTTTTGTGTATTTTACATTAGTTCGCTGTGTTTTCCCTCCAAGAGATACATGGACCCACTCCTTCTCTGAAATGTAGCATTCTAGTATAGTCTTGTTCTTAGTACACTGAGCAACTGCCAATCGTAGAGTTCTGTATATGAACGTTAGGCATGTACGTGGGAGAGTCCTTATTTTTATGCCACCTCCTATCAACCTTCAGATATATACCCTAAGATAAGAGCATGTAGCATTTTAGTGGATGGAAAATGTGTGCTTCATGTGTTGTGTCATTCCTTCATTTGTTAAATTTTATGCCAAAGATTTATAGATCATCATAGACTGTGGTTTTAAAAATATCATAAGCAAGGAGTTTTATATTATTTTTTTATGAGTTTGATGTCGTCCTTCTGAAGTGTGTGGATCTAGTCTTCATCATCATCATCGTCATTAATGAAAGTCAGCATTTTCCCTCTTCCGCTGGGTCGACTTTCCCGTTGTGATGACAATTCCTCCCTCCACTTCTTCTTGTCTTTAGCCGCCTTATTTAGACCAATCTTAGAGCTTTCTTTTAGTCCCCCACTTGACTGATCTCTGAGAAATGTCTAACTTTTGTTTTTAAGTGGCCCAAAGATTGTGGAGCGTGTGTGCAGCGCGTTGTAACTGCAAGGAAAAGGGGCTATATCAAATATATTTGGATTGGATTGGATACCATAATTTCGCTAGTGTAATGTTTTTTTGTTACGGCAAGCCTGCCCTGACATACCACCAACCATTACCCTAGGGGAATGGATGGATGTCTGTTGTTGGTTCCTCCATGAACGGATCCCTGCATTGACAGGTCTTATTGTTTAATCCTGCTGGGGGTCTACGCACCCTTCTCACCCGAGTTGCCTGGGGGGGGGGGGTGAGCCTGTTTAGTCGCCGACCACTCGACCATCAACAAGTAGTACTGGTTTACATGGTTACCAGAAGCAGGAAGAACTTGACTGGACTGTTTCGAACTTTAGAATTATTGCAAAGCTTCAGTATGTGTCTGATGAAAAGTTCTGGCACTTCTTAGTTCGATTTTGAGGGGATTATTCAAAAAGTCATTTTCATGTGATATATACATGTTTTCCAGGATAACATTTGTCAAGAATTTATGAGTATTTATTATGCTTGATAGAATCATGTGTCAAATTTTGTTTTATATACATCTATTTGACAGAAAGCTTGTAAATTATAATACATGTATGTACTCATGCAATAATTTGTCACATATAATGTTTGTGGTGTTCAGAAACTTATGCAGAAATCATCTATTTTCATATAATGTGCGTGTGATCGATAATTAATTATTATGGAAAGGGTTTAGCTTGCTCTAGTTTGAACTGTAGTGCAGTGTTTTCACGTGTGTGGGGTTATTTAATATGCAATGCTTTTTTAACCACTATATAATGCTTTATAAGTACTTGTATTTAGTGTAGGAATAATAAGATATATAACTTATGCACACATGAAAGTGTTAGGATTTGGGTAGCTACTGCATACGTGTATTGATAAACTTTTTTTTCAAATTTGGATGTGTTAATCGCCAAAGGGAACATGTGTACCAGGCTACTTCTTCAGAATTCAATTCACTTCTTATTACCTCATGAATTTTATTGTTGTAATCAAAGTTAAATCATGGAAATTCAATTTGGATGAAAGCAAGTAGACAGCTCATTTTTAGACCAGTGTTTGAAAAACTCATGGATGCCAACGGTTAAGGGGTTTTAGTTTTAGTTTGCAGATGGTGGTATCTATTTAAAATCAAAGTTTGGAAATAGAAATGTAGATGATGGTAGATTGTGAAAACCAAGAAGTTGCACCTGTATATATGCAGCACTACCCTTCAGAACCTTTCACATATGGGTACCATCGTCTTGGAGCCAAACACTATGTTTGTACTTTGGAGCACTAGATTTTTTGTATGTTGAATGCCACGCGTGGGACATGAAAGCATTGAGCAGTACTTGGTGTAAATGGATAGGTTGTATGTGACAATTGTTCTTGTTTCTCACAAGTCGCACCTGTTTTAGTGTTCTAATAATTACAGTGTAGCAATTATACATGTAGTACCACAAAAGCTTTGTTCTTCTCATGTGGCAAGGTGGCAAGGACATAGAGATAAAAGATTAAGAGGTATTCTAAACTAAGTTGTGTATTCTATGATATGTATAAAGTACACTGGAGCGTTGCGATCCATTTGATTTACATTTGAAACATATGCTTGTGTTTCTTATCCATTGCTGGTAGGCACTCGTAAGGCTCATAAAAATATGAAACGATATATACTGTACCCTAACTGTTTAGGTGTATTCACGAACGTATTCAATTGTGTGATTATTCACTGATTTGTGCACTTAAATCTTTTTTTTTCATTACCGTCCATTCATGTTGCGCATATTGCAACTTCATGTACTCCTTGATATTATCTGTGTGAATTTGTATACATTTTCAGTACTTTAGCTTGTATATTTCTGAATAATTACAAAATTTGGTCCAATTCTGTACAATTTTTAAATATTTTTGATATCCTAAATATAATGAATGAAAGCGAAATACCATTTATTGTAATTTATTCATGATTATTACCCTAAGGTGTAAACTGAAGTTATAGTTTGTGAAGGAACCCCCCCCCCCCCCCAAGACCAAAACTAGAATAGAATAGGGCTCTTTTTGCTTGGGGGGGGGGGGAGCATGGTCACGTTATGAAATATCCTTGAATAGGAAAATGCTTTTAGACATAGAAGCATGGTTAGGTTAAATGATAGAAGAAAACAAAATGTGTCATGGACATTTTCTTTACAGAAATGAATGTTTTAAAGCCTATCGATATTTATAAATGTCTGCAGACTTCTACATAAGACAACACAAGAACAAACATCTTACAAATATGGATTCATCGTATTTTAATTCCATGAGCTATCCTATCACATAGAAAAGATTACAGTTGAGTCACTATACATAGCATGTAAAAATACATTCAGAAAACAAGATTTATGTCTGTTCATGCAGGTAAGTGGTATTTCTCTATGTAATATGCAACAATTCTACAATAATGAAGCACTGCGGTTGGCAATCGAGAGCTTTTTCACTTGCATGGGTTATTATGTACACGTTATGACATATTTATCAGGGGCAAATCTCGTTTTCGTTTAGGTTCGCCCGTTTCGATGAAAGAACATTTTAAAAAGGAATGATGTTTAAAATGGTACAGAATATTATGCTGCATTGCTGTCACATCTATAATAAAAAAATTCACTTTACTTGTAAGCTTTTAACTTAGAATGAAATATTTCATTCTCTTTTCTAAAAAATGCTGTCTTCTTTTACATTAAAAGCACAGCTATCAGGATTGTTTATTAGTCACATATATTGCAAAGTATGCTTTCCTTCAATTGTCATGCCTTGATGTAATAATCACCTTGAAATTTCAAATATATATCAAATTAAGTGAAATTATGTTGTATAAATAAACTGATTTTTGATGTACTCGAGCTTCATTTCTTTTTGTTATTGTTATAAACTTACTTTCATTCATCATTACAAAAATTTCAATCCCACTATTTTATTATGTTATTATTATTATTATCTGACCCATTATCATATCTCTTGTAATTGAATAAGTTATACAGCATAACCAGAGCTATCTTTACAAAGAGTTTGGCCAGACTGGTTCCAGTTGGTCAGAAAAGCAGACCCACCATAGCAGTATTACAACAAAAAAACATCAAATTTACAAGGGGTAAGAATATTCCTGTTGTTAACTGTATATACATGTACCACAATACCAGATCCCACTTCCTACATCCAAGTCAATTTACTCATGAAAGTTTTCAGACATAACACTGGTTTCGAAAGAGATATTCCAGCATTGATACATATTGAATCTTAGTATAAATTGATACAAATGCTATCAAAATACACTACAGCTATCAATTTACTACAGGATTGAGATTCCTTTTTCATAATTCTTTGGATAGCCCGACGACCTATTTCGAGAAAGAACAAAGCCGAAAGCACAATGTTGTTCCGTAGTCCGTACAACTCAACAATGGCAGTTCTGAGTATTAAAAAAGTGCTTGTAGGCAGTTATTGGGTGAAATACTTTATGATCAGTCTCTTCGGTTTACAAACTGTATATGAGTTAGCTGACACAACGGTACCTTTTGCGCGAATCAGGATTTTCAATCAATGTTTGGAAAAGTTTAACAAAATTTACTGACTTACGGTATAATCTTTGAGGTGGAAATAAATAACTAAGGAGGAAAGCACATCACTATATTTTGATACAAAGGTAGGAAATTAGCATATTTCTAATTATTACAACAATGGTCCTTTATCCTGTACCAAAAAACTTCAATCTTTCATCAATGACATCAACAAACATGTACATTTAAAAAGAAAGCTCTTCAGCTGCGAAAATCATAAAAAAGCCTCACATTTTGAGACAAAAATGGGAAAGTTCATTCGGAACAAGTAAAATTGGCACTATAATTGATTATAATTCATCTACACATTTTCAAATACTTCTAAAAAACTCGGAGCCTATGTTCAGCAGAAGACAACAAAAAATATGGCTATATTTGGCACGAAGACATACTTGCTATAAAGCCGGTTACTGATTGGTGGAAAAATGCATGGAAGGTTTCGGGAAGCTAGCTATCGTATATATCTACATCATGTACAAAATATAAACAACATTACACTCTATTCTCATCAGTTCTGCCATGAAATAATCAGAACATTTTCTCTAAGATGACTTCAAATTAATCCAATGCCCAATCTTCAACAACAAAAAATATATACTGGTATAACAGTAATGATGATATTAATAATTTCACTCTGTATTTTCGTCATATTGGTGTAAGTTCAGTGACCTGAATATCATTTTCCCCTCATTACAATATTCATTACATATATTTCTGAAATTCTGCACTAAAATAACGTGAATAATTTATCCCCCAGATCACTTGTTTTTCCAGAACACAATGAACATTAATATTTCTCTCAATATTCATGACAATTGTGTAGCTGTATTTCATCCAATAATTCAATATCCATTTTTTTCTAGAGTCAACAAAGTATAAACAATTCACTTTGTTTTATTGACAATTTTGTCCTGAAATGCCAAGGATAATTCCACCAGGATCACTTTTATCCAATGTCTCCTTTCTTAAATTGAATGGCTTTGTGTGTATCTTTTTGTTTGGAGCCATACGGGCATTAACTCATATACTTAACAGAGAGAGAGAGAGAGAGAGAGAGTATCCTTCTGGCTCCAAACAGATACTATTATACCTACTATTCCCTGGTTTATAACCAGGCCATTCAGGTATTTTACATCAGCTACCGATAACCAGAATAGCATTAATTATCTCCCTCCCTTTTACCAATATAACAGAATGTATCCATGGATATGTGACCTTTCTACATTAATGGGTAGGGCCCACAAGTCCAACTCAAACATACCATTTCAGTCATGTTTTTGTTTTTTTAATCTCTAGCTGTGCGATATTTTGGATGAGAAGCAACATGTTTGGAAGTCAACAAGTTTTTAATCCAATTCCTAAAATAGGAAAGCACAAAAAGACATGATTTATTTGCCTTGAGCAGACGCTCATGCTGAAGCACAAGTATTTGCATGCCGTTTGATGCAGTATTAAAAGAGCCAGATTATTATTTCTTATCAATACTTGCTTGGTACACCCCTAATCTAAAGCAAAGAATTATTATCTTCTGCTGAAAGCCAGATGAGTATCGACCCTGTGCGAAAAGATATTAGTCACTGCCCTCCTGGCTCTCAGTAGATGACTTAATGGCCAAAATTCATTATCACCTATCCTTTAAAAAAAAAAATTGTCAAAAATACATTCCAATCAGAAACTTGAAGAAGCTTGTAGTCATGCTTAATTTCCATAGAACATGTCCTGGGACCGGTTTCACAAAGCCTTTTTTCAATGACAAATGACAAAAATCAGTGACAAATCTGCTGATAAACCAATCAGAAGCAAGAATTTCAGTAGCTTATAACAAAAACTGTCATTTGTCACTGATGACAAGTTTTGTGAATTGGGGCCCTGAACCTACTCTTATTTAACCCTATCATATACCTCCCTCAACTCTAGCACCACATGTCAATGGCATCCCTGCGCGTCCGCCGCTAAAAAAGTACTTCTCCGTAGCTTCTACGTTGACATGGAGAAGAAATCGAGTCCTGCTAAGCTCTCTGGCATGTGCCCCTCGTACCCCCCTGCCATGACCCGCCCCTTGCCCCACCCACCCAGGGTGTTACGAACCAGCTGGTACTTGGTGGCGGGGGTCTGCAGGTGGAGGGGTATGGGAGGGGTGGGGCCCTGGTGGTTCTTGAGGCAGTCCTTGACGCGGGCGTAGACGGTGGCCACCTGGCGCGACTTGGGCGCCCTTGAAAGGTAGATCGCACAGTGGGCAAGGTTCAGCTATAACAAACCAAAAAAGAAGAGAAAATTTAGAGAACAATAAAAAAGAAAAATGATAAAGATCCTAATGTAGATTACGATGATGTTGATGATGATGATGATGATGATGATGACGAAGCTTTTATCAATAACAATGAGATTTGTAAATAAAAACTGCTCAAGGGAGAAATGAGAGTGGTCTTCATACGCAGGTGGTCCTTATGTACAGGTTCCTTCAGTACATTTTTCTATGAGAGACACTATTCGAGGGACACAGAAAGTGTGGTATTTACAGACAGATGGTATGTTAGGCAGTATTTGTTTCATTTGTCATCTACTTTGCCTGGAGGAGGGAAGAAAACAAACATAATCGCAACAATGTAATGTTTCTCTTCCCTGTGTTTGGAAGTGGATGTGTTATAATTCACTGGAGTTTCACCCTTTTTCATGTGTACCGGTACATATAATAAAGGTTCCAGTCATCTGCATCTGCAGGCTATGTCCAAAGCCATGATCTATGTTCTGACAGCCACAGGCAAATGCTCTACCAACTTTCAAGGCATCGTTTAACAATGTTAAATATGAGATGCATGGCCCTACGTGTTATCAGTGTCTGTGATATGGTGTAACATTTGATCCCTAAAAAAATTGCTCCTCAAAATGATCATCAAGTGCCTCAAAAAAATAAAAATCTTTGAGTGACTGGTTTTACTATACTCATTATTCTCAATAGACTGTTTCCAATCATAAATATCTTGATAATCAGACAGGTGATCTGCTTACCGTATTTGCCGGCGTAAAGGCCGCAGTATTTTCGGGTGAGAAAAAATCAAAAAGTCGGGGTGCGGCGTATACGCAACAACAACAAAATTCAGCGGTCAAAACATCACGTCCATTATTTGTAGGCAACTTCATACAACAAAATGTATTAACAAAATTGACTTGAAACACATCGGACAAAATCTTTTCTGAACCACGTCAGCAGCAAATTTGAAGAAGTTATCTTTTTAATCGTTGTGCAACCAAAGAAATAAGGAAACTGACCAGAAACTCGTACTTGTAAAGTTGTAAAAATGTCCTTAAGAACACCGATGATTGCGCGCTGTGAATCTCCGAAGGTGCGTTGGATTTGTTAGCAACTCTCAGCCCCGTAGCTCCCCACCACAGAGTGTGTGAGTAAGGTATGATTTTGGTTAGTACATAACCAAAATCATACCTTACTCACACACTCTGTGTCGGGGAGCTACGGGGCCGAGAGTTGCTAACAAATCCAACGCACCTTCGGAGATGCACAGCGCGCAATCATCGGTGTTGTTAACTTTTCAGTAAGATAATTCTGAATTATAATTGAGACCATCTAATTAATTAAAGCGACAAACTAACCTCGGTAGATCTCTAATAACAGTACAAAAGCTTGTTTATTTTCTCCATTTGACGGTACGATAGGGGGGAAGACCGGATAACATAAAAAAAAAAAAAAAATCCTTACACCATGCTTCCACCCTGCGATAGGTTGGCCATTGAGGTTTCTGTATGCATGCGAAGCGCCCTCTAGTGTCCCATGAATGTGCTAATCTGCCTTAAAATCGATGAAGATTTGCTAAATTACGATCATTTTTTAGGTAAACTTCCTGTAAATTTATAAAATGATTGATAATTTTGGTATTAGTTTGTAGGAAAAATAGAGTTCTACGGGAAAATTAAAATTATTTTCTTTGGTCCGTTTTTTTTTTTTTTCCTTTTTTTTTTTTTTTCCCCCTTTTTTTTTTTTTTTTTTTTCTCTACAAAATGTCAAAGTTGGGGGTGCGGCCTATGCGGGGGTGCGGCCTTTACGCCGGCAAATACGGTATAACATTCATGGGTTTCCTGACTGACCTAAAGGTTTATAATTATTATTGCAGCATGAGCTAAATCCAGGATATTGTTTCAGAATCTGAGGCAAAGTTACCTGATCCCTTTAATAGACAACTTGCTGGCTGGTGTTATAGTGCTGCCTTGAAATAAAGCAAAGGGCTTGTAAAAGGTGCAGATGGTACATGTTCTTACCTCGCATTCTGGCATGCCAATAGTTTGACAGGCTTGATATGTTGATGTAGCCTGGACGAGAGCTTGGGAATCAGCCATACCTGTCAGGAAGAAAAAAGGAAGAGTATACCATGGAAAGTACGTCCGTTAGCCAAATCTTTAACCCCTATCGTGCTGTGTGTGGCACAAACAGTGAATCTACATAATGAAGACATTACTTCTACTTCTCTCTGAGATAAGGCAGATACTTGTACTGTAAAGTACATTTATCAATTGGAAAAAGCAGAGATTGACTTCATCAGTTTCAGCTACATGCACATTCAAAGTTCTTGAACAGATTTTTAAAAAAACGGTTGACTTTTTTCTGAACAGAATCTCCTTCTCAGGAAATCAATTAAGCAGATACTAGCAATATGGAATATAAGTCCGCGCATAAGCATGCAATTAGGTAGTCGTGTACACGTCCAGGCATACAGTCTGATAACACGTGTACACTGCTGCAATGTTGTTTTTGTTTTTTTTTTGCCGACCCCGTGAGCAGCAAGCCAGGTTCGTGTTCGAAGACCCACGCAGGGTAGGACATTTATTTGACTGCAAGGTGCAGTTGAAGGGGCCAATATGTGCTTGTGAACTTGTCACACATAATAGTGACAATGTTGTTTTTAAAACTAAAGGAATCACTTCTTACCAATATCTTCACTGGCACAGACCACGAGCCTCCTGGCAATGTAGAGGGGGTCTTCGCCTCCGACAAGCATGCGCCCCAGCCAGTAGACCGCAGCGTTGGCATCAGAGGCTCGTATGGACTTCTGAAGGGCAGAGGCACAGTTGTAGTGTTCCTCACCTACAGATAGGAGAAAGAGATTTAGTGATCACATTGATTAACAACAGTTGGATAGCAACAAGTAAGGATGGGGTGGGGGTGCGGGGGTGCCCCTACTTAATTAAAAGGTGCGAAAAGAAAGACAAAGGAGAGAAAAGTAAAGGGACATATGGAAAAGTACATGAAAAGATGGTGATAGGACACCTTCTTAACCCACCCTAATCGGTGGCCTCGTTAATTCCTATTTTATTTAACAAGGGAGATTGGTGCACTGCCCCTTCCCCCTATGACCTTGGTGTCCCCCACAACAGCTAGACCCTTGTTACACTATGTCACTAATCCTGGCTGGTGGCAAAGTAACCTGTGGTAAATTTTAAAAACTTACTTTCCATCAGATAGTCTTCTGCTTATGGGATGGAGGGGTTGATTTTTGTATAAGAATTCTAACACATTGTCCAAGTAGATACATATGGTTTATTTCTAAGCTAAGTACTAGTTTCAGAGGTATTTAGATAATTGGAGATATATAAATAATTTCTATGGAGTGCTTTTCATACCTGCATGATTACCCATAAGATCAAATGATACCAGTAATTAGTAACCAGTAATACCAGATTAGCGGAAGTGCAAATCTTTTCTATTCACGTATGTAGTAAGGGCTTTTCCGATATCAAAAGAATCCACTCACCTGATTTGTCATAACTGATATGTGACCTCTGCAAGCTGTCTCTGATCTGGTCGATGGTGATGACACTTGACCTTAGAACCTTGGAAGCATCAGCCTGTTGACCTCCTGTTGACCCCTTGGCCACGTCCAGGACCATCTGAAGGGAGTTGAGTGCTGAGCGTGCGTCACCGTCGCACAGGTTGGCAAGAAGGCATAGCGCTTCTCTCTCAATAGAAATGGTGGTGCTCCTATGAAACAGTGTTACAAGATACATAGTAAAGAATGGTTAAAGGGTGACAATAAACATTTAACGCATAGTAGTGGGCTCTCAAGGAAAATTTGGCACCATTCAGGCATTTGGTACTTGGTTGGGTAATTCCTTTGGCAGCTCACTCAGGAAGCTATACTGGGATGGTAGGTGAGGCGAGTAAATACGAGGAGCGTCATGAAGTGCTGTAATGGTGTGTGGACAAAGCACTTACCCATTAACAGGTGTTAACGATCACAAGAGATGGGCTTCACTTTTATGACCAACAGGTCTTAGATAAATGCTCTGCATTTTCCAGAAATAGCCCCATAAAGAAAAGTCATTATCTTACATTTCCCTCACCTGAAGACTCTTCGAGAGATGTATTTCTAGTAATTACCTGTAATAATGATCAATGTCCCAAAGTTTGCTGATTGATAATTGAACTGAAACTACTGAAACTAACAGCCGTCTGTACTAGTTTGGCTAGGAGGGATTAGACCACCCAGGGTGGTCACTAGCAGGTGGTTATCTCATCGACTCGGCTCTCAATTAACATAAGAAAAAGAGGATCATGGGGACCAATGATCACCGATTAGGCATTGTTTTCTATATAGAGGGAGCAAGTAGCTACAGGTAGTACAGTGGGGCTTTAACTGATAAAGAGGAGAAATGCATCGTCTACTCACTCCTTATCGGAGTTTGGCATGGCGTCTGCTACCAGGGGATCCTCAACAATGCCGACCTGACCTTCCTTTAGCGCCCTCTCTAAGATCAGCATGATGCTCTCGGGACTGAGCTTCTCAAGCACCACTACACGACATCGACTCAGGAGGGCGCTGTTCACCCGGAACGAGGGGTTCTCGGTCGTTGCTCCGATCAGGATGATGGTGCCGTTTTCAACGTGCAGCAAAAATGTGTCCTATTGAGGGTAAGGAAGAGTGGTCACTTTAGATACCGTCATGCAAAGCTCAACATGTTATGATAATAAATCTATCGAAAATAATATCGCTAGTGATATTCGTTTGATTCCTTATTGACCACCTTGCGAGACAAACGCAATGAGTAATATATTTAGCATAATAAATCTAGTTGATAAATTATATTCTTTGGATAACATGGAAGATAAAAAAAGTTGCAGTTGTTTCATACTGCCAAATATACACAACAAACATATATGAAAATGATATCATGATGTATGGCCTTGTGATAATTTCTCCAAGAATATCTAAAATCAACAAAATTTGTTGAAGTTGAATAATATTAAATATTATTCAACTTCAACCCTAGAAATAATGTCACTGGAAACATGTGTCAGATCACAGCACTATCATGTACATTAAAGTTATATTTTACATTGAACACATGATTGGCTGTATCTGTTAACTGCTAATGCTCAATGCTAGTTATGCTTTTTCCCCAAAAAATTATGTTTTTTCAAATTTGTATTCCTGTTTATATGCAAATCATTTATTTCTGAACCAAACGTTTTCAACAGTCAGAACAGAAATCTACATTACCGGTATGCATTATTTACATTGATTCCATTTTGCTGGTCCAAAATTGGACATCTTTCACCAAAATACAACTTCATTACCAAAACTCCAGCTGAACTCTTAGACGATCAGTTTTATGGGAATCATAAAATGATAATTTGAAAGTTATCTAACCTGTTGAGTTTTATTGAATCGATGGATCTCATCGATGAAAAGAATTGTCTTCCTCCTGTACATGCGTTGTTCATTCCGTGCAATCTCCACGGCAGATTTGACGTCCGACACGTTGCTCGTCGTCGCCGAGAACGTGATGAAACGATGAGTGTTTCTCACCTTGGCCTGTCTCGCTATGACATTGGCCAGTGAAGTCTGCAACATGAAAAGAAAGATGGACATTTGTACATGTGCCTTGATTGGATCATCATTATTTAAGAAACTAAGATTAACTACAACTGTCTTGATACTGATTTTAAAAGAGGGAGGGCTTTAAAACACAAGCTGCGGCAACAACTGCTCCAAGGTCAATTTCCTAAACCATCCAGATTCCTTTCAGTACCCTGGACCTAACACTAGACCAATTCCCTAACCATAAACCCAATTGCAATGCTAACCTGTACCCTAAAGTCTTTCCCAGAAAATGTGCCAGATTGCCCAAAGAGAATCAGGAACTTTAATAATCAAGAGATGAAATGTATTGCAAAGTTCTTATAGAAATAGAAGTGTGAATAATTACTGAAAATTCTGCAACAATGCTGAGATATATGTCACATAAGGCATGATAGCTAATTTTAATTCCAGGAAAATGTCAACTACCCGTAATTTATATTAGAGTAAGATCCACACTTACTTTTCCACACCCAGGCGGTCCCCAGAAGATCATGGAAGGAATGTTACCAACGTCCAGGAGGCGACGAAGTGTCCCTGTAGCACCAAGGGCCTTGTTCTGACCTATGAGAGTGTCCATAGTATAAGGCCGCATTCTTTCAGCAAGGGGACGAAAATCAGGGCGTGGCTGAGAGGGCGTCGCCCCAAATGTGGGCTTTGTGCTCTGCGGTGTCGGTGACTGGGCATTTGTCTTTGCCGTTGGTGGCGTCTGGATTGTTGCTTTTCCAATGCCCGGTGGCGTTTGGGCACTGAATTTCATTGCTTGATAGTTTGGACTCATTGATTGTGCATTCTGCCGTGCCCAGAAAGACTGGCTAGCTTGTTTTGGCGATAAACTGACAAAGGGGGACTTAATGGATGACTTTTTAGGTGACTGATGTGAAGCAGGGGATTTTTTATGAGTAGGAGTGGCGTTTTTATCGTTCAGAGTTGTTTTCTTGGAAGGAGTTGTTGCTTTGTTAGGGGTGCCGTCCGTCGACGATACTTTCTTTTTTGCCCCCTCCATCTCATCAGCATCAAAGTCAAACACATCGTCGTCATCACCCTTATCTTTGTGTTTCCTTTTGCGTTTCTTTTTCTTCTCTCCTTTGACCGACTTCTCCCGTTTCTCCTTCTTGGCACTACTTTTCTCTGATTTGGCCCCCTTTTCAGACTTGGTCTTTTTGGGAGTGCTCAGTCCATCTCCACTACTCGATTGAGTGGAATCCTTCTTTGACTTTTTCTTCTCCTTCTTCTTCTTTTCAGATTTGGGGGTTTTCTTCTCCTCCTTGGTTTGATTCTTTAGAATCGCGGCCCACTCTGCATTGAGCTGGCCCGGCTGGTGTACCGGTTCAGTCTCAACGTCATTTTCACTTTCCGCGTAGGAGTCCTGCTTCGATCTCTTCCTTGGCGGGGAAGAATCATCCTTGGATGACAAGCACTTGTCTAGATGGGCATTGATGGTCGAGGGGCTGCAGTGCCGTCCACATATGGGACAGGTCACAGCATTCTTGCCAGGGGAACCGGCATTCTGCCTCACTGGTCGAGGCATGGTATCTTAGAATGATGATCGTTGTATCACGGCAGCTGAAAAAGGGGTATTAAGATGCCACCATCAAAGCTTTGTCACCTTCTAAAGATCTTCAGTAAAACCTGCATGTAAGAGGAATCATAAGACAATGAATTACAAAAAACAACACTTTATTCCATTTAATCACATTAGCCATCCCTAGGAAAGTTATGGATGGTCCATGTACGATCACAGATCAATGCATCAAGACCTTGATTGTCTGAATAAATATGGACATTGGTTGTGCTTTAGCGAGTCTGGTCGGGCTAGCGCTAGTCTAACAGTAACAAATGACTTACTCTAAATTCTAACTTTAGAGAAATGAAAATAGGATCTAGACAAAAACAGAACTGCAGAATACCTGCACATTTGAGCCGCCAATCAAAAGAGTCTAGCTAGCTAGCTTGGCTAATATACGTCATTAACAGCTTGGAAAGAGGTCACAAACAATTAGACTTCGATTATTTGTATTGCTTTGCCTCACTATTTATAAAGGCAAACAACCAGAAGTGAATAAATACCGAGATTACCCTTACATGTTTGAATAAAACAGGAAAATGGACTGAAAATTTTGCAACAAAATGAATTTCAAATGGGTATAAATGTTAGACTTATTTAAATCTAGACTTTAAGTTAAGTTTTCTACGTGAACTTAAATTCAGATCAAATCAAATGATTTATATAGGCATGCTTAGATCTATATCAAATTTATTTGAGCAAAGCTTTCACAACTTATCATCCGCAATCCAATACGCACTCGACTCGAAATCATTGCAATGCTGTGATGTATTGAAAATCACAACAAATTTGGGAGCATGTGGGACTGAAAACAGTAAATTCGAATATATTCGGACGATTTCCTCAATATTTACAATGAAATTCGAAAATCGAATATTGTTTACATGATAATTGTACAACAAACAAAACATATGAATGTGTTTTTTAGACTTTAATCTCGGTTAAATGGATAAATTTCTCACCTTTCTTGAAAGCATTTACAAATGTAGTGCACACTGCACAGCGGTAAACAAAAGAACGGAAGTGATTCAAGTCGCCCTCAAACGCCGCACGTCGACGTCCCTGGTAAAATCGTGGCCGCTGAATGAATGAGTAACACGTTCAAATCCTTATCCTCCCTAAGATCTATAAGTGTTTGTTAGTGTGATTATGATACTTCCTCACACCCAGATCTACTAATATACTAACAATAAACTTGGAATTAGAATGAATATGGAGGGCACTACATCTCATCATACCTCGAAACTCGATCTGACCACCCCCCCCCCCCCCGACCCCCCACAAAAAAAAAAAAAAAAAAAACACGATGGTTGAAGAATTATGGAAGTTTGGTAGGTATATAGACGAGTAACAAAAGAAAGCGTAATATAGATTTGAAGAAGGAAGAAGGACTAACTAAAAAAATTAGCCATATAGATCTACAAACGAATCGGAAAAAGAGCAAAAAGGAAAGCGTCAGTGTGTCACCCGGCCCCACCCCTCCAAAGTAGAAAATCAGGGATTCTTCTTTACTCATCTCAGGAAAGAGGACAGAGTGGAGTGGTCAGGGGAGGGGTCAGGGGTGGTGTTACTAGCAGGGGCGGATCCAGGAATTTCTTGCCGGGGGGGCACACGGTGGGAAAGAGATTGGCAGGGGGGCACGCCCCTGTTTTTCAGTAAATTTTGGGCGAATTTAGGGCTGATTTTAACACATTTTTTTTTTGGCCGGGGGGCACGTGCCCCCTTTTTACCCCCCTGGATCCGCCACTGACTAGGACACGTATAGGCTTTGGTGCTTTTGTAACTTTCAATTGTTTTTAAATAAAATATAAGTATACATTTGAATATAGACCCTATATGCTTTCATTTTTTTGTTTAATTCGGAATAGATTTCAAGTCGTCAAGTCTTGCTGTTTTAGGGGGTGGCGTGTTGAAGATATATTAAAGTGGAGACGATGCCTTTACTTGTTCAAGTGGTTATTAGATAACCAAACTGGTAGGAACATTTGTAGATTCTACTCCCGTCTAGTTTTTCTTTTTATCATCTCGTGTAATTTTGGTTATAAGATGCATATCAGTTCACTTGAGGACAGGACTGCTTGAGGATTCGTATCTGTATAATAATAATAATAATAACAATAATAGGCATTTCTATAGCGCCGTCTATCTAGATAATTCTATTCCGAGGCACATTTATTATTTCCCCGGCTTTAGCCTAGCTGCCGTTTATACAGCGCTCCAGCATTTCATTTCAAGGAATTAATTCCTGCCCGGTACCCATTTACATCACCTGGGTTGAGTGTGGCAAATGTAGATCAATGTCTTGCCAAAGGACATTAGTGCCGCGGCGGGACTCGAACCGCGGACCTTGCGATCGACATTCCGGCGACGTATCCACTCGACCACGATACCTCTACATGTATGTATGACTTTTCCTCGACATGACGGCCTACAATGGACCTTGCCAAGACCTATGGAGTAAGGCCATTTAAAAAAAAATTATTATTATTATTTTTCTTGGGGATGGTCAACTTTCAATCCTACCTAGAAAATGAACCTGGAGAGCGCCATCTTGAGAGTAAACCTATAGAATAATCCCACTGCGATTGAGATAAGAACTTCAAGATGCTACATAGGAGATGGTGGTTAAAGTTTCAACAACTTAGTCAGGCCTTAAACTATACGGCTACAAAGCACTCTGGGGTTTCTTTTGTCTGCAATTATCTTTCTCACAATGCTCATCGGTCTAACTTTATCATGTATTGCCAATTTTCACATGCACATGCCTATTGATCCAAACATCTTTATTTTCACCATTCTCCAGGTTATACGCAGATGCTTTTTAAAAGACATCCCACCCCCCCCCCCTCTCTCTATAGTCTCACCCTGCCCCCATTTATTTAGTCTTTCTCACCCCACTCTCAGTCTCTGTCTCCCATCTATGCGAACAATCCCAACCCCATGCGCGCGCTCTCTCTCTCTCTCTCTCTCTCTCTCTCTCTCTCTCTCCATCCCTCCCTATCCCTCTCCCCTTCTCCGACCCTCTCTTCTCTTCTTATTTGTGAGACAAAATTATCTCTCAATGACGATCAGTAGAGCAAAAGAGTACAGTTGTGTGGATGCATTATAGTCGATACTTGATTACGCTCATTTAAGAGTCGTCTTTGTATTTGCCATGGCAACCAACTGTTATCTTTGCAAATGGTAAGATAATTGTTCACTTCAACTTAATTAATAATATGTTAATGGGCCTCGTGAGATGGCAACGCGCACTTCCCGAGCTGTTAAAAGTATATAGGATCATATAATTGTATGTCATATTGGCTGCTGTAAAGGGAATTCAACAAAGAAATGTGCTATATATTTTTCTAGTAGGGTAGAAGGTTAAAAGCTGAATTTTAAGAAACATATCGTGACAATATTACATAATAACTCATCTGGTTTTGTGGAAACAAGAACGTTAATTTGTTGCACAATGATGATCTCGGCAATAAAGGAATCGTAATATCGCGTCTTCATAATTATGTTTTTAATATAGTTATTTCTGTCTCTGTCTGTCTATATCTCTCTGTATCCCTCTCTCTGCCTCTGTCTCTCTCTCTCTCTCTCTCTCTCTCTGTTTCTCTCCCTCCTCTTCCTCGATCTCTGCTCACCAATCTTACCCCTTTATTTTCCCTCCATCTTTTCTCTGAAAAGAAAAATCAAAATTTCACAACTAGTACCATCAGGTAGGACCATGAACATACTACATAGTATGTCCATGGTACGATCGTGGCATATTGAGAAAATAAAAAGCATGTACATTATTATGTTACTTCTCGTTATCCATTTGTCATGTAATATTTATTTAAAAGGACGATTTGCAAACTTGAAAATAAATGTTTAAAATAAATGTGATACTTGCTCACAACAGTACTTATCTATTTATGAAAATCATTTTTACTGGAACTACTTTTCTATTCAATTTTATGTCTCCTAAAGTTGTTTGCTGATGTAGTTTTTTTATGATTGTAAATATTTTATAGTCTGATAGCCATTAAATAGCTTTAATCTGTTGACAGAGTGCTTGTAAAGCCGTCTGTCCTGTAATAAACCTACACGAATCATTTTCCAGCTGCATTTCAAAGCTCTCACTATGGCAACAACAATACTGCAGGTGCCTTTCCCGAGCAATGAACCGAAAACTGGGGTAGCTCTACTTTTACCTGTAATCAAATCAAGTCTTTACGCAATTTCACCCTCAATTCTGCCTTGCTCCTGGTGTATGTTTACTTTTTTCATATTGTTCATATTATGTTTTTCCTTTAGCGGTAACCTCTGGCATTAAAAGATTCTGTGAAAGGACAGGCTATGCCATGCAAGAAGTGCCCCCCCCCCGCCCGCATACACAAACCCGACTTTATGTTTATTCTTTTAGACATTCATTTTGACAGTTTGTCTTTGACAGTTTGTAATTCTGTAAAGTCTGTAATTACACCTATTCCAATCCTTTCTTGTCTCTTTTTGTTCTTGTTGCTTTGGCTGACCCCGTCGCAAATGCACCCACTGCAGCCACATAAAGAAAAACAAACATGCTCATCTTAACTGGTGAAGGTTTCATCCTTTAAGTTCGGTTCTACAGTCTCAAAGAGCGCCAATCCCAAGCAATGATCTCATTTAAGTTTTTCTTTTAAATCTGCAGCTAGCTTTGAGAAAATAAAGATACATAGTCTTAACAAGAAATACTAGAATGCTTGACATTATTTTATTATTTTCAGGAGTTGATCCAGTATTGTCAGGAGGAGAAAGCCCAAAATAGCATTTTAAAAATACCCGACACATTTTTGTGAATAGTTATGCTATAAACACGATTTTGATTCACCTGCCTCTTCTGAAATTAGCTCAACGAATTGTTTTTTTCTTTCCCAGGGGCCCCAATAGTTAAACCTTGAATCTGCCAATGGACTACCAAGTATCCCAATGTCGGACAGTTGTCTCATTATAATTTTCTTGCTCGAAAATATGTCTTTAAACATTCAGCATGAATGCCATATACATGATAATTATACTATGAGAAATGTTCCTCTATAATATTAGAAAGATGAGAACTAATAAGGGTCATCCACACTTCTGGCAACCGATGAATGACGTCATTTGTAGCCTTTAGCAATCTTTATGGCATCTGTCTTCTTCTATATAACATCTGCTCGAGAGAAGAATAGAACTTCATGATTGACAACATTAAAGATCGGATAATATTAATAAGATCGGATGTTTGCAACATTAATATCTCTCCCTCTCTCTCTCTCTCTCTCTCTCTGTCATTTTTTTTACCCTTCTTTCAAACGGAAACACCACTTATACATTAAGATGAATAGAACGATGAGGAAAAGAGGGTAGTGGGGTAAAGATCTAGGCCAGTTGCGTCGATTCAAGGAGGAGGGGAGATTATGACCACTTCTTCACCCCCCCCCCTCTCGCAATTCATCCAGCCTTTTAAGTAAAATTAGTGCACCACCCCCCCCCCTCAATATATGGACGTACGCCATGCCTGATTCTATAGCACAATCTATGGTGGCCCTGAAGGGACATCGCGAATAGACTAAATCGTGAAAAATATGCGATAAAATTCACGATATCGTCAATTTTATCGCATATTTTTCACGAAGAAATTCACGAAATTGACGATATCGTGAACTTTATCGTGAACTTTTCACGATGAAATTGACGATATCGTGAATTTTATCGTGAAAAGTTCACGATATAAAGTTCACGATATCGTCAATTTTATCGTGTACTCTATCGTGTACTCTATCGTGTACTCTCCTGACGGGCGCTTCGTAAACAAAACCAGCCCTAGCTGGGGGAGACAGAGAGAAGGAAAAAAGGGAAAGGGAAAGAGAAGATAAAAGGAAAGAAAGAATAATAAGAAGAAAAGAGGGAAACGGGGGGGGGGGGCGAAGGGCTCTTGCCTCCTCCTCACCCCCCCCCCCCCTCCCCGCCAAAAAATAAATCAGAGAGAGAGAGAGAAGGGAAAGGGAAAGGGAAAGAGAAGATAAAAGGAAAGAAAGAAGAGGAAGAAGAAGAAAAGAGGAAAACGGGGGAA